TCTAAATTGTTGCAATGAAAATTGTTATTGGCAAAAATGGTTTGTGATAAAATTGTTATAGTAGCGGTTTCACATCGTCCGTCTTGTATTTGTTTTAGGACCTCTCTGAGTTTTCCTTTTCAGTCGGCTTTTAAACATTGAACTCGCCACACTTTTCATTCGTGATAGAAAATGAATAATCATCTGATTAGCAAAAGGCATAATCATTTGATAGCTATCGACAATAAACTTATCAATAAAAGGTGTTAATTGTATTGTTTGGGAATATTGTATGGCCAAATGACTTTACCTATGTCAAGTAACTCAGTTGTTTATTTAACATATATCATAATAATAGATTTGAATTCGGCAATTCGCAATAATGTTAGCGCTCCTATTTTAAACATAGTTAGTTAACAATTACATAATTATACATTTGCAAGCAAGACACACAATAAATAAATTAGCGATATCATACAATAGAATTGAATTATACCATATTTGGTTGATTTATTTGGCACTTATTTGAATTGCAACGTGAATAAAGTTTTAATTTAATACTACATTGTACCATGCTATAAATTATGATAATATCTTTTCTAAATGACTTAAAAACGTGCACAGTTTTGTTCGAACTAGCACAGTTTTGTTCGAACTAGCACATTACAGTGTGATAATAGACCTATAAATTCTAATTGGGAAGGATTTTTTGTGTAATATGTAGGTATATAACTTTCTCTTAATGACATAATTTGTTCATTGGTACATGTAAAAATATTGATATTCGTCACCAATTGTATTTGAATCGCAGTGACGGCATATACGATCTTCTTTTGGTGTATTTTTCCACCTACCAACTTCAATAGGGATTTTGATATTTGAACATCTAAATCTACTGTAGATATAACGATCTGCCACTTTAAGATTGGGTAAATATTGCTCTAAACAAAACATAGTTTTGTATGACGCATAAAACACACCGCTTGACGAGTTTGTCATATCAGGAAATAGACGTTTTCCGAATTGGTCAACTAATCTCTGTTTTATTTCTTTTTCAATATCCGAACTTTTGATGACACCCTGTGCATTCCAGACACAAAAAAATCATGTATCCTCTAATATTTGTTTCAGAGAAGATAACCATTTTAATAAGTATTGACCTGAAAGATGTAAGTTATACATTAACTGATACAAAATCCCGGATAATTTGCTATTACCGCTTTGGACTAACGTTGACCAAAAGCAAAGTAATTTAGTTTTAATATTAATTATTAGCGGAAATAAGGTGCTGTTGATCTTACATTCAGGACCCTCTTCAGGAAACATAAGTGCACCTTTTCAATCATGTCAACATTCACATGACCCCATATTTCAGAGCCATAAAGTAAAATTGGAGAGACCACGCTAATGTTTTAGATACAAATATAATTGAATGTAGTATTGGGACTCTGATAACCACGAAAAGGGGACAATAGGAAAGTTTTATTGACTTTATAATTTAATTTTACAGAATTCACAAATGTAAACAAAAATATTGTTTTCATTCAGTGTTCATTTATCAAAATGTTTATTATGAAATAGAGATTTGGGATTAATGCACACTGGGATTCAATATTACACCAAGATGGACATGAAACGAGGGTCCCGCAAAATGAAATTCAGCTGTTTTGCAAGAAGTGAAATAAGTTGTCAACAAAAAAATATATAAGAAAGGCGAACACATATTGTTTTAGCGAAACGAAAGGCGAAAAAGAAAACTGACCCCGTGTAAACCCTTGACAGGAAAATATGAAACAATTCAAACGAGATAACTAACGGCCAATTTTATAACATAACAATTTATTAGAAACAGATATTACAGACATGAACCAATGAACTATTTTTTTTTTACTAACCATACATCATGTGAGCGATTACTTATACCATACACCAATAGTCTTCAATTACTACAGCATAGTTTTAAAAAACGGTCTGCAAACATTTCTTTGAGGCGCGTATTTAGTCAAAATTATTGTATTCAAGGGGTAACCTTGGTAATGAGAGACAACTCTTACAAATGCATTGGAAGTTATCGAAACAGTGACCAAGAATTTATGTTCTTTACATTTGGTTATGAGAATGACGCGACAGTATCTAAGAAAATATGACAACTTCGACTCCATCAATGCATTAAATTAAAGAATTACAAATTATTTTTTTTAAAGATTCTAAATTCTAAAAGTGAAAAAGGTAGAAAATGAAAACTCATACATTTCGTACGCTTCGAACGCATAGAATCAATCGAGTGTTTAGTTCAATGTTTAACGGATGAAAGGTTTAAGTCTGATACTTGTAATGTACCCTTTAAAATTGAGAATGGAAATGGGGAATGTGTCAAAGAGACAACAACCCGACCATAGAACAGACAACAGCCGAAGGCCACCAATGGGTCTTCAATGCAGCGAGAAACTCCCGCACCCGAAGGCGTCCTTCAGCTGGCCCCTAAACAAATATTTATACTAGTTCAGTGATAATGGACGTCATACTAAACTCCAAATTATACACAGGAAACTAAATTTAAAAATGATACAAGACTAACAAAGGCCAGAGGCTCCTGACTTGAGACAGGCGCAAAAATGCGGCGGGGTTAAACATGTTTTTTGAGATCTCAACCCTCCCCCTATACCTCTAGCCAATGTAGAAAAAACAAACGCACAACAGTACGTACAGTAAAACTCAGTATAAGAGAAATCCGAGTCCGATGTCAAAAGAAAATAAAGAAAATGACAATAATGCATAAATAACAACAGACTACTAGCAGTTACTTACATGCCAGCTCTAGACCTCAATTAAACTGATTAAAAGATTATGTCTTCATCATATGAATATCAGGCACAATCCCTCCTGTTAGGGGTTTAGTATTATACCGTCATAAAATATATGAGAAGAACATAACCCGTGTCATGCCAACAACTGGTTTTAGAATAAATGTGTTTAATTCCGATGCAAATACCCTATAAGTGAATTAAAATTAAAGCCAAAATATGCAATCTTTAATGACCTGACAACAGTATCGTAACTATATCCCTTCTTAATAAGTCTGTTTAAAGGTTGTGTTAGCTTTTGAGGTGAATACTGACATTTTTGTGCTTTGTAAAGAATATTACCATAAAAGATTGGATGTGAAATACCCGAACGTATAAGATATCTGCATGTTGAGCTATATTTACGAATGATGATAAAATTTAGTAAATGTTTTGACTAGTTTATGATATCGAAAACACTGGTGTAATAATTTTTCAGTAATACATAAATTTCTCTCGCTAAAATCTAATACGTTGTTACATACACGAGCGAATCGTACAAGTTGAGATATATAAACACCATAAGATGGTGACAAGGGAACGTCACCATCTAAAAATGGATAATTAACGATAGGAAATGAAAAATCATCTCTTTTATCATAAATTTTTGTATTAAGCTTACCGTTAATGATATAGATATCAAGATCGAGGAAAGGACAGTGGTCATTGTTAGTATTAGCTTTATTTAAAGTAAGTTCAAAAGGATAAATTTCTTTAGTATACACACTGAAGTCGTCATTATGGAGAGCCAATATATCATCCAAATATCTAAAAGTATTGTTAATTTTTTGTATCAGATGTTGTTTCGATGGGTCTTTGCTGATTTTAGTCATAAATTGTAACTCATAACAATACAAAAACAGGTCCGTAATAAGTGGTGCACAGTTAGTCCTCATTGGAATTCCGATAACTTGACGATATACGGAATCTCCAAAGCGAACAAAAATGTTATCAAGTAAAAATTCAAGGGCAGATATAGTATCAAAGCATGTCCAATTGACATAGTTATTTTGTTTGTTGCTACTAAAAAATGACCTAAAAGAGTTTGAACATATGTATTCGCATTCCGACTCTTTAAATGCCCATTTAATTAGGTGTGTGAATTTTTTCTTAATAAGAATATGAGGCAAAGTGGTATATAGGGTAGAAAAATCAAAACTTTGAACCGATTCAAAATCACCGATATATGCATGCAATTTATCAAGTACTTCCAACGAGTTTTTGACACTCCAAAAGTAATTAATTCCACTATTTTCAATGGCCTTATTTGAACAATTTATTATCAGGTTTTTGATTGTACCAATTGTACTAGTAAGTAGAATAGACAATTTAGTAGTGGAACAATGACTTGAAGACGAAATAAATCAATATTTGTAAGGTGATTTGTGTAGCTTCGGAAGCCAGTACAAAGTTGGGACTTTCATTGTATTTGGTTCTGCTTGTAAAGAAGAAGCTTATAGTTTATGTTTGTTACAGATATCGTTTTCTGAAAATGAAGTCAGTTGGAATGTAGGTGAATTGGTGATTTCCATTTGCAGAACCTCAATGTAAAATTTACCTCAAACTATAATAATATTATTAGCAGCTTTATCAGCCGGGACAAAAACAAATTCCTTGGCTAGTTCTTTTAGTTTATGTTTGATACGAGAAATAGGATTTTTATGGTTGTTGTTAAGAGTAAAATGTTCTTTAAAATGATGTATACGTATATCAACTATCTTCATTACTGAATGAAAAAAAAAGTCCAAAGATTTTTTGTCAGCTTTTTCCCGTTTTATCCATTTCAAACAATAAGCACGAAGTGAGTCGTTGATGATATTACGACACTCATTCCAATTAATAATTGAGGGGGGACGATATTTAGGTCCTTTACTGAGGAATAATTTTAACTTTACGATGTTTCATTTGATATTCGATAAGCAGACCTTCTTAAACTTTTCACGTTTCGAACTGAATGACACTTAATTTCCGAGATCGGATGTATGATATTTGCAATGTAGATTTGATGACTTTTAGTTTTATATCAGAGATCACCACCGTCTAGTAAGTTAAATGGTGGTCTAAATGACCCTACCCAACCCAGTTTGATATGCGACAACCTTACCAATTTATAAAGTTTTAATGTTTGCACTAAATAATCTTACCCTTTGCTTTAGGATGAAAAGAGGTTGGCATTTTTTAGAGCTTATTAAGACGTTTATTTTGATATGTCACATGACCCCATTTGGCAAAGTCCAAAATATATGCAATATCATCTTCAGTAATAGAACTTTTGAAACTTACAAAGTCAATGTAAAACATGAAAATTTCAAATCACTTATTTTTCTTTGTTTTTCATCAACTGTTTTTGGTATTTAGCCAAACATATTACCATGTTAAACTTTAATTTCTCAAAACTTCAGGTGGCTAGCTGTTGTTAATTTAGAAATATATGCCCCACTCAGAAAATTTCAAACTGCAATATCTCTAAAACAACAACAGATATCTGAGTGCTTACGAACATGTTTAATCCTGAAACATTTTTTTTGTGCCTTTCAAAATCCAGGAAACTATAATCCAGTGGTTGTCTTTGGTTGCTGTCTGCCAATATTTGAATCGTTTATTGTTTTAGTTTACATAGGCCGTTACTTTTTCACTTTTAAATTGTTGACATTTTGTCAAACCAGGGCCGTGTGTAGCTTACTGTATTTTATGGCCTATGTTCATTTTTGAAGGTCGAACGGCTGCGTGTAAATTGTTCGAATTGTTGTGTCCGTTGGTATTTGTAGATAGTTGTCATTGTGGCGATCACACAACTTTTCGCTATTTGCATAAAAACCTATTTGCTTAAATCCACTTCATGCTGGCTCTGTTAAATTGTTGTCTTATTTGTTATCATACCACATATATTCTTATTTTGTATTTGTATAATTAACTTAATTTTCTGCCATTATTTGGCAATATAACTATTAAGATCTGTATAAATAATCAATTAATCACACGAATGATTTACTTATGACAAATGCACTAAAGTATGTATAAACAGGTTCACAAAAGGTAGATCGTAAAAAAATAGTTTGTAGAGGTAACAGTAATAATATAAATTAGTTAAAACAGATTGCGGAAGTATACCAATACCATATCGATTCTACAGTATAAAAAAACTGAATATATTTTTAGAAACTGTGCTGCAAAGTCATTGCGATAATACTGATAAAAATTAGAACATTCAGAATGGTGTCTCAAATTTAATCAAAAAGACAACAGTGAATCTTCGAAGGAATTGCGAAGAGGCAAGAGACAACAATAATACTGAAATAAACCCAGTTTTGGAACAAGTGAAATTACTTAATATACAAGAATATAATTTCAGAAGCAAATGTATGTTTATACATGCGTCTAGATTATATACCATGGAAAGGAAAGCGCAGAGTAAATCGTTTAACTGAGTTTGAGACGATACAAGCTTTTTGTAGTCAATGATCTGTGAAATGTTTTTTCTCAATGGAGAAACTGTCTTATTGAGAACTGTATCTTGTTCCTTACTGGTATCTGAATTTTAGTATTTAATGGTCATTTTGATCTTAAAATCATCTGAAAGGTCTGAACCATAATATTTCAAGTCTTAAAGTTGAATATGATTTTCAAAAATTTCTTTTCTTCTTTTATGTACAATATATAGAGCTGTTCTTACATTCCGCTTGCAGACGATCCAGTACATTGTTGATTTGTACAGGTAAATAACAACTGCTGACTGAATAGATCATAATTGACTGCAAATCGATTGAAAGAAAAATCATTTCTTATCAATCTATTTTTCAGTTTTAAAACCTGTTTAGATCAAAATGATAATTTTAGTTCAAAATCGAATACTTTTAATTTGCATTGTCTTTTGGTTACTGTCTCATTGGCATTAACCTCGAATTTACTTTTATTGATAATTGTCACATGAAAAGAGTTTTGTACTTACAAATAAATCGAGAGAGAGAGAGAGAATACTCATACCTGCACTTGGAAACCCAAACACTTCAATATTTCTAGATACAGCATCAAAATCTAGTAAAAAAGAAAAGAAAAGAATTCAATTATTGCTATTATCAACAATTCACAGTCCCAATCTAATTAGTTTTAATAAGTTTGAATTATGTATATGTATAGTAGTATACCTAGCTATATCCTTGTTCTAGGATCCTTACATCTTTTGTTGTATATTTCCATTTATGATATCTTTCTACTTCATTGTTTTATCTTATAAAATATAATGGTACTCTTTGCATGGCCTATAACTCTCAGTCATATGTTTATTTTGTACATATTTTTTTCTCAAACTGCTCAAATACTATTTATATGTTCCGAATATTTAATGTGTTTACTTATTTCTATAGTTCAAATTGTTGTTTGATACGCAAGTACTTCATTGTAGTGCATTAACTTTTATTTCTTCATTTTTGTTTTAATATTTGTCTAGTTTCATGGTATCTGCATGTTTGAAGATGGAACAATTCAACACGTTGTCATATCACTTTGTCAATGGACGTGCAGATATTTATATCAGCAACTATCTTTCTCACATCTTTCGTTTCGTATGTTTGTCGAGTATATGTTTCTAGATATTCATTTCCTTGTTTATAATGTTGATATATTATGCAGAAATATGAAGATTTGTGATATTAAGGCATACATGTAGTTAGATTTCTTGACATTTTAAATTCAACCTTCTGAAATTATCGATGGCCATTAATCAGAAGTTTCATATGAATTCAATCAACCTATATCAGAAATAAGTAATCAAAAGAATGGACAGAATATTACATCGATTATGATTATAGGAAACAATATCTTACTGTGTATCATTGAAATGTTGAATAGTCAGATGAGCTGTTAGCTCATGCTGTAACAGTAAGAAAAAGGTTAATTTTACGTTGTGGGTAGGCAAGTAATTTAAGAAGTGAAGTAATAAAAAACGGACACATGCTTTGATTTTTCATAATGCATTGGGTGTTCAAACATTTTCGTTCCCAATTCTTCAAATCATTTTAAAGAGATTTCCAATTTTTTTTTCAAATAAATATACTGTATTCATTTTGTTTTAGATTTTTTATCAGTCTTATACGAATTTTCTGATAAAAGTTGAATCATTTTCTGAAGAACTTGAAGTAAGAAATAAATATAATTCATAAATTACATATTTGGCATTAACACATTTACAATCAATGCCCCAAAAATGGGAAAATTTTAATAGTAAATGTATAGATTCGGAAGATACTTGGCTGAATTTCAGTAAAATGGAGATAGATAGTACAGAATGTCAGCTGATTTGTCTACATAGGTAATATATACCGAATGCAGACTTCGAACAATGAATCTGTCAATTGGAAATGTAATTTATGTCCTCAAAATAACAATTTTGAAACACATCATTTCAACCATATCTAATCGGTAAATAATTGCAGGGAACAGGTGTAAAAAATAATGACATTTTAAGTATTTTCAAGCGTCAAATAATATTGTATTTGAATGTAAATCGTACTACTACGAGTGTCTTGTAAAAGAATTAGGAATAAATGAGCACTCAGGTAATCCCACATACAAAAAAATATCATTTGACAAGGATGAGATTTTGGCAAATCATAAGTTCTCTATGGCTTCAATGAACATTACATTGAACAACAAATCGGAGGACTTACCTTGTTTGTATTGGATACCTAAGCTTCACAAAAGTCCGTACATTGCCGGCTCATCTGCATGTTCGACGAACGAATTGTCCATTAAATTGACAAAGATTCTGTCCGCAGTGAAAGAGGGTCTTCAGAAATGCTGTGAAACTGTTTACTCGCGTAGTGGTATTAACCATATGTGCATTCTAAAAAACTTTAAAGAACTACTGGATAATTTTAAATCTCAATCTTTCTCTGAAATTAATTCTACCAAAACTTTTGATTTTTCAACCCTGTTTACCACCATTCCCATGTGAAATTGAAAAATCGTCTAAAAGAAATAATCCACAATGCTTTTCAACATAAAAATGGTAGCATACGCTATAAATTTATTACTTTTGAATACCATACGGCATTTTTTGTTAATAGTGAACAAAAAAGTAAAACATGCTACACAGAGGAACAAGCGATCAGTATGCTAGAGTTTCTTATTCAAAACATATTTGTTGAATTTGGAGGTAGACTTTTCAACAAATTGTCGGCATTCCTTTTGGAACGAACTGTGCGCCTCTCCTTGCCGACCTCTTCTTATTTTCATACGAGTCGGAAATCCTTCAGACATTTGTCAAAAACAAGAAGATCAAAGAAGCCAGATCATTTAATTTCACATTCAGATATATTGATGATGTTCTTTCCATTAACAATCTAAACTTTGCTGATTGGGTTCCATTAATATATCCTCCAGACCTAGAAATTAAAGAAACAACATACACAGCTTCCTCTGCCTCATTTTTAGACTTGTACCTCGAATTTGACATAAGCGGTCATCTCAGTACCAGAATCAATGACAAACGAGACGATTTTAATTTTGAAATTATCAATTTCCCCAACCTTAGTAGCAATATACCAACTTCATCTGCATATGGGATATACATTTCCCAACTCATTCGGTATTCAAGAGCTTGCAGCTGCTACTCCGACTTTGTAAAACGTCACCAGTGTCTGAGCAGAAAGTTGATGAACAAGGGGTCTGTCAAAGAACGTCTAGTCCTTTTTCTAATAAAGTTCATCGGAAGATACCAAGACCTTGTTGATAAATATTCCGTATAAACTTCACAAATAATAAACGATGGTCTTGAAGTATAGATTCTAGGTACTGACGTTGTTCATCATCTGTATAACGTGTTATAGTATATTTTTATTTGCCTATGTAAATTATTACTTTAACTGTTTAGTCTATATTTGGTATTATCCATTTGACGTGGCTCTGTACTTATACATCCCGTCATTGTGTTATTGTGCTATGGTAAACTTTTGTATTCTTGTCTTTCGTTTTTGCTAATGTGCTTTGTCTATATGCCTTTTTGTTTCTCTTTGTTGACATATTTGTTTGTTTTTATAGTGATTAAATTCTTACACACTTTTGACTGCTGTATCCTTATTTTTGACATTTTTACCTATTATGTCTGTTTGTTTTGTTCACACATCATTGTCGATATAATGGAATTTCATGCGACTGTCATACAAGTGAGAGGTTTAGCTAGCTATAAAACCAAGTTTAATCCACCATTTTCTACATAAGAAAATGCCTGTACCAAGTCAGGAATATGACAGTTGTTATCCATTCGTTTGATGTGTTTTAGCTTTTGATTTTGCCATTTGCTTAGGGACTTTCCGTTTAGAATTTTCCTCGGAGTTCGGTATTTTTGTTATTTTACTTTTTAACGGTATAGATAACGAATAATTTTTGAAAAAAAAAATTGTTCTATTATGAACCTTTAAAGATGATGCTCATCAGATCATATCATACTTTGTTCGAAATCGGCTATTTGGGACATAGGCAATAATTTCAAATTTGATAATATTAAACTGAATTTACGAATTTGTTTAAATTTCACACGAACAATGAATTAAATCTATTCTTGCAACGCTCGGATTTAAAGTATATAGACAGAACGAATGTTGAACGCTCTTATCTAACAAATAAAAAAAGGAGTATTCATTTACTTCAAACCAAAAGTATTTTCTTAGTTAAAGGGGTGTTTGAATTCTTTTGTGTATTTTATTAATAGATGACCTTTATTGTAAACTATCACATTGCCCTTCGTTCAAAATCGTTAAATGTTTATAAAAGAAAGGAGACTTTTATCATCTTGAATACTGTAGGATTGGCCGGATAGCCCATGTTCCCCACATGCATAATGAAAACCAAAAATGAAAATATTTAACATGAAATAAACGTTATAAATTTCGTGCGTACGAAGCGCTTCGTCTTGATTTACCTTCATTAAGGAACACGCACAACTAAACATTTATAAGCCAGTGATAATTGAAAAAAACCACAACACGTCAGAAGCTTCATGACGAAACTAGACCTACAGAAAATAGCTAAATGCATCTGAGGCAGCAAACCATATATTCCTCATGGAACATTTCACCATAAATTAACAACCTGTCATTTGTGGGACATTTAAAGCAAATAAAAATACTAATATAAACACATCAGTATATGTCCTAACATCCTGCATATTATAAATTTTCTAACTTGAAAACTGAATTAGGGCCTAGCTGAACAAATCATGTACCCCGAGTAGGACGGACCAACAGATGGTCGGAAAGACGGATTGAATGGGGGTAAAACAGTATGCACCCGACATTTGGTCACGGTTGCAAAAAAAAACATTTACTTCCAATATAATTCTAGCCATAGAAACTCGCTAAATTAGATTTGATGTTGCCGCATGTTGAAAAGACAAACGTAAGATTAACTTATGCTAGTAATAATGTTTGAATTTATAATTTATTGTAAAAATAAACACTTCATTTCTTCTAATAGTCGGGTGACATTAACCATAAAATTTCATGTTTAATGCAACCACCTAACATACGGCTTAATCATACATCATTCGAAAGCATATCATCTTAAATATCTTTTTTGCCCGGTCGTCTTTCTTACGGTTCAATTTCTGTCAAATCACGGTGAAAGACCAAGGACGGACAATTTCTTTTCTTACAAGACGTCAACATTTTTGCATAATCTGTCTTATAAATAATACAATTTTGTATGGAAATTTGAAAATCTTTCAGAACAGAGACTATTAATCAATTGTCAAACGCACTTTGAAATACTTATGACGTATTTTTAATGAATACCGGTTTTTTCCTGAAACTTTGATGAAAAGGATAAAAATGAGTGAAAATTAAAATATTTATCAGTGATTCAATTGTTAATCACCATAAAACCAAATAACATATTTTATTTAGCGCTAAGAAAGGTTTTGACTTCATAGAATTACTGCAAACACGCTTCTTACTAATTATACAGCCAATCATAACAACCCATACAGTTGCCCAAAATGCCACAATCTACAAAAAGATAGCTTTTAAGCTGTTCTACTTTAAAAAATGTTTGTATGTAGTAAATTTTAGGTCGAAGAAACACATATAAATAATCAAAATAGAGTTGGAAGAAAATATTACACGCGGAATGCATGCTTTTAAGGGGAATTTTAGGAGCTAAACTTTGATATTTCAATGTGTAGTTTAATTGCCAGCCTGTAAAAACGCTTCTGTCTTTTTTTGTCGTTTTGTTTTTAATTTCGTGATTACCATTAAAAAAAAGGACCTTATGAATAAATATTAAGCTAGTCAAATAAATAAATACATAAATAAATAATTACATAGTTAGAAAGCTAACTGATGAACAGCTGAATTTCAAATATTTCTCTTATACAAATCAGAAAGTTTGTTTTCTTGTCTGCTTTAACTACATCGTGCTTTGACGAAACAAAGAAAAATAAATTATCTACAATACCGTTCCCATTTCACGAATGTGACCTACCGAATTAGACTATTTACCCCTATTTGTGACATTTTTACCTATTGTTTTTGTTTGTTTTGTTCACACATCGTTGTCAATATAATGAAATTTGATGCGACTTTCATACAAGTGAGAGGTTTAGCTAGCTTTAAAACCAGGTTCAATCCACCATTTTCTACATAAGAAAATGCCTGTACCAAGTCAGGAATATTGACAGTTGTTATCCATTCGTTTGATGTGTTTGTTTTTTTGATTTTGCCATTTGTTTGGGGACTTTCCTTTTTGAATTTTCGTCGGAGTTCAGTATTTTTGTGATTTTACTTTTTATGTTCTAGACACTGAAAATGTTCTTTGTGCTTGTCTGAAGAAGGAAACCCTATCAAACTACGTAATTTCTAGAGTAAGAAATTGACATGTTGTAGTAACATGTGGTATTTGGCAAAACCTTTCAGATTTTTGGGTCTTCAATGCTCATCAGCTTCGTGCTTTGTGTGGCCTTTTTAACTTTTTTAATCGAGCGTCACTGATGAGTCTTCTGTAGACGGAACGCGCGTCTGGCGTTCAACATGTTAAGCCTAGTACCTATGAGGAGTTTATTTACATCAACTTGCAGTCTATATGTTTTGCTTTGATAATTCTAGCAATTTGTAATAATTCAAGCTATATTAAGACTTCCTAAATAGTTAAATTCTTACATATAGAATAAAAAAACTATAAAGATGGAAATAACTGTGTACGTGTCACAGCAAAAATTTAACCAGTCATCACCAAGAACGTTTTGTAAAGGTAGGCAACCTCTGACAAAACATATTAAGCACTTTTCATATTTCTGCGTTAAGCCCTCTGCTGTTGACCTAGCAAGGATGTTTTTGGTGATTTTCACACATTATTTTCATACAAGAGAAATACGAGTTTAATTCTATTTGCGTTATTTTTCTAATCACAAACGTCGCGATAACACATTTTTTGTCAAAACTAGTTAGTTGAAGTTATGTCTATACCAAAACTTAATTAGAAAGAAACCCTATAAACGTTATGAAAATAATTACGTGAATAAGAAACATCAGGATTTTTTTTTACATTCCAATGCTTTAAAAAAAAGGAGATGAGGTATGATTGACAATGAGACAACTATCCACAAAAGTTCAAATAAAGTTGATGTGCTTTAATTTGTTCGTTTGGCTTTCTAATGGTGCGAAGTTCTCATAACTGCAGTAAGTGTCTGATATTAGTTGACATAAACAAAAATACAATATGGTATGTTTATTAATGTGAGAAAAACAAGCATTAAAAAGAGATAACTTTAAAGCAGGACTGTAATGGTGAATTTAAATTACTTGCTATTGAACTCTAATTAAATGTGTTATCTTGAATAATATCCTCTGATGTACAATCTCCATATGTGCACTTTAAAACTTTGAACTTCACTAAAATGTAACAAGCGATGTATACGTAGGAGGAGTATTGCTCATTACAAAGCTTTTCTTTAGACTAACGAATGAACATATGAATGGAAAAAAGCAAACAAAAAATGAGCGAAAGGACAAGATGATTCCTACATTTCCGATAAACACACATATGACACCCTGACCAACGTGATAAAAGTAGGACGGACAAACAACAGTCCTCAAAACACTTCACCATTTAAACCGATGGTGATTGAAATTGCTCAGAAAGGGTATTCAATATTCCACGATATCAGTTTTCATTTAATTTAAAAAAAAAACAACCAATAAAGTATGTATTAATGTGCTAACAATAAAAAAATAAAAATGCCGGATTTCTGATTATTTAGCGCGTGCACGTGGTGCAAACAATATTCATTCGAATATTGAACGAGAATAAACTTCTTAACATGTCTTCCACTTTTAAAATCGAAAAGAAGCATATTTTTACTGTATATACGTATACCTTGTATATTCCTTAATCACTTTTATTACCACGTTTTCAGAATGCTAAATTATTTTCTCCTGATATTGACAGCAATCAATATTTTACCTAAACAATGAAAAGCAAAATGATCCCCATTTGCAGATGGCGGTATTTGTACTGTTAGAATTAATCACGACCGGGAAAAACAGAAAGATCAAGCATTAAGGTTTCGAATTGATATTTAATAGAGCCGTATGTTAGATGGGTGCATTAAAGTCGTTAACTAAGCTTCTTATTTAATTATAAAAACCAAAGGTCTCAACTCTCTCATGCAAAGTTGACCTTAGACTGATTTCGCTATTTTTTAGGTCATTTTATTGTCATTTAGCTCTTCAACTGTTTCTATTCATATACATCATTGGCTTTAAATATTCGTTTTTGAGTTTTCCCTTATAAATCATTCTTTATACTTTCAAAATTTATCGGTCCAGTACTGTAAAAACTGAAAAAAAACGTCATAAATTTTATAAGTCACTACTGTATAACTAGTCTGTAAATACAGAGATTGTAAGTTCGAATCACGCACGTGGAAGGTGCGCTCGACTCCAATCTTAATTGACTAGGGTTGTCAGATTTCCGGTGGTTCCGTCCGGGCACCGCGGTTTCTTCCATCAATAAAATCTGACTGCCACGAAATAGCACAATAGTGCTAAAAGTGGCAGTAAACACCAATCAATCAATCCAATTTTTGACCACATGTATGCAGTTGATAAATGAATTACTATCATACTTTTCAAATGACTTTAAAGTTTGTATACAATTTCAAAATATGCTTTACATTTTCATGCAGAATATTGATGTTCAGCTCTAATAAAATTTTTCGATAACATGTTCCACTGACCTTAATAAATTGACACAAGTAGGACAGTTCATACACTGTTTTGATATGTTTTCAAACATTTAAGATAAAAAAAAAACATACCTATCACTGGGAGATGGTCTGCATAGTAAGTCCCGCCTGTTGCAGTTTCCGTAAGTCTGCTGCAAATAATATCTACACATCCTTCCGCACCCAAACGATGCAATGTTTCTATTTCGGTATCTTTCCAGAAAACTTTAATAATTCCTCGATGATATTTATTTTCCCAGTTTGTAATTTCCTCCACATATCCCATTTCATAATCTGTGATATAACAAAAACATAGTTTATAATGCGTTATTATACCCCACGCAACGAGTTGCGGAGGGTATAATGTTTTTGACCCGTCCGTCTGTCCGTCTGTCCGTCCGTCCGTCCGTCCGTCAGTCCGTCAGTCCGTCAGTCCTGTTTCTTGTCATCGCAACTCCTCTCAAACCACACAACAGAATTTCACGAAACCTTTTTAGACAATAAGGACATACTATGTAGTTGTGCATATCGACAGGAAATTACGATTCAATTCTTTTTCTAGGAGTTACGCCCCTTTGAACTTATTTACTTTAATGTACTACTGCAACAGTTTGTCATCGCAACTCCTCTCAAACCACACAACAGAATTTCATGAAACCTTTTCAGATAATAAGGACATACTACGTAGATGTGCATATCGACAGGAAATTACGATTCAATTATTTTTCCAGGAGTTACGCCCCTTTGAACTTATTTGCCCAATATACTACTGCGACCTTTTGTCATCGCAACTCCTCTCAAACCACACAACAGAATTTCATGAAACCTTTTCAGATAATAAGGACATACTACGTAGATGTGCATATCGACAGGACATTACGATTCAATTTTTTTCCAGGAGTTACGCCCCTTTGAACTTATTTGCCCAATATACTACTGCAACCTTTTGTCATCGCAACTACTCTCAAACCACACAACAGAATTTCATGAAACCTTTTCAGATAATAAGGACATACTACGTAGATGTGCATATCGACAGGAAATTATGATTAAATTTTTTTTTCTGATACAATTTTTTTTCTTACGCTTATTTTATTTCTCCAATGACAATGTAGGGACGTGGGGTATGTGAGCGCGCTCACTAAGGTTCTTTCATTTCCTTTTGATTTGAGTGTTTTTTACATTCGTATAGAGTAGCCGGATAATTTCATTATTTAACATACGTAAGGTTGAATTTGTCGAGGAAAACAAATTAAAGATATTTCATCACATTTGAAAGCTCTATTACTGCTTTCGCAGATTTTTAGGTCAAAGTAGACTTGTGTACATTAGCATGCTAATTGTTAAGCGATTTGTCGTTGCCAACGGTGTCACACAAATTCAAGGGAGACTACATTTGTCATTACTTATGTGTATATGAGACAAAATTAAAAAGTTATTTTAGTTAATAATATTGTCATTGTCAAAACAACTGAGAATGTGTATACATATATTTTTCCGTAATTCGTTGGTGATGAAACATTTTCTGGACCCATTGTTTAAGATTAATTTAATCAACGTGTAATTGCTGATGATCTCAGCAGTTGATTGGGTAACAAATCTGTAGATGAATCGAAATGTGCTAACATGTTTTAGATGAATTGGCAACTTTATATTTGTATGACGTAGAAATAAAGAACGCGAAGGTGATTTTCGTTTATTGAAATGAAAATTTATTTGATAATGATTAAAGAAACAGATTATTACATAGTTACCCGTAGATTGTAAGATTTAGTTAATTTTTCGAGGCTCGGACTTTTAAAATTCGATAATTTAACTATTCCGATTGGATAAATTCGATAATCAACCGGTACCAATAAAAGATCTATATATTACTCTTCTTTCTTCTCTCTGCGAATCACACTTTGACGATTGCCAGGATATAATAGTATTTTTAAAAGAATATCACCGAATAAACTGTTAACAAATGTCAGTTTACCTACTACCATGTTATCAAACACGACAGTAAAAAATGCAAAATAAACCCAAATTAATGAATATTGTCAAACCTATCAGGTTCAAGGTTTCGTTTTTAAAAAGGACAACTTTCTAAATAAAAATTTGGAAAAATGATTAATGTGATAACTTGCTGTGGTTTAGACGAAGATTACTTGGCTAAAGTGGCACGTCATTTATCAAACGGATAACATTTCATTGACAACAAATATATATTCTGAACAAAAGACAAATACCGCTAAGAAAACATTAGCATCTATGAGCAAGCACTCAGCAGACGAAATGCAAGCTCTTACCATTTAAACAGTATGCGGAAATACAACAAAAGGAAACATATGTTTAAAAGGCACATTTTTATTTGAAAAATATTAGCCAAGCTTAAATCAATAAATAATAATGACGTTTTTTTTATCGTTTATACCAATATTTGTAAAATACATTTGCCAATTCCTTTTTATGAACTTTTACCCTACATAACGTTATGTTACCATTGGTGACATTCAGTGAAGCAATATGTGTTTACCATGATTATCTTCTTGAAGAAGTGAAATCGGTTGGAATCATGAGATTTATTACAATACAAAGGGAACGTTGCCTAATCTTTTTTTCTATATATTTAATTCTAGAAAAGCATGACCAATCCACACAATTCATATTATAGAAAACATACATCGACGAAATGCTTTACAGAAAAGTTATTGGCATTGAACATGTTAAAAGCTATCATCAATGTCATCAATACAAATATTCAGTCGACAGTAAGCTTTCTTAAAAATCATTATAATAAAAAAAGTGAAAAGAGACATATACTTCAAACAAACTGACTATAAGAAATGTGCCCATTTGATTGGAGCCACCCAAAACTTACACGAGCAAATGCACAGAAAGGATATATACCATAATCTTATGAGAAATATAAGACAAGACGAACTAAAAGAAGTCGAACAAGACATAAAATTTCTTGATCAGTGATATTAACAGGATTTTCAGGAGAAAAACTCATTCATAATTGTAAAACTCAGACAAGTGTAATCCAAAAATAATTTTAAAGCTCTACCTTGCGTTACAAATCACATCGAAATACGACGTTTTCACTATCAGATATCAGTACATTCCTTTGCTAAATACATCCCATAGTTTGAGAGCAGTAAAACAAACCCCGCACGTCATTTTAAAGTGAAGGTCAACCAAAATCATCGAAGAAACGACTAAAGAACGCCAAATAGCAAACAATAAATGTAAACCTGGGTGTGAAGAAATGTAGACGGCCTCATTGTACCACCTCTAAATATTTATAGAAGGAAATTCTATTTAATTGTAAAAACGAACATTCATACAGTATATCAAATAGTCAATGGCACATCAGAAAATACAAGTAATGTCAAAATATGTCAAAGTTATAATGACGATGATGAAGCTAATGTAGGTTTTCAGCGTACCTTTTATTATTCTATTGATATATTGCATTTACAGATATACAACCTGATAGATTTATGATAACGTTATAAAAAAATATAGAGTGCAATTTGTCAGTTTGGTTACGACTTATGAGTTTGAATATCTCTTTTGTTTCTGTCCCCTCTTTTTTGGACATGAATTAATGAAAAGTCTGTGAAATAGATATTTCTGAAATAACATCTTTGGAACGAAAATGCACAAAATCAAGATGAACTGCTGATATAATAACAGCTATAACTTCTCAACTTCTGCTCTGTCTCAAATGCCTTTCCCAATAGATTTTATTCCTTTAGCTTTTTCTTGCTATAACCTAACTTCTAATGATACGCAACAGATTAATTATTTTGGCAAGCAAATGATACTAAAAATGTGAAGTATTTTTTCTGTACATACCGTGATTTATTTTACTCAGTGCTACATATGTAGTTTTAAAAAAATAATGCATGTTTGACAAAAACAAAAATAGCCCTACACAAGCAATACTAATTCAATAAAATTCGATAAATTTCCGCATGTTTCCCTTCTCCGACGTGTTCCCTTATACACTATTTGACCTACTTTCATCTTTATTCCCGTTCGTCAAATAGGGACCAGCAACAACTTCTGCTCCGACGAAAATGCCTTTTGAAATAATCTTTTTCCTTGCGTTTTTTCTTGCTGTAACCTTCATTCTGCCAATACACAAAATGCTAATTATTTTGGTCATAAACTGATATTTTAAATGAGAAATTTTACAAAAAGGCATGGAAGTTTAAAATCTGCAGACTTTACAATAAACTCACATTATTAGTTACTTCTTTGCATCTAAGTACCTTCTTTGCATATTTGTGACGTCACAGATATCCAGAATATTCTATTGTTGGGAAAATATTACACTCAAACGTAAATATAAAATGCATTTACAAATAAACATGAAGAAAGTTAACGCCCATTAAGATTAATGTGTAAATGCAAGAATAACTTGTACAATCTCTTTCAGTTTGAACTGATGGATGAGCTTCCTTTGAATTTGGTACATTGGGGCCTTGAGAATTATATTTGATTATTAGTTGAAACATATAATTGATAATGTTTAAAGCCTGTTTGACAGTACATGAGTTTGGAATGTTTTAATAACATTAACGGTATGAATTTGACTGCATCTGATTTCGCTGCTAAAATGATTTACCATTTACCAATACGTACACAGTTTACACATTGTTTAGGAGTCTCAGACAAATATTGAAATGAATGGAAACCAGTTTTATTTTGTTTGAAAGGGAGAGTCTATATAGTTTAACAAAGATTCACCAAGTCTAAAATTTACTAGTATTCTATCTACTGGAATTAAAGTTGTTTGAAAAAAAGATTAAATCAAATTGAAAGAAGTTTGTTTTTGTTTGCCAAGCTTAAAGGAGTAATGACACGATTTTCAATTTGTGTTTCAAAATGTTTATTTATACTTAACTTTCCCCAAAAGTACATCGATAGCAATATAAGTGTCAACTATTTAGGAAAATATGTATTTTAATGAGATTTTAATGCAACGATTTATCGACCTGTCAAATATGCATATTTCCATTCCGGAAGTCACTCAGAACGAGGCTACTACGTCAGTGGTTACATTCATTCATATTGACATATGGGTACAGCACAAATTTAGTTTCGATTATTATCCAACAAAACGCATGACAGTGATAAATAATGATTATGTGTGATGCCGATGGATTCAACAATATAATTAAAAAGAATATTGACATGATATTTTCTGTTTTTGAATGACACGCAGACTTAGAAGGTGTAAAGATTGGACTTTTTAACAAGCCCAAACTACACTTCTTTCCGCCCACTTTCATAGGGAATTCAGAGTTGGGGTCTCGGGTGCCATGCCATGAGTTCATCAAAGGTCACAGGTATACGGTACAGATGATTGAGTTTCGCAATTTCAGGTCTCGTTGAAGTTGCAAACTTCAGGTGTCACTCCACATGGGGGATTGATAAGACATATAGTGATTACGCAATATTACTTCATAAGCTCTTTGTGTACATCCTGGATGTTGATTTTGCCGAGGGCACAGGTGAGATTGGAATATATTATTGTGTACAGTAAAACAGGTACAACTACCTGATCGTATATGTTTAATGAATACCTGTAGTACGACCATACAATACCCTATGCACTACCAATTAAATACCCTAACACGTGTTGATAACTTAATAACAACCTGTATATAGATCTTATTTTTATTGCTTTTAAGAATATGCAGATATAAAAAGGTTTATAACAGATGCATTTTTTAATTGACTTCTTGAGAGTCCATAACTTCATAAGAAATTGTTAGACAAAAAGCATAAAAAGCAAACAAGGAAATGATACGAGAATGTGAATCATAAGTCTTTTACATTCTTTTTCTGACACATTCCCTATTTCCATTCTCAATTTTTTAAAATTGAACATCGAATATAATTATTGACAACTATTTAGTTGGTAAAGATTCAGATGACGAAAAACATTTCTTTTTAAAATGGAAACTTTATAATAAATGAAGATTGTGTCGTTTACCGTACGGCCTCCAATAATGAGAAACCCCATACCGTATATTTGGCTATAAAAGTTCTCAGCGTGAAAATGTGAAAACATTTATAACAAAATAATTTCCGTAGAAAGAAATTGACGCGACAACCACTGATCTATATGATCTATATGCTCCTGATTTAAGACAGACACATTCAAAATGTGTCGGTGGTATATGTTTGTGAGCGCCTACGGTACCCTCTCCCCCTCCCAACGTGTGACAGTGGTCTTACAGCAGTACATAAGAACTATAAAAACCAGTCTAACGCAAAAGGTCCGAGTACACAGTTACCGTCCTTTGATTTTCGTCCCTAGTGTGGACAGTGTGTTACTTGCCATTTATTTTTATACCCCTTCCAAATTTATTTTTCCATGTTTTATGACTCAAATAGCAAGTAAAGGGGGGGGGGGGGGGTGAATGACACTGTAAAAAAATTTGGGTCATAAAGATTTTAAGACCCCCTTAACATAAAATTGTCCATATTTTGAGTTAGGGCCGATGAAGTTTTCTATAATTTTGATATAATTTGTCTCAAAAGTAGTACAACACACTGAAAAAATAATTATTGAGAAAGCGCAGTTTGGATTTTTTAAATTTTCATTTATGTGTCTAAAAGAAATGAACTACGAAATAAGTGTGTACTTGGACCAAAAGATCGGTACGAAGTAGAGAAACCACTAACGTTAAAACAATAGAGACAACGCATAAATACTGTTAGCTAGATCAAACAAAGCCAAGTACAGCTAATACACAACTCATGTTCTTGAAGACTGATATATGTTACATGTAAACATTTTCCTGCTCAATCCAATTGAAAATCTAACATTTATTCAAATGACCCCTTTTAGAAAAAAATATTTTGAAAAAGAACATTATGTGTTGCGAATATTTTCCTGGACTCAATCGTTTTGCTGGTAGCAATAAACAGATTGATTGCTGAATGATATTTGGAAGAGAGGGGTGGAAATAAGTGAATTTGAATTTACTCTGTGTAATTCCTTAAATTTGAAGTTAGATTTATAAGGGTCTAGATGGAATAGCATACTTTAGAAGTGTAGTATAACTATATTAATTATTTCAACATAAGGTAGTTTTTCTAAGAAATGTATGATTTTAAAAGGTAAATAACATAACACGTGACTAAATCACACTACAGGTGCCTTCTTACCTTTCACCTGGTCAAGTATGCTATGGGTGTCAACATTTAATCACTAAAACATCAGCCTCTAATAAATGTTTTGTATTGTGTAATTTTATACATTAGGTGAAGACACCGACGAGACGTAAATAAAATATTGAATTGAATTGTCATAAAAGGGGGAAAGTAATAAAATTGTTAATTGAATATCCTAATGCAGAAATAGTGTGATAAAGGATTTTCACTATACAAATCCCTTGTGTGATGTATGGTTTCCAACCAAAAAAATTATAAGCATATCTTATGGTGATAATTTATACATATTAAAAGTCTCTATGTAATAAAAATAAATTAAAAACGGACACTTTGCGAACGCCTTAACTCTTACTATCGTTTTTTTTCTGCTTCTGGCGCACACATAATTATAAAATTACCGTAACAGAGAGAAAAAAAAAGAACAATTTGATCATCAATAATTAGAAATTTATATTTTCAATCATGATTAAAAACTAGTTTTATTTAAATGAAAAAATGCAGAAAGCGGTCTATTAAATTTATTCATCAGACAAACCAAATATGTATGGTAACAATCCGATCGGTATTGTCTGAAAATCGTCGTTTTTGGACTCTTCGCATGAAGAATTAATATCCTTTTCTTGATTATTTTTCACACACAATGTCTTTATAGTTTGTCAGTAATCGGGAGAAATGCTGTCAATACCGTCCACAGTATATCGACATCGTCCAGTTAAGAGACATTTTCCCAGCTTGTAACCACTGACGTAAGCACGACCACGTGATCGTTATCTAATTAAAATTCAGTCATTATGACAAGCGCTAGATTCTTTGACCAGAAAAATGCTGATTTATCAGGTTTTGACCAGCAAAATTGTACAAAACATGTTTTAAGACTAATATTTATTAATTAAATAAAAAAAAAAAAAAATCGTGTCATGTCTCCTTTAAATATTTTTTTAATCTATTTTAAAAAGTGGTTACACCATTTCTGCCTATCCATATCATTTCTGGTTACTGATGGTAAGAATTCATGATATAAGCTTGCTTCCTCTGTTTGAACTTGTCACTTAAGTATTAACAAAAACATCGAACTCCAAGGTAAATTAAAAAAGGGGGGAAGTCCATAAAACCTAACAAAATAAAACCTAAGAGAATATCAAGCAGCGGAACAAATGGAAAAAAAACTGTCATAATCCTGATTTTGTGCAGGCATTTTCGAAGAAATTGTTTGGTAAATCCTGGTTTTAATTAAACTTTATATACATACCGTGCTGATTTTGAAGTGTTGGTTCTTTCAAAAATATGTGCAACGTCATGTTTATCATCCATATAACATTGAGTACATAGATGGACATTACATTTTATACATGTCCATTTTATTCCATAGATATGGGATTCTCTGCACGAAAAACACACGGTTTTGATATGAATAACATCTACAAAACCCAAGAAAAACAAATAGGCATATGTAATGACATCAATACATAAATAACATTACAGCTTCCAAAATATTTCCTACATGAAATTCTATACATAAAATCCAGAGTACATACAAATACTTCATTCGGTTTGCATTTCTCTCCAAAAATTGTTTTTTTAGCATATTCTGGAAAGATGTTTCCTAGATTTCTGATTCAAGCTTTATTTCTATTATATTGGAAAAACGTACTTGAAATAAATCTTAATCGTCTATACCTTTATCATGATTATATTAATTTAATGAAAATTTTTCCTCAACACTAAGCAATAAAAAAGTATATAAAATTATTCAAATTAATTTTGAAGATGGTCATAAGTCTAAAATATAATAGTGAAAAAGTATATCTGAAATTTTCCTTACATATTTGTTTATGCCCTTTTTATATTTAAGCATTTTACAATTTTTAAACACATCCAAAACACCATGCTTATAATTTTGTTGTCTAGACACGCGCCTAAATATGACACATCAGTGACACTCGAATCAAAACAAATGGCAGGCAAATAAAAATCAAAGTTTGAAGCGCATTACCAACCTACAATTCCGAAAAAAATGTGCCTAAAACAACTAAGGCAATATATTCCTGAGAGTTAATAAACCACAGCATTTTACAGAAAATGAACATATCAATGATATTCATATGAACACAAACTTACTGACTGTGCTGATGATACCCTGGAAAACGAAACGTCTACCAACAATGAACCTAGGGAATGTCAAAAGTCATCAAAGATGTGAGGCTTATAATTTGGAACACCAGACGCGCTTTTCGTCTACATAAGACTAAACAGTTGCACTCTTATTAAAACCGTTGGAAAAGCCAAATAAAATACAAAGAACATTAAAAACCGAAAATTTCGCAAAGTTGTGCCAAATACGGCTATAATGGAAATATATGCCTAGTGGTGGATACCTTAGTATTTCGAATAATTCAACACTTTGAGAAATTTACAGCAAATAACATATCAATGATATTTGATGTCAACACAAATTCTGGCATGGCTGGTGATAATATTGGAGACAAAACGTTCCTCGGAAGTAGCATCTATCCGGTAATTGTAAAAACTCATTACAGATACTAGGTTTATTATATGGTAACCAAGTTTGTGTTTCATTTACATAATACTCTAAAGTGGCTCTTAAATAAAAAAGTTAGAAACCAAATAAAATACGAAGTTGAAGAGCATTAACAACCGAAAATTTAATATCATATATTCTTTGGATGCTAAAAACACCCTGAAAAAGCATTTTGCGGAAAGTTAACTTACGGAAATTTGTGATGCAAGTACAATATGTTTTTGAGTGTGTTTGTCGCTGATATTTAACTCTACCATAATTTCAAATATAACAGTGAATTTTATGCATAAATGACTTCATTTGGAATCAATCTTATAAACATACCATTGCAATTGAATAGGTGGGTCTTGTATTTTTGGGATTAATAGCAGCTCGCTTATTTCCAAATTGGAAAATAAATATTTCTGTTATCTTTATTTTGCTTTTTTTTAGAATGCAATATTATTTCAGCTTTATTCGACATTGCAAACCAGCATGTGTTCTTACATTGGCCATGAAACTGCCTTCATGAAATCTAATCGGTAGTTCATCCATCTGCATTTAAATGTCATGAATGTAGAATGGGCTTGTTTGTGTAAAATCAGCATCATTATTTTGAAATTGTATAATTGTACTTTGGTATTTCATATTTTTTTTACTTTGACATTTTTTCTTTCGTTTTTTTTTTTTTTTTTTGTGGGGAAGGGGGGGGGGGGGGTATAATTTGTTTTTGTATTATAATAATTGATGTCATAGTACTGGTGGGCCTGGGTGTCCGATTGATATAAATAGTTTATTCTATTGATTATTCTAGGTCTGTCATCTCTGAGGTTGTGAGTTCGAATCCCATTTGTAGCTAGGCGCAATTGACAGCGATCTTAATTGAGAAGACTTCCAATTTCTATGCCTACGGTCGGTTGTTTTAACCGTGTACTCCAACTTTCTCCATCAATAAAAATTGGTCGCCATGATTTAAACACCAATAGGCAAACAAACAGACATAATACTGACCTGTTGGAGCATTATCAAATACTCTAAGATCATACTGATTTGGACCACCTCTGTATCTACCACTCCTTCCAGTGTCCCAAATCACCAGGATACACCTGTCAGAATCACTTAGACCAACGATTGTTCCTACGAATCCTTCTCCATTGTCTTCACATTTGTGATTCCAGTTAGGTCCACGTACCACCCTTGTTCCCAGCTTTATCTTTTAAAGTAGATAAAAAAATGACAGTGAGACAACACTACTTCTGATTTATGTGTCAGTTACAGAGTGCATTCAAGGCAATGATTATCAAAAAATATTCAAATCAAACCTTGCATGAGGGATAACCCTGCCTATTCTGACCTCTTACCATAAAATCAATAAATTTCATTGCGGTGCATTCAGTGCTTTTCAAACATTTCTATTGTAGTTAATTCAGTACCATCCGGTATCGTTTCATGAAATTCATTATGTCAGGTTTTATGGACGTCACCCTTTTTAAATTTACCTTGGAGTTCGATATTTTTGTAAATCCTTTTTTAATACAAAATCTAATTACTAGTGAATGTTTTGCGTAAACTTTTTTCAGGCAATATTACCTAATTATATATGAGATTGTTTAAGTTTTCTCTCAAAATCAATCAACACTCTATAACTTTTGGTCTTGACTTACCTTTTCAGGAACGGTCAAACATGATGGTAGAGGGTTATTATCATGCAACGTGGTTGTAATTTTCATATCACGATTTTCTTGCTTGAACTCATTATTCACATGTTTTGTTCAAATTGGCGAAAAACTAAGGTGCTAGCAATTTTTTTCGTTCATTCTGAAATAGCCATTTTTTCGTGAAAATACCCTTCACGACCTTTCTCAGAGCTAAAGCCAGGAGTCCGTAAATACGCAAGTATTTGGAAGTATTGATAATATTCATTTGTATACTCTCCAGCATCCACAATTGGCTGAAACACAATTTAACTTTTATTTTAGATATTGGTTTTTTTTCTGCAACAGAGAAAAAACATAAACACCAATAAGCGTTGTGAAACAATTTATCTTACAAAAAAATGAACTGGCTTAATTGAAGCCTGGGAACTAAAACTATTAATTTTCCATATACAAAAATGTTTCAGGACAATGATGCAGCATATCAACAACACAGGAAAAACAAATGCCATCTGGAGGGCAGGATGTCATTTTCCTATTTCGACATGTGACCTTACAATATGGTTAGCTTACCTTAGCCTCGAGTCTAGAAAAATTGAGAAGAAATTGAACAGAAACTATAAAAAAATTTCACTAAAATCATATTTCCTAAGGTAAAAAAAAACCATGAAGGTATAATAAACGACAACGACGATTTTCAAGACGTGGGATAGACGCATCATCAGTTCAGGAAAAGCAATTGATAATACTAGTGATAAGACTTATTAACAAATTGATCAAATATGTCATGTGTTTATATAGTAGTTTTTGTTTGAATTGACTATTGATTGAGATGGTGACATGCGATTCTTAAAAAATGAAAGTTATTTCAGAGATGCAAGACCAAAAGTAGCTTTGGATACTGGACTAGGACTAAGGTTAACTTATCAGTTTCATCTCCTGATACGAAATCGAATTCAGACTGATAAAGGTACGAAGCTTGTGTCACAACTTTTTTTAGCTACCCTGTAACCTTTCAGGAGTAAATACAAAAAGGAGCACTGCATTTCAAAAGCAAGGCTAGCAACAGATCAGAGGAAATTTGATTTTTTCTTTAATTAAACATGATGACACATCGCAGCGTAGAACAGGACACTACCTGGTACTTACAAAATGTGAAGATGTTCTGGCGTGAATAAGACTTCAGATTGTCCTGTTAAACGGAATTTTCAAAAACAACGAAAATAGATGCAATTGGTTTGGTTCTGACGAAGTAAGCCATTCGGATAAAGTTTTATGTTATGAAAATTAAATATGCAATAAACTAAAGTAGTATGAATCTGATTCATACATACCTTTCCTGGACTTTGTTTCCCGGAAAGATCAGTTCCGGTTCCTTGTCTGAAAGTTCAATAAAAAAAGGTCAAGGTTGTCGATCAGAATTTTCCTATTATCTGTGTTAAATAAGCATGAAAACTCCACAATACTCCGAAGTATAAAATACTGGATTTATGACATTTTTGCAAACTGAAACACAAAACACCAAATTTACACTATATGTAAATTTCAATAGAAGACGACGGGCCTAGTTATCTTCATTGTATTATATACCTCAACTTAAATTAAACATTCTAGCTAATCTACCTCCATGTTCATCTTCATATCGTTTACTTAATCCTTTAACTTTCACTTAAATGAACCAAGCAATATAGTAGGAGTTGTGCTTACACTATTCATTGATCATTGAAAGGACAAATAGAACCATCAAATGACTGAAGGGTGAAGAGGAAAGATTACAATAACATGTTGTTTTTTTTTTAATTCTCCGTTATTTAAAAACAAAGACTCAAATTATCTCAGGCAAAGTTGACTTTAGAGGAAATTGGCTTTTATTATTTAGGTCCTTTTTTGGTCACATAGCTCCTCTATTTTTAATTTAAATCACTACAAAACTTGATGACACCTACTTTTATGATCTACTGTAAATTCGTAATTATTGCGAGGGTTTTATTTATGCGAATAATGCAACTGGATGTGTATCGCAAAAATTAGAATACGCATACTGATATCAGATACATATACGGAAATTGTCTCCTTTTGAACTTTGACATTTTGATATTGTGGTTGTTTATTTGAATCATTAAATGCTATTTCAAATCAAAGCCATCATTTAATAGTTTTGATCGAAAACAATATTCATTTACTTTTTATGAAGATTGGATAGCAAACTTGATATTTCAATATTTATTTACGAAAATTACCTCAGGCAAATTTGACTTTAGAGGAAATTGGCTATTATTTTTATTAAGATTGGATAGCAAACTAGATATTTTAATATTTATTTAACGAGATCTGGCGTTTCGTTTTTTTCATTGAAGGTTTTGTAAATAACGATGGGTGATAATGCCGACAATCATTTCTAAACTGTACACCAGTATTGCAAACCTGTAACTTGTGTGTTAAACAATCAAGCATTAGATGCCTAGGTTGGGAAGTACTAGTGTCTGTGCACTATTTTCAATAATAAGAAGTGTTCGCACCCTCAATTAATGTAAACAAACATTTTGTAACTGTCACATTATACGTAAAACCGTACATCCTGAGTTACCAAGTCAACCGATTTCCATTACCAGTAGTCGCTTTTCCATTAAAAGCGGTTCATTGTCACCCTATTGGTGTCATACAAAATATTTCCTAATTGTGTAGTAAAATGCTCAAATTGATAAATATAATATAAGAAATATTGTATAATTCATGTAATTGTCAATGAGACAACTGTCCAACAGAGTCAGAATGAAGCAGATGTAAGCAATTATAAGTCACTGTACGGCCATAAATAATGACCATACCCATATCGTAAATCAATAAAAAAAAGTTCCGCACAGTTTGACACAATGTGAAACATTTCATAAGAAAAAAACCAACGGCACGATTTATGTACAAAACAACAAACGTAAAATAATATGATAGACAGCAACCAACGACAACCACTGAATTACAGGCTTCTGACTTGGAATGTGGCGGGGTTTAACAGGTTTGTGAACGTGCATTCCCCTCTCCTAACATGGACCATAAGTGTAACAGCACAACATGAAAAAGTGTAAAATCAGTTGGAAATGGCTTAATTTATTAGATCGACACAAAGCATAAGAACAACGAACATAAAGACAAAAGACAAAAGGTATTGATCCAAGAGAGCATTTAGTTTCTGGAAGATAACTCAATGCTAACGACAACTAATAAATAAATCAGGTTCTCCAAGACTACGGTATTCAATCAGTACACATCAGTACATATCTAACGAATTTAATGTGAAAATATCATAAACTGTATAAGAAAAGCATGAACTTATGCAAAAATAAGCATATAGGATGTAGGACAATAAGTTTTCATAATATATAGCCATACATATTAATTTTGCTATGCAGTTTATAAAGTGCTATTTTCAATATTAAGATAATAAAAAATGCATGTAGTTCACTGCATAAAATAAGGACATGTGGTATAATTGCAGATGAGACAACTATCCATCAGGACCAAATTACTTAGATGTTAGTCACCGAGTTAAACTATATACCACTGTATGACCTTATATGTGAGATGTTAGGCTAAAGGCTGGGCATTATTCTAATGTTTTAGAAGGACTGTATATGAAAGAACAAAACCACTTTTATTGTGATCAGAAAACAAACTAAATAAGAAAATTTTTAAATAAAATATGAGCAAATAGTTTTATCAAGTGCTTTCAAATTCATAAAAATGGGGTCACAGAGACACTAGACAACATAGTAATTTGTTGTAATATTCTTAAAAAGTTATATTATATATATATATAAAAAAAAAAGGAAAACAGGAAAATACACTAAAATTGTATTCATATAATTAAAGTCACTTTCACAATTGATTTTAATAATATGAATACATACAAGTATATTCAAATTAAAACAGTAAGCAAATGCCTCTACATATTTATCAATAAAAAGGTTTTCATGTGTCAATTCTCAGGTAAATGTCCTTGATAACGTCTCATGACGTGATGATGATAGTCAGGGAATTAATTACGTATTGTTTCATTTAGACTTGCACTTCTTGCTTCCCTGGCAAGTCTTTTGTACTTGTTTGACTCATTCATTTTTTTAATGGAAAAACTTTATATTTACCGCAACCACAAATAAGTGTTCAATTAAATCAATTTGTCGTACTGTTGGGTCCTTGATTTCTTCCGGCTGTGAATTCTGAATCTTTCTTTTAATGAGTTTCCTATTTGTCCTGTGTATGCTTCATTACATGTGTTGCAAAAAGTAAAATGACAAAAATACCAAATTCCAAGGAAAATTCAAAACAGAAAGTCCTTTATCAAATGGCAAAATCAAACGACTGGAAAACAATGCAAACCACACAATAAATAAGATTTACGGAGCCATATTTAAAACATAATTGGGCATTATATTTTTTCTATTTGCCAAGTTAGTTTTGATATTTCAATATTTTACAAATACTGTCGTTACATCTGGATACTCTCTAAGAATAAAGTTGATCGCCATCAAATCCAGCCTTTGTCAATATTTAAAAAAAAAGGAAAACAACACGTTATAAATTTCATGCGTCTGGCTTTCCTGGTTTTACCTATATCAGGAACGCTCAAAGTCGAATAATTTAAAAACCAAGGACGACCGAAACAGTTGAAGAGCTATATGACCAAAATCTATCAAAGGTCAACTTTGCATGAGGGAGTTGAAACCTTAGTTTCTTTATTATAAATGGAAAATTAAAATAACTTTGACAAATAAGAAACATTATCACACTCAATCGTGATTTAAACTGTGGATCCTTGTGTAGGAAAGTTACAAATTAAGTTTTACATTGGGGATCAATTTTAAAAGAAATTGCTCACCATGTATTCGTACTGAATGAGCTATTGACTAAATGGCGTGAACATGATCTGTTCTAAGGGCTAAATGCAAATGAGAAATTTCATTCGTAATTGAAATTGATCAAAATTACAATTGATTTGAAATCATTATTGTAGGGAAGAACATTTGACACTACTCTAAATTCATAGTAACTATTTATCAAAGATGTACATGTAAACAGTTAACAGTTGCTCATGGGTAAATTTAATAAGTAATAATTCATGAATATTTCAATACTTAATAAATAACTCAATAATGTTTACCTTTTCATTTTCCAAATGTAAAAAAAATTACATATATTCCATCATATTCATTCACTAAAAGTTAATATTATAAAAACAAGATTTTATATTTTTTCCGCATCACTTAAATGACTCGATTTTATCGAGCAAGGATAGTGATATTATCAGTTTTTACTTATAGTGGTACATTGTTTTTTTAAGGAAGAATTTAAATGATTCCTCATATGTTGTAATTCTTCCTTGAAGAATCAAGAACCGAAACAAGTTCAGAACTAGATACATAACGCTACCTTAAAACCCATTAAGTTCAACATTGCCTACGGAAGTCACGACTAAGATTAAATCATTATAATTAATTATAGAACAAATAGTTCACAATATCTATATGTTGTATATAGTTTAGACTAAAATGGCGTCAGCAGACTTTTTCCGATGGACAGAATGCAAGTAGGTTTATATTAATCGTTATCAGAAATGTTTAAGATTGAAGTAAATTCGAAAAGGATATCAGTAAAAGAACAATAAACACCAATCTAACGATATAAATAGAAATAAATATATAAATCAAAGTTTAAATGATATTGTAATTGAAATATAGTTATATAGATCATATTTGTTTTTTGTTATATAGTTTTCTATATGAATCTGCCGTCGGTTTTCTTGTTTGAATTGTTCTACATTTTGTCATGTTGGAGCATTTTATTATTTGCTATGCAGTATGAGTTTAGCTAATTGTTGAAGGCCGTAAGGCGACATGTAGATGCTTACATGTAAGTCATTTTTATATCATACAATATCTTCTTTTTTTTTGTTATATTCTCACCAATCATTCCGATTTTAGTGCAATTGATGCTTTATATTTCTAAAGGGGTCGTTTTTAAATCCGTGTCCATTGTATAGGGACACAATGACTCATTTGAGAATATATACTGCCAAAATCTTTCGTTCATTGATCATAATTTTTACCCTTTTAACTTATATAAATATATATATACTAGTGTATACGTGATGTGATTATGAATTCCGCATAAAACAGAACGAAATATAAACGAAAAAAAGACAAAACATTCTTCAGATACTCTAAAGCATAGAAAGGTTTGTTTTGTTGCTTTTATGAATGTTCTTAAAAGATACCTAGCTTGTTTGATTCACCCATTAGAAAGGTTTGTTTTGTTGCATTTATGAATGTTCTTAAAAGATACATAGCTTGTTTGATTCACCCATTGCAAGCAATGAACAATTTAAGTCAATGTTTCGTTTGCTTAATAGTTATAATCTAAAATAACACTAGATAACAAGCTAAAAAATAATCATCTAAAAACAGAGGCATCCACATGTTGGTAGTATAACAAATTACGTGAACTATGTAACGTGAGTAGGAATGAGATTGCACATATTAACCAACTGTTTTCCTCGGAAAATGCCTGTACCAAGTCAGGAATATTACAGTTGTTTTCCATTCGTTCTGTTGGTTGATTAAGTATAACGTTTGATATTGTCAGTTTTTATGATCTTCCCCCTCTTAAATTTAACTTGTAGTTTAAGTATTTATGTTATACTTTTATCTTCGCAACCGATTGCAACCACACCGGACGAGAATTATCATCAAATTTGTACTTTCCTTGAGCAACACGATGTTTAAGATAAATCATATTCTGTTTATTAGAGCCAATAATTATTCTAATTCTTTGTTGTGTAACATGTCTTACCACGTGAATCATTATAATCTCCAAACCATAACATTATCTATATTTTTAAATGTAATTGATATTTTACTTTTTTATCAGGATCGGTTAAAACAAAACATTTGAAAGCAGGGATGTATGAATAACACGATAGAAGCTGTATGACCAAGAGGTAACTAAAGCATATTAAACTATAAACAATAGTTGATATTCTTAAATGTCTAGGCTGTTTTACTGATTATAATTTAATTTCATGTAGAAAGTCTATAAGTTCAAGGTTTCAAAGCAGGTATCAATTACACATTATTAATGATCGACGAAAATAAGGTCATGGTCACATGAACCTTCCTGGCGAACATGTATACAATCATTCCATACACAATATGTGGTTGACCTTTTTACCTCTGTTTCCGAAAAAGGAGACAAAACATGCCAACTCAATGATAGCCATCATCCATGAAAATAAAATCAATATCAGAGTAACCCTGCCAGATAGAAGTGTACACATAACAATAATTCCATACACTAAATATAGTTGACATATCGCTTATACTATTCTAAGAAACGAATAGTAATATTTAAGTCTTAGATACATGATTTTTTTATTATTTGTTTTTGGTTTTGAACGAGCAATTCAGTAAATAAACTCATAATAGATACGAGGATGAAAATTTTGTACGCCTGACGCGTGTTTTGTCAACAAAAAACGCATCAGTGACGCTCGAGTAAAACAGTTAAAAAGTAGTAATAAGTTACACAGTTTAAGTGCATTACGGACACCCAATATAGGAGCACTGAGAACACACAATATAATATACAGCAACACTGAATAACAGGCTCATGACTTGGGACAGGAACATGCTGTGAGTATTCTCAGATCTCTATTTTGTTTTTGTGTTATTGTTAGTTGGTTTTTGTGCTTTGTATCGATCTGATATGTTGAGCCCTTTTAACTTTTTTTATAGTTTGTTCTTATATTGTGATATTGTGCTGTTGCACCAATATCCTAGGTTGAGGGAGGCAAAAGCGCCCGCAAATATATTTACCCCCACTCCTCCACATTGTATATGTGCCTGTTCTTATTGTTTATCATTTTGTACAGTTTGTTCGTGTGTTGTTCTGATGCACCGCTGTCCAAGTTTTGGGGAGGGTTTTTCGCCCGCTTAAATGTTTTACCCCGCCACCTTCTGTATGTGCCTGTCGTCGATTGCTGCTGTATATCATATTTGTTTTTCTTTTTTTGATTTGTTCATAATTCAAGCTTTTAGTTTTCAAGTTTGAATGGTTTTACGTTTGTCACTTTTGGGCCTTTTAAAAGTTTGCTATGCTGTTTGGGCTCATTATTGATTGCCGTACGGTTACTTATACATGTAGTTGTTAACTTCTACGTCATATGTAATGAAACATGATGAACCCTTCCAGACAGGTATGTCCATTTTACAATCATTCCATTAACTTAACAAAATTTACCTAATGCTGATAATATCTGGGAATTGGACGTAATAACAAAAAACTGAAAGGTGAGATAAATGTTTTACTGACGGCTATGAACATCGTACACATCATTTTATTTCTCAAATTAAGGTTACATTGATTATTGTGTCTGCGAAACGTTATTCAGTCAAACATGAGAATGATCTAAATGTCAGATGAACCCTTGAATGCACGTGGGGTCATGGAATCGATTAGTGGATTTAGTTTAAAGTTTATCACTGATCCATGAAATGAGGTCAAGGTTAGGTTAACCTTGTCTGCCCAATGTGTAAACGTGGAGATGCTTGTCTAAAAAGAAGTATTTTTGCATTCCTACTTTTATGCCGATGTGATTCTAATGCTAGTGTCTGTGCACCTATATTACTGACATGTTTATTTTCAACAAAGCTCACTGTGTTGCTGGTCGCTTATTCCAAATAGTAGTACCAACAATTGAGACACCAACTCTTGATTTTCAAAACCGTTAATTGATTGGCACTCCTTGTCAATGCTGACTTAAACGTTAAAATACTCTGCATTTTTAATATATATAAAAGAAGATGTGGTATGATTGCCAATGAGACAACTCTCCACAAGAGACCAAATGACACAGAAATTAACAACTGTAGGTCACCGTACGGCCTTCAGCAATTAGCAAAGCCCATACCGTAAAGTCAGCTATAAAAGGCCCCGAAAGGACAAATGTAAAACAATTCAAACGAGAAAACTAACGGCCTAATTTATGTACAAAATAATGAACGTAAAACAAATATGAAACACAGCAACAAACGACAACCACTGATTTACAAGCTCCTGACTTATGTTTTCTACCTATAAATACAATTAATCCCCACGTACCAAAACTAGATGTTCAATATCGATTAAAAATTTTATAGAAAAAGATAAAAACAAATATGGACACACTTAATAAATCGAATGTGAAGTTATCTAAAAATGGATAAACGCAAAGACAATTACTTATTTCAGGTAAACATGATGGCAGAAAGAAAGTCTTCTTCTTCTACTGATGCAAATTCTAGGAAACAACTTGTAGCAGCTATCAAGAATGGAGAATTGTCAAAAATAGAGAACTTAGTCTCACTTAAGAAAGATATACTTAACCATAAACACCATAGAACAGTAAGTATACACCGAAATATTATGTCAGGTATTGTGTGAAACTTAATGGTCGTTAAACTTAAAAATGTATATAGTAATATACAAACATACCAAAGCCTATAATATCTAATCCATTACACATTAATTGAAAAATTTACGGACGCCTTTATTTAGTTGGCCGTTCATGAAATATCTGAGTCACAAATGACGACGGATATGTTCTAATTTTCGTAACAACAATCCAGTCCTCTTTCTCTTTATTGAGACATCAACGAATTGAACTTATCACCGAATTTGTACTTACCATGAGCAACTTGACGGATGACACATCTGCACCAGAATCTGGTTACCCTTTCATAGTACCAGAGATCGCCCCTGGTTTTTGATTGGAATCGCATTGCTCAGTCTAGTTTTCTAGGTAGAATTTTGTAGACTGTTGTTTTTACGGTCATTGTATTATGCTACTTCAGGCATTGACAATTGGTCATTGTAAGACAAGACAAATGTGTAGATATATTTGTTATGGACATAGGAAACTTTCTTTGCAATAATTTGTAAGAACCTGCAATAAATGAAATTAATAAAAAAAAAAATGATTAATTTCCAGCCTACCAAAAAATGCCTTTGCATATAAAACAAAATTTTACTTTCAATCTACACTTGTAGAAGGAGACCCTCTTGCACGTGGCCATAAGATACCACAGAACGGAATGTGTTGATAAGATGATTTTTCTTGGAGCTTTGACAAACTGTAAAGACAGAATCGTGAGTATAACAAATACGAATTGTGTAGATTCTTTAAAATATCTATGCATTTCACATTTTCAAGACCAACCTTTGGTCAACATGTATTTTTGAATATTACAGTTATTTTAACAAAGATTGACGGGAAAATTAAGAATAAAATTCTTTAAATCATAGACTATCAAATAGATTTCTAACATTTATAAAGCGGTATATATCATACTTTTCAGATACAATCTAAAAATAAAAAAAAATAAAATATGATCTCAATATTCATATTTCAAGTGTTATCGGTAAATAACTTTATTTTGGTCAACAATGGCTTTTATAATATCTTGAAATTAAATCATTTGATCGGATGACGTGAAATACCATACTTCTTATTTGAATAAACTTTCGAAGCCTTATATGGTGTGATAATCAGTCTGCAGTAACTGAAAAAAAATGAATCGGGTTATTGAAATGTTAAATCTATTGTTTTTTTATTAACTACTTATAAAATTACAACAGCTCTAATTCAGTAAGCATTGAAAACAACGGAAAGCTTAGAATATAAAATCGAAAATATATCACTACAATATATAGTGTAACTAACGAAACTTTTATTTTCATATCGCCTAGTAGACAAAGTGGTCGACTGCAGACACGGAGTTGCATGCAAAATTGCAGATTTAACATTGTTGGCTAAATTTTAGACGACGTATATATGAGAAGCATTTAAATAACCAAGGAAAAATCTGTAAAGTTTAAATATGATCTTGAAATATCTTTGTGTTTCAGAACATGAGCTGTAAGATCAATATATTTGCCGTCTATTTATTTAATTAAAGGGTGATTGATTTTTTAAAGAATTCAAACTGAGTTATCTCTCATTGGTTAGTTATATACTTTGATTTTCACCACAGTTGAAGTAAAATTTTACAATCTCGATGGAAAATCTCTACAAACATAGCAGCTTAAAACTAACAACTCGATTCATACAAAAGTAAGCACCATAGAGGTGTGTCTCTTGGTGTTTTTATTTTAAAATAGTGAATTAATCATTCAATGATTAAAACATAGGTCGCTAGATTGAAGGCTGAGTTGTCATGATGTCGAAGTATAAGTCTTTAAAATCCGAGGTTATGTGATAGAGAATTCTGTCGTAGGGTTGTCACATATTTAGACATAAAAAATTAAAGCATATTGATATGACTGCATGGGGAGTATCGTCATCTTTTGCGACGACTAAAACAGATGAAATGCATGGAATTTCATGTACATGCCACAATACATCCTGTACTGGGTTACAATCTTAAATAAAGCCGATGTAGACAGGACATAGTTCGAGTAATCAAAGCTATATAGCCTAGTATGCCGATTGGCCAAGGTTTCAGAACATAAAGCAGAGAGAGTAGCCACAATCTCACAGAAGCATGGGTTTAAATCCCGCACAGGGAAGGACGAAAAATTTACTACCGCAAATATATGTATATATAATGAGTCACTTATTTTCCCTACTATCACTCATTTTCCTACCATCACTTGTTTCCAGTAACTCAGGCTTCCGTACAAGACTCTAACAGTTTTAAGGAATTTTTGAATTATACCAGTTTAAATTACAGGGTTCTATTCATTTGGGAGGGATGTACAAGTACGCAGTCACGTTCAATTATTAAACCTGTAATAAAACTGTTTTAATTTCTCTACCGTTGTCAAATTTGAAATATTATACCAGCTTAGATCAGTCAGTGCTGTTTGTTGGGAATGTATTTCCACGCAACCGTTGTTGTAACATCTTAACTGTGGTCACCTTTGAAATTTTAGAGTTGTACCAGTTCATATCGCACATTACTATTTTTATTTGAAGCATATCTTTGCAGTCTCTGTTGTAAATAGCTATATAACCTACTTAAATAAAAAAAAATAGAATTGTACAAGCGTCTCTATGATGTTCAGTTTTGAATGCTTTATTGTATAAATTTCAAGATTGTTGTAGTTTTATAATCAGTTTAGATTGATATGATTTATTTTACATCGTGATCATACTGATGAAGGATATCTGTTATCCGAAATATTTAACATTTGTTTAGTTTATTATTATTTTTTGGTGATGTTGTACCCTTTTAGACTTGTTATATATTATATTTTGTAGTGTACTGTATCATAATTATATGATCCATCGCCCCGTAAGATTTATCGTTGACTATTATTCAGTCATTATATATATATATATAGAATGCATGATCAAATTCCTCATGTTCATAAATAAGGCTGAGCATGCATCCATTTTGAATGTAAGCAAGAATGACAAAACAGTCAATAGACTTATCTGTGTATTGAGAACCTCAAAGCAGACTTATCTGTATATTGAGAACCTCAAAGCAGGATAACAAGTATTATTCTTATGCAATCAAATGTTTGTTTTTCAAAGTCATATGAAGTATATTGTGATGTGCATTTTAGGGGAATAAACCAATACATACTGCTGCTATTTATGATCATGCTGATGGTATCAAAATATTGTTGAGAAGGAATAAGGAATGTGTAAACAAAACCAACAATCGAGTAAGAATCAATTACTTTTGTCAAGAATATTATTTCCATAGAATATTCTATGAATCCATAAAAAATCTATCTCGGTTATGTAATTATTGTTGTACGCAGATACGAGATAATATAAGCGCACTGGAGTACGGAATATAAGAAAAATTATTTTAGTACTACAAACAATCTTTGTTAACAAGTATGTAGAAAAGTATCGCATATCTGCTTCTGTTTTAATGAAATATATATAGTGGCGTCAAAAAAATACATAATTTGAAAAATTTCAAGTAATTCTATGAAATTTTCCCCTTAGTGATTAGAACATGTAGAATGTCTGATTTCAATTAACAAGAGACACGGCGTAGCTTTGACATTAATAAGCTAAACTGATCATATAGTTCATTGTAGTTGCTAAAAAGATCAAAACGGTGACCACAATATTGCATTCCATATGTTATATACCATAGAATAATTGTAAAGTGGCTTATAATCCCTGAGTTTATATTATTCTCTTTCTAAAGCGGAACCATTTTGCAAGGTTTCATTTTTGCATGAATCTGATTTCCCCCTTAAATATCAAATTAACGCGAGGAAATATTTTCACGATTTTGTCTTTATCGAGAAATTAGCGAAAATAAACCTCTCGCGAAAATTTCTGACTTAATAGAAGGTTATTTTTCAAACAGAAAGAAACACCTTTACATATAGCTGTCAGATATGGTCATACAAAATGTGCTGAATTGCTGATTGAAAATGGGGCTTCATTACATGCAGTTGATAATATTGTAAGATAATATATTACATGTTACATATCACTTTGTTGAACTAGCTCTCGGCCAAGCTCAAATAATATTAACTAATTTTTACATGAACTCGACCTATACTATAACAGTTATCAACCTGTTTTCAATGTCTGAACCATACTTGACCAATTCTTAATCATACCCTACCAGTTAATTTCTATGTTATCTAACCTGAACGTGTAATTTACAATTATTTATTCAAAAACACATTACTTCCCTTTTGTATATTTTTCTGTTATAAATAAAATGCAATCATGGCTCATTTTGAAACTAAAAAATATCACAATTTTCAAATAAATAATAATTCTATTGTACAAGATGTTTCTTCGTGAAAGGTGCATGTGCTAAATTTATTGAAATATCCATTTTAACAAATCAATAAGTTAACATAGAACATGAGATGTATACAATGTATTTTTCCTCACGTTTAGACTTAATGTGAATATAGTCATGCGAATTCTTTAACAATATCACATATTCACTATGGAAATATACAACATTGATATTCAAAAATGATAATGCAAATTAAAAAAGTGCCTTTCAATCTGCTAAAATTATGAAAATATCCACTGAGATAAAAAAAACTTTTATTAAATTTTAATTGTGTTGAATATACGGTCACATAACAGGTATTTTAAAATTGTCAGCTGTTTTTCAAATATAATAAAATTACACGAGATTAAGGTAGAAAATTATAAGTAAAATGTAGATAAATTTTATCTGAAATTTATGAATCACTTTTTTGACAATCAGCTATATGCAGATTCTTTTTGTTTCAAAAAAATAAAGTTATCATAGTAAGTATTATCGTGTCAAATACAAGATTATAACTTTGTTATTTTTCTTTACTGAATAATATGTCACTTTCAAATTATCACGGAAAATCAGTGTATACAAAGTGCGAATCCAGACATTTCATTTTCATTGTCATATGCGAGTATTACTATTGAAGAATAAAGGATGACGGGAAAAAATGTGTTTGTTTCCGTTTTGAAAATACAAAATAATTGATTTGAATGTATGTTTTAGCACAATTTCTTTACAATATGACTTATCATTGTACACTAACAGGTTTAAAGTCCAAAAACGTGTAATTAAAGCAACATAATCTATGATATCGATTACTGAAAGCAATTCATTTTAACTACAAGTACGATGCATTATCACTGTAATTGCGATCATTTCTGATGTGGGATTTTTGTAGTTGTTATAAATTTTCATTGTGGTTTTATGTGAGAATTGGACATGCAAAAACTAACAATATCATTTGATAATTTAATATTGTTGATATTTACAATTCATAATCCAAACTTATCGTGCATGCTTAATAGACTATACACGAAGTATAAAAATGTAATGTACACGTTGTATACATTTTAAGAGTTCCAATATTTACTGAATGATAAACGCACTTATGTTTACAAACCTTGGTTACAAAAACTCCCTTAAAATTGCAAACATTAAATAACTTTAAGTAACAACTGATATATTTGCAGATCGTAAGCGTATCCCCCCCCCCCAGAATATATCCCGCATACCTAGTTCATAACCATTATTATGATTTTCTAAAATACTCATCATTGTAAGAAATTGTTAACTGTACCGTTCGTTACGGATATTCGTAAAAGTACCGTCAAAGATCGGCTTACCCTTCCGGAGTACCTGAGATCACCCCTGGTTTTTGGTGGGGTTCGTGTTGCTCGGTCTTTCGTTTTCTATGTTGTGTTTTGTGTACTATTGTTTGTCGTTTCGTCGATTTTGGTTTTTGGTTTTTTGCTATGGCATTTTCAAGTTTGTTTTTCGACTTATGAGTTTGAATATCCCTTTGGGGTCCTTCGCCTCTCTTTTCTTGTATCCTACGTTGGTAAAAACATCGGGAAGAACTATTTAGAAATATCTATGTTTTATCTTTTGTAGCAACTTACCTATTTGACATTTTTAACATTTCATATTGAAAATTAAAAGACCTGAATTTTGTGTGTGTTGCACGTGAAACAGAAGAGCCCACTCATCGGGTGCACGTGATTGTAATCCAGTTTCTGAGAGATTTCGCGAAAATATCCCTAAAAATCTAGTATTTTGATCTTGAGGTCAAGGTCACACGAACGTCATGATGATATACAACACAGTGTCTTGAGTTGAAACATGTCAATATCATGCATATTAAAAGAGTTTGTAAGTGTCATGGATTGAATATATTCTGGTGTAAAAAAATCATAAACTCAATGCATTTTTACGGCGAATTTTCCTTGAAAAGTTTCAGTACTTGCTTACATAAGCTTTGGAAATTTATCACGCAGTAGTTATATATAAATAAGAAGATGTCGTAGGAGTGCCAATGAGACAACTCTCCATCCAAGTCACAATGTATAAAAAGTTAAAATTTATAGGTCAAAGTACGGCCTTCAACACGGAGCCTTGGCTTACACCGAACAGCAAGCTAAAAAAGGCCCCAAATGACTAGTATAAAACAATGCAAACAGGAAAACCAACGGTCTAATCTATATAAAAAACGAGAAACGAGAAACACTTATGAACCACACCAACAAACGACAACCACTGAACAACAGGCTCTTGTATGTACATATTTCAACCATATTGATCGTCTTAGACATCGGAATCGGATTTCTTTTAAACCGAGTTTTACTGTGCGTATTGCTGTGTGTTTGTTTATTCCACATTGGCTAGAGGTATGAGGATTGGGTTGAGATCTCACAAAACCTGTTTAACCCCGCCGCATGTTTGCACCTGTCCTAAGTAAGGAACCTCTAGCCTCTGTTAGTCGTGTGTGTTTTTTTAATTTTGGTTCATTTGCATGTTTCAGGGTTAAGTGTGGCGTCCATTTCGCTGTTCTAGTATAAATTACGGGTGCGGGATTTTCTCGCTGCATTGAAGACCTAGTGGTGGCCTTGGGCTCTTTGGTCGAGTTTTTGACACACTCCCCGTTTCTATTATCTATTCTATTAGAATAGTCAAAACGCACAACGAACAGTACAAGAAATTGCAATGAACGGTAATAAACAAACAAACTATAAAGACAACGAACCATGACGAAATTTGGAGTTTCGTCTTTAAAAATCTATAAATGAAATATAACAACGGATTTCTCATCAGTGAGTCGTCCTGAGCATGCATAGAATATTTACCACTGGACGTTAAGCAACCAACAATCAATCATTAGTTTTTGACAATTTTTAATAGACCTGTGTATGAATTACTTGTAAACATCGCGAAACAAAGACTATGTGTAACACAAAATTGATTAAAATATAAATAAAAGCATTGTATGTTGACTCAAAAAACTAAAGTATTAGGACGTTCTAAAATGTACGATACGAAGTAACGTCCGGAATCTACTGCACGGCGGTTATACCCGTGATTTAAAAGCAATAAACGGTTTTCAATATGTCTTTGTAATTTCAAATTAGGTATTTGCAACAATATGCAAGGCATTCAAGCATAAATTAAGGTGAATCAACAGCTGTTTGAACGTTCTTTACTGTGTAAGATGCAACTCATGATTATGCATCCATTAATGACGTTTCATTAGTAAGTGATGTATAGTACCCTAGATAAAGATCGAAACTGTAAAACTTAAGCACAGTTTGGTTTTCGGTGGCCAAGGATGTGCTTAACTGTCCAATGTGTATGTGTTCAATAATAAAATGTCATTGGAAGATATTTTACCTTACACATATATCCGGACGAGTAATTAGAAAAAAAAATTGAAAAGTTTAAATTTAGCAATAAATGCTATTTTTACGGAATTCATTTTTGTAATTTCACTCATAAAGTAAGCATTATCAAATCCTTCTGACTCTATTAATTTTGTGAGCGAGTCGGCTGAATAAATACTATATTTGATGATAATGAATAGGATTCCTAATGTGAAAATGCATCGCAAATATAATAGAAATGATCGCCCTTACAGTGGAAATGAAAGTAATGTATCAGTAATTGACAGTAAACATAAATCGCAATACAGAAGTAGCATAGTGGAATTGAACTCAATAGCAACAAACTAAACGACAAAACCTGTTTTGAGTTAAACAACATTAATGATTATGTTAAAATGTATATTTTTCTGAAAATAAACTTTACTGCTGCTTTTATATCTCATGCACGCTCTGTTCGTGGAATATTCTTAAAAAGTATCTATTTGTGTATCGATTTCACACCTGCATGGCTGTAGGCGCGATATAAACCCGTCTGCATCTCTTACCTGTATCATGAATTTATCAAAACAGTACGATTGATATACTATGTCTTATTTGATTCAAAAATCATCAATTTTTCGTCTGTTAATTTATCATTATACATCAGATATACATGATATTTAGGTTATCTTACCAATGTTGTAATTAGATCTTTGAATATAGTTTACATTGGCACTAATATCGATTTTGTCATCAGCAAATTAAAACATAACTAAATTTGTTTTCATACAATCTTTTCAAACGGGATGTATAAAGACACACCCACGTTCGTTTTGATCTAAAAGAGGTTAAACTCCTAACTATCCTACTGTCTGTCGATACATTTATTTTTGGCATTGGACTAGTCATATCTTCTTTGACTGTCCATGACGTTAAAATACTAAATCCCTGGGATGTGTTTTAGGTGATTTTAGTCTCTGATGCATGATTTTTTATTATTAATTGTTTTGGCTTTTAACTAGCTGTCAGTAACTGCGAGTACTCTCAAATCGTACTTTCTTGTTTATTGGACCTGTTGATACTAATTGTATTGCTTTTTTGTTATTTAATGTTATTCAGGGTTATATCTGGTCTATATACCAGCTTTGATAAGTGTTTGGTATTACTATAAAGTTTCACTTCGTACTATGAACATCAAAATTATCTATTTTGTAAAAATATTTCCTTTCTTTATTGGAACTGTACACGTAAACCTAACAACAAAATTATTTTCATTTACCTGTGTTTAAAGTTATTGCAAATGGCTGATATTTTTGTTCGAGCATATTGTTTTTCTTTAATTGTTTAACATTTCATACCGATATAACATGTTACTTTTATTATTCTTCCCTTAGTTTATTTATTTTGTATTTTACATTGTATCATAGGTCAAATTTATTTGTTCAGTGTATGTTCAATGGTGTTAATATGTCCTTTGATTGAGTTAAGATATTTCAGTTGATATTTTATAGTGTGTCTTTCTATGTTGTGATGTTACACTATTGTTTCGGAAAAAGGGTGAAGGTTTGGTATCATTAAAACGTTTAAACACGCTGCATTTGTTTGCACCTGTCCTAAGTCAGGAATCTGATGTTCAGTAGTTGTCGTTTGTTGATGTGGTTCATAAGTGTTTCTCGTTTCTCGTTTTTTATATAGATAAGACCGTTGGTTTTCCCGTTTGAATGGTTTTACACTAGTAATTTTTGGAGCCCTTTATAGCTTACTGTTCGGTGTGAGCCAAGGTTCCGTGTTGAAGACCGTACTGTGACCTATAATGGTTTACTTTTATAAATTTTGACTTGGATGGAGAGTTGTCTCATTGGCACTCATACCACATCTTCTTATATCTATGACAGATACAATAAAAATGATATTTCAGGATTCGCACTTTATATACACTGGGACTTATTAATATCGATCATTTTTTTTCCAAATTAAAGGATTCTTTTGCTTTTAATAATGTTCGCTAATAATTTCAGAAATATATACCAGGTATACAAAATGAATGAAATGAGATGTGTGGTATTGGTCAGTGCGACAGTAACCCAGAAACCCAAGGCAAACCAATAATCTCAATATACACCACTTTTATAATAAAACCATTTTGTTTTCTAAATAATTCAAAAAATTTACATACAGGGAGATACTCCAATACACACAGCAATCCAATACAGACAAACGGGCTGTCTACAACTGCTTCTAGAAAATGGGAGCTCAGTTGTTGTCCTGAATAGAACAGTAAGTACAGATGTTCAATAGAAACATATTCCTTCATCTGGAACTTAGCGTTAAGCAAACTCATGGATGATGTTTTGGTTCGCATAGGAACTTATATATAAATTACAAGGTAATACTAATCAGAAGTCAAAAATCAAAATCTAAAAAAAGATTTTCTGCACCTTTAATTTCAAAATCGAAGGTTTGAATTCAAACTTACTTATATACCACAACCAACATCTAAATATCATAGGCATATTTAAGCTGTTTTAGATTTACAAAAAATCTAGTTTAGCATGTGAAAATGACACGTGTATGTATTATTTTTTTAAACATTGTTTAATGTTATGTAAATTTTGAAATGTGCTCTTCGGAATTTTCTAAAGAAATAATTGATGACAAGCGTGTTTAACATGAATAGACACAATTCGCTTTTTTGTTTAGTGTCAATTTTCGTGATTGGTTGATAAATAACTTGTACTGATAAAATAGACAACATCAAGCTTGCAATACAACATGAAATTGTCAAAATATTTTCAATTTTCTCAAAAAGTAATGGTGAATGTGCATAGCGTAATTCGTTCTTCGTTGCGATTCAGTGAGAAGCATAATTATGAAATGTAAAGCAAATTGAATATTCATAAAAAATAACAAGTTAGATGTTCAGAAATTTAAAGTAGTTTTCAATGAGATGTTTGCTAAACGAACATTACTTTGATTAACCATAACATTAGTTTCAGCTAAAAACGATTGCATGTGATTTTTGGGGAAATGTAATTAAATGTCCATCATTCCAGCAGCACCTGCGTATGAACTACATTTCAGACGAACGATAATAATATATTATATATATTTTCATGATGTCTATAAAAGATGATTGGTGCTCACAAGGGAGCAATTGAAAAAGGGTTCATAATTATACAGTCGAACTCTTAACATCGATTGTGGCATCACAGAATGCGACAAACTACAGGAGTTCTACTTACCATGACCAACAGGACGGCGTACCCTCCAGGATCACCTGACTTCATCTCCAGTTTTTGTTTTGATGGGGTTTTTATTTCTCTATCTTTTACTTCTCTGTGTAGTGTTTTGTGAAATATAGTTGACTCTTTGGTCATGGTGTTATCTATTTTTCTGTCGACTTATGGTTATATATTGCCCCTTGGTATCTTTGTTTGCCCTCCTTTTTACTCAATGATTTCAGTTCTGACATCGAAATGTCTTAAATGTCAATCAAGCAATGAATGTTTGTATTTTATTTTGATTTTATGGATACGTTTTGTGATTGTCGAGACTTTCAATATTGGTCTATATCTATACATGTATACTCTAGTTTGATGCTCATGGCCCTGTCAGCTAAACAAAATCTAGGAAATATAAAAACAACAAATAAAAAAAGCTTTGTCGCTGAAAAAAATAACTATGATTGCCCCGTTAATACACCAGAAATTATTATGAAAATGAAAATGTAAAAAAAAAACCACTTTGTACATTTGGTTCGTTCGAAGTACTTCATTAGATATTCTTTCTTCAACACAAACATCTGAAAGTCAAAGATGTATAAATATTTAAATGCATGAGGAGCTATCTGAACAAAAAGGTACCTAAGAAGAATAGCAAAATTCATTTAAGATCAAATTCTTAATAATTTCTAAATTTATCAACGGGGAACAAAGTATTGTACAACTCAAGTCAAAACCGAAGCACTATTGAGCTTTTGTACACTTCTTCAACAACGGTATCGGCTCAGCGGCGCTATAAAATGAGAACTTTTTTATAAATATGGTGCGTCAAAATCGCTTTTCTTAACAAACTAAAAACTTTAAAAGTACCCGAATACTGAGATAACAAGCACTAGATTTTTTAGATAGGAATATCAAAGATACGTTTCCATATCCTCTTACTGGAAATAAGAGGCAACATTAGTTAGCCGATGTTCAAAAATATCAAATCCCATTTGAATTTTAAAACCAATGGAAAACACCTTAGAAAATCGCATGAGCTGGACCGGCGGCGTCGAAAGAGTAATCATCCCCTGCATTAACCCCTATGTGACACCAGACTCAGTAACATATGGCTAGATGGGGAGTTTGAAACAATCTGCAAATTTTACAGATCAGATTACTATTCTGGTGTATAAGGATTTACCACAACAAAAATATGTCTCTAGTTAGTTGAGGTACATACACTTCTTATTTACAGAGTTCAAACAATCATATTTCGTACCGTTCAACCAACTCGGTGACCGTAAAACTTGTAAAGTGTCAATTTTAGTTCTGCACAACCTTAATGGAGGAATTTTAGTATTAGGAACACACCCTGTTAATGACGTCCGTATAAAAGAACGAAGTCTTAAGGCAAAACAGTTCATATATACAAAATTTGGGATCTAGTCAATGACATGCTGGGCAGAAGATGTTTTGATACTTGAGGATGATGAAGGTAAATCCAGAAAAGCGCATCGGACGCACCAAATTGTAATGTGCTCTGCATGTACATATATCTGTTGATAAACTGTACACCGTCCTCTTCGCGTGTGAATTATCTGGTGAATTTAGACTTTTTTTAATCTTTTATCGTCACGACTTCCCCTTTCAATTGATACCTGTAATGCATAAATACTTTTAAATCTTCATCAACAGAATGATTCGCCTTTGGAAGCTGCCGAAGATCTGCATGATAAATCATTGGTTGCTATTTTACAAGTAAGATGTTATGTTCAACTAAATGAGCTATTTTCATATTTTGACAGGTTTGGACTGATCTGATATGAAAGAAACGATGCATGGGATATATGTTATGCATAAAGAATCAAATGCATATTTGCCATCTTATTGACATGTTGAACTCTCCCTATATTTTAAATTAGTTTTCAAGGAAACAACATGATTTAAATCTACCCAAATTAAAAAAAATATCTTAAATAAGAACAGTTACTGTAAATAGACAATTATATAAATGTAGATATCCCTACAAGAATAAGAATACTAAATAAGAAGGTGTTTTTAGTCATCTTTTGTCTTATTATATCACGGTAAAATAACAACCAATTAATCCAAAAATGTTGGTTTTGCAAAATAGAAACCCAACTTCTAGGGATATTATACAACACTGAACAGGAAAAAAAATTATATTTCTAATATTCATACCACATGTTTTTCAACTTTAATCGGCTACTCTGTGCCTAAGATAATTCCAAACAATATTGCTATTGCTGACGAGAGAGCAAGCACGATCTCTAATCTCATATGTTTGCTAGTGTTGTCAGTTTTGCCAGGAAACAAAGTGTAACGAGCACACATTTTCTGAATAACATTTTTGTAGGCTACACGTCATGAGACAACAACGAAAACAACACTTAAAACAACGATACAAAATGTCGAGTTCAAACAGTCGGGTATTGGGCGGAAGGTACCCGCTTAAATCAAGTTGCTGTACAGGCTCAAGGGTAGTAAATAAAAGATGTTTTTGTTTTACTGCAATCAATGTCTGAATATTTCTAAATTAACAAAAAAAAACATTTGAATCCCGACTTCAAATCTGAACAAGTCTTTCCAGTTTTATAACCAATTGTTCATCTTGTGGTTACTATAACAAGGTCGTTTAAGATAAAAGTGAATAAAAACATTGTATTTATATAATTAGACAGTGAAGAAAATAACATTGGTAAATTTTTCACCGAGGCTCGGATACCGATAATCCACTTGTCCCCATGTAAGAATCTATATAATATGTATTAAAAATCATGTGAACACTATTAAATTAAAGGATCCGGATTTCATGGACAGAAACAAAAATGCTTTTTTCAATTGCTTATTGTATTTTACGCCGGTTTGAAAAAGGAGAGAAGATATCAAATTAGTTTGTTTGCAAAAGTAGAAAGACCGACGCATAAATAAACAACAGTCCGCAATACACTTCAAAGAAGAATTAAATTAAAGCAATATAAACCTGCAAATAACTACGAAGTGAACTCGGGTGCTCCGGAAGAGTCAGTAGTTTCTGCTCAACTAGTTGCATCTGTCGCGTTACTACTGGCAAGTATAAATTCGGGTACAAATCTTATTAGGTCATGTCACACTCGATGAAAAGACTACGTATACGGGATTGTAACAAGTGGAAACTATTCATTGTTGTTTGTGACACTGATATTGTATAACGCTCAACCAAAACTCGATGGCTTCCATCAACTGGCGATGTGATGACTTCAACACAACTTCTTTGTAAGCAGCTTCTAAAAAATCTTTACTTGAAAACTAGTTATCGTTTTCTTTGAAAAACTTTCTAGTAAATATGATTATTTATCAAATAGTTTATGCAATATTGTTAACATCTACCAATATATTTCTAGAAACGTTGATCAATATAACTACGTCTTTCCACTTTTCTGTGGAAAGACTTATTGTATTTGTTCTGATTATTATTATTTTTTCTTCTTCCGCCAAATCTTTTTCTTGTGGTATATAGTGGATTAGCAAGATGTCGCTTAGATTATTTTCATATGAAATCGAACAGTTAGTGCGCTTTTGAAACTCACCCTATTTAACCGAACACTTTTTATTGTTAGAGTTAGCTCTCCAAACAACGTTTTTCTTATGTGTGCATCTCCTTTTCAATTGTAAAAGAAATCAACAAATTTGTTTTTCTAAATTGCTCGTTGAATCCTCAGGATGCTTCGGTCAATTTTTACCGAAGCGATACTGAGACTCCATAGAGAGTTATTTCCCCTTTTGTATTTGACATAAGATATATCTAAAAGTAACTCATGAACCGTTAGTGATAGAGACCAGGGTATCTTGATTTGATGTCCATGGTCCACCAAAAGGAAAATGGTGGTTAAAGGTCAAGGTCATGATTTAAATTTTACCCTTTGCTTGTTTATGCATCTTATATGATACTATAAAAGCTGGATATGAAATAACTGGTACTACATATTTAGGTTGTTGAGACGAAAATATGGTTCTTTAGTCCGAAGCGATCTGATGATATCTTAATTGAATAACTGCCCCTGAAATGTAAAAATCTAAGGTTAATTAATTATTTCTCAATGTGGTACATGATAAAGCCATAGGGTCTATTGCAAAATGTTGCACTTTTTTTCACGGAAAGTACCTAATAACCATATTTAATTTTAATAGGTCAATTTAAAACTATTATTAGAGACCGGAAATGACCTTCTATAAACCGGAAGTAGCTTATTATCTCTCTTTTTTCAAGCAAAGGTATATAGAAACCATATATTTTTGGAATCAATAAGAATGAAGCTTTCATTAGAGACTGGAAGTGTCATCTTCTTTACCGGAAGTAGCGAATTATCTTCCTTATTTCATGCAAAAGTATATAAAAACAATATATTTTGCAATCAGTTTGAATAAAGATAACATATGAAACTGGAAGTGACATTTTCTATACCGGAAGTAGCAATTAATCTCCCTTATTTGAGACAAGAGTATATACAAGCCACATATTTTTAATGAGTATGAAGAACCTTATGATTATGCGCCAATAGTAACTTTGATCAAATCGAAAGTAGTTTCTAATCATTTTTTTAAGAAATTTAGTTTGGAAAAACCTTCAGTTGTTCTCTGAACAATAGGGGTTTTTTAATTTTCTTATTAGACATGTTACGAAATGGTATATACTCGACGCTGAGGTTGACAAATTAGACTTTAAATGCGGTTATCGTATCAAAACACAAAAGTGATTTAAAGATTTAAATTACCTGTATACCAATTGAATATAGATCTTGTGTTTTAACTGCATAGTACTGATGTCCACGTATATTTGTTGCTTATAAAAGACGTCCCTTTGATCTCTTTATTATGGACAAAAAGTCCCCCCCCCACCCCCAAAGCCACCACCACCACCACCCCTTTATAAATTAAATCAATATTTATTTGCTATTATTAATTTTTTGAGTTTTCGAAATCAGCAGCGACGGATCATTTAACTTAAAGGGGTGTTTATTGGAGGTCAGAACTTTGGACGTGTTGCAAGCAATGCAGAACCGACTTATTTCATAATATGATGAAAGTCCAGCTGGCGGGCGCGCGGAGGTGCAGACGAGCGGGAGAAGAGAGTACCCGTTTTGAGGAATAAACTCCTAATCTATGAGCTTTTAAACTTTGTACAATGCCGCGGTATTCATATACATGTGCAACTCCTTTTATGGGCTCATTTTTTATATAGTTTGCCTTTTTTTCAGAGTTTGAACCTTTGTGAATTTTTGGCAATTGCACATACATGTATCATGCATATGACCACGATGATACCTCTATAGCCTCGCTTGACCTTTTAAGACCTTGAGAATGATTTTATAATAAAATCATAATCTGTTAATGCCTACTCAGGAAAAGCTTAATTTCCCCTATATTATTTTCATGTAAAATGTTACTGGTTCGACCCAACGAAATGAGAAAAAGACATCCTATACATATTCATGCACAGTTTTAAAACAAATCGAATTGTAATTTCTGGGGTATGAAATTGTATTACCCGTTTGATTAGCCTTTCAAGCAGTCCGAAAAGTCTAAGGCATGTTGTTTCTTTGTTTATTTCTTTAACTTTAACTTTAACTAAGTCTTAGGAAAAGAAAGTTTAAACTGCAATTGTAATTCCTCATGTAAGGGTTCTATGTCAAATGTGACTCGTTTTTCGCCTGTTTGACATCTTTATACATATTTCAGCATATATCTCTTTGAGGTTTCTGTTCATGCTTCAATTAAGTGCACAAGTACATGCTTAGATACCAATTCTTTGTGAAATCTATACACTAAATATTTCTTAGTCGACCGTAGAAAACTTTCGACAACTACGTGGCTGTTGGCAGAAAATGCCCTCAGCGTTAGGAACAATTAATAGCAATTGTCATGACATTTACAGACCACACACGGAGCATCGGGAACAATTGTATTCTAGATACCGGCATTGCATACATACGCATGTTTTTGTGGACAATATATAGGAATCATGTACATTATTTTTGTAAAATTCACACGCAGTAGTTTCATAGGTCAACAGGATAATTTACTGCCTTCAATTGACCAGGTATGGAATTAGATTTCCAACCAGGTTTTGTCATTTTAGGTAATGAAATATACCACATGTACATGTAGTTCTCCTCTCGTTTCCTCTAAAGGCGTCGTAAACTTAAAGCTACATGTAGACCAAGAGCAGAAAGAATATAATGTAAAAAGTTAACCTGCGATTATCGTTCGGGATTTCGTGTATATGTTGAACACGCTACTTGCCGCTTAAAAACTTTCAACCAGACCAGACTGTGGAGCTTTGTGCGGGTTTAGTAGAGATCGATTGATTGTTGTTTGTTGTTCGTCCAGTGACAAATGTTTCATGCATTTTCAGGCCGAGGTTAAGTAGTGGAGTGTCAGATTGATAATTATGCTCGAAGAACAGTAATTAATATAAACAAAATCAAACTGGCTTATTATGTGATTATTTTTTTCAAATCTAGAAGTGCACTTGAATTACTATCAACCCTATCCCCCGCACACACGTACACTGTTCCCGTCAGAAAACAATCTTTCTAAATTAACATGATTTCAAACGAACGAAAGAAGTCTGTAGGATACCTGGTTAACATCACGTAAATTGAATTTTACCTGTTTTACTCGATAATCAATGTTTTGAAACAGTCCCCACATTTAAAGTCTAATTTGTCAACCTCAGCGTCGAGAATATATCTTTTCGAACACGTCTAGTGAATTTGTTTATGTTTAGCATAAATATATCATTGTTGTTAATCCATCATACTTCAAAATGCTAATAAATATAATTTTTTCAGGATGTAGTTTCGGTGTTCGATAGAGATTTAAAGATAACTGTACATAAGATTATCAATTTTAATAAACTTCAATAGTTGAAACTGAATAAAAGTTTCATTATATATATTATACACTGCATATTTCAAAATGATTAACAACTAGATATAGTAATGTATTACACATAGTCTCACAAAAATAGCTATAAATCGAAAAGTGAAAAAAGGATTCGTGGTAGTTATCTTATATGTTTGTTGATACAAGATTGATATAATAAAATATTCACACCAAGGAAAAGCATAGGTGCAAACAGAAGAGACTTATAAATATTTACAATTTTCGTTTCAGGATTATCAATTACTAGGTGAGGTCAGCATATATCTCAAGCCTACTCGGCTTGATAACTTCTTTAACCTTTATTAGATAGCAGGCCATAAATCAAACGCTTCAAATTTAATTAAATTAAGGGAAATCAATATAGTTGCATGGGAGATGGCTGTTAGCGTGACATTCAATGTCTGGTTGTTTCTAATTTTGTTTATAACGGCTTTGTAATAAAGGGATCTGATATCAGGGCTACTTATCTAAAACTTAATTCATAAAATGGTTTTCCTTTGAATTTGGAATTTTGCGGTAGACTTCGTTAAACCTTTCCGAACATAATTTAGTGATTTTTCTGGACAATTTCATGAGACACTAGCGGTGACTAATTTCAATTTTTTTTGGTGTAAAATAAGCACGGTAGCTTTAGTATTAATTTGGTTTGGTAGACTTTTTTTCGCTTCCTTCATGACACACTCTATCAAATATTACTTAACTCCACTTTGCAACGGAAACAAATCTAAGGATAGCCTCCGACAAATCTGAGCTCAAGACTGGTTTTTACCTGCGTAGTATGACGTCTTATATTGATAACCATTGTTTGTTCATATATTTTTGGTGGGTCGTCTTTCTTTCTTTTTCTCTTACTTCTCTGCATTAGAATCTATAAGTACTTATTTTTTGGATACTAGTTTTGGCAAATAATTATTCTCGCATGTTGGTTTTATTTTGAATTTAATAAAGCAGAAACATTGATAAAGTAACGTTCCTCACTTCTGTGATCGTAATCAAACAAATCATTCTAAAAACATTTACACTAATAACATGATTATCTCAAACAGAAAAGTGTGAAACATCGACGTTACATGTTTTTCGTCATACACATTTATTAAAAGTTCGATTTATGGTTGCATTTGTTATGTTTTAAGACTTTTATTTAATTGTGATATGTTGTCCTATATGCATATTATTATTATATACTTGTTCGAAAAAGTTGATTTCTCGTATTTTTTTTTATATGAGAATATAAAGCTTTGACATATAAATGATCATACTGTAACACCCTAGATTAAGCCGGATTTTATAGGTTTGAAACAAGAAATTGTGTTTTATTGTGAGTTTCGGCTTAATTAGGTTTTAGTGAGATATCAGGACTTGGTGTTGAAACAGAAGATGAGTTTAAGAATATGTTGAGCACTGCCTCATATCGATGTTACTGGAACAGATCTTATCTGGTAGGTCCTTATAATGTTGGTAAGACGACTTTGGCTAAAAATCTGGTTGACGACCCCATATCAGAAGAACGAAGATCAACGGATGGAATATGGATATATCTTGGTCGGGCTGGAATGGATATAGATGATAGAAAATGGATTTTCCTTCCACAAGGTATATATGGGAATAACATGACATGCAAGGTATAGGTCATTCAAACAGCCAATGAACCATGCAAAAAATCTAGAGATTCACATGCGACCTGTATCCAATAAACAAGTGTTTTTATATTATTCCAATAGAGTGTAGAAAAGAAGCGAATCAATTCAACAGCGAATATCAAATATTTGCTATCAACACCAAATGTCCTAAAGGACAAAGTCACGAAGGTATCACTAATAGCAACCAGTAACGAGGTTCCTGAATTAGGACAGGCTAATGAGCATGTGAATAATGGAATAGTTTTTAAGCATTCCACTGTCAATTTATAATCTCGATCAGTTTCATAATAAAAGGTACCTGAAATAACTTTGCTGAGTTTGACCGTCTGATTTAATCGCAATAACGACAAATAATCAATATATTGCTGATGGAAGACTGTGCTTGATTTTCATATATGAAGGCATAATCTTTAATCAGTTTCATTGAGGTCTGAGCTGGCATGTCAGTAACTGCTAGTAGTCCTTTGTTAATTTATGTATCATTGTCATTTTGCTTAGTTTCTTTTGTTACCTATTCTGACATCGGCCTCGGACTTCTTTTGAACTGAGTTTCACAGTGCGTATTGCAGTGTGTTTGTTTATTCTACATTGGCTAAAGGTATAGGGGGAGGGTTGAGATCTCACAAAACATGTTTAACCCCGCCGCATTTTTGCGCGTGTCCCAAGTCAGGAGCCTCTTGCCTTTGTTAGTCTTGAATGCTTTTTAATTTTAGTTCATTTATATGTTTTGGAGTTTAGTGTGACGTCCATTTTCACTGAACTTGTACACATTTTGTTTAGAGGCCAGCTGAAGCCCGTCTCCGGGTGGGGGTTTTCTTGCTTTGTTGAAGACCCATTGGTGGCCTTCGGCTGTTTTCTGCTCTTTGGTTGGGTTGTTGTCTCTTTGACACATTCCCAATTTCCATTCTCAATTGTATTGTAATTATAGTTCAATCAGAAGTGATACAGTAGGTCAGATTAGTAAACTGGAAGGAAGAAAAATACAAAATTATGTTCGAAAGAAATATATGACCGTTTAAATGCAATCATTATAAAAAAAATCTAGTCAAAAACGAAAGTAGAATTTGCAGTTTATCTCAATGATATCAACAATTTGTAGTTCGTTGTTGTTAAATTAACATGTATGGCAAGTTAGCAGAACTAAATAAACTTATTTGTAAGAGTTTTAAAACGTACTTGATGGTTGTTTTTCACAATGGCAGGAATAAATTAGCGTTGGTTCCATTTTATAATCGATGCATAGAAACAGCAATGGTAAACAGATCCCTGGGTCCTTACCACCAAGACTCAAGTCAAATATGACGCTATTGCCTCCTTTCGGAGTTTCAGAATTAATTGCTGTCTGCGAATGAAATATATTCCTTCTCTGTAATCTTTGAGTTGTGCTGATTCAAGAATGATTTTTTTGTTCTCCGAAAGAAGTTGTTGTGGTTTGGTAGGCAAATATTTGTAATCTTTGCATTTACTTCATAGTAACAGTTTGCTCAACAATGTGTGTCTCTCAAATTAACCCCCTACCCACTTTTAACTTATGGGCAAATGGAGCTATGGATTGTCCTATGGTTTGTTCAAGAACGCGGTGTGCTTTTATAAGTTCTCTTCCTATTAGGTGTAGACCTTTGCACTGTTTGTCAATCGGTTGACAGTTTTCGATAATTTCTTTCAAGTAGGAATAATGCACTGTGTCTTCAGGAGTAGGAATTTAGTCCCGGTTACTAATAAAATTGAGAATGGAAATGGGGAATTTGTCAAAGAGATAACAACCCGACCATAGAGCAGACAACAGCTGAAGGCCACCTATGGGTCTTCAATGCAGCGAGAAACTCCCGCACCCGGAGGCGTCCTTCAGCTGGCCCCTAAACAAATAAGTATACTAGTTCAGTGATAATGGACGTCATACTAAACTCCAAATTATACACAGGAAACTAAAATTAAAAAAGATACAAGACTAACAAAGGCCAGAGGCTCCTGACTTGGGACACGCTCAAAAAATGCGGCGGGGTTAAACATGTTTGATGTGATCTCAACCCTCCCCCTAAACCTCCAGCCAATGTAGAAAAAAACAAACGCACAACAGTACGCACAGTAAAACTCAGTATAAGAGAAGTCCGAGTCCGATGTCAGAATAGGAAACAAAAGAAAATAAACAAAATGACAATAATACATAAATAACAACAGACTACTAGCAGTTACTGACATGCCAGCTCCAGACCTCAAGAATGTACTCAATGAATTCAATTAATGTTGGCATATATAATTGAGTGTCAAAAGGATTTTTTTGTATAATAGAGCGCTGGGCTTCTTTTTTTAGCAATATTATCTAGGTATGTCGGGGACCATCAAGTTAGTCCGTATCGATTTTCTACTTAAGACATTTAAATTTGTGAAAAAAAACTTGTACTTCCTAGTGGTAACAAATCCGTGTAGAACGTCAAAACTTTTGCGGCAATTGAGGTGTTTTTACATAAGAAAATGCCTGTACCAAGTCAGGAATATGACAGTTGTTATCCATTCGTTTAATTTGTTTGAGCTTTTGATTTTGCCATTTGCTTATCGACTTTCTGTTTATAATTTTCCTCGGAGTTCGGTATTTTTGTTATTTTACTTTTTCCTTTAAGAATCGTCATCGGAAACATTCAGAACCAATAAATGTTGCAGCCAAGGACGATAAAACACGTGTTGCTAAATTAACAAAAAATAACCTATAAGAAATAGTCAAATTTTTCTGGTGACAGCTTCACTTGAATGATTGAACCTTAGAATTTTGAAAGTGTCCTCAAATTTATTTAAATTTTATCAATGAATATTTGTTTATGTTTTTTTCAATGAAAGAAATAATTATCAATACTATCAGTATTCTTGGCATATATTGACCTCTACACCATTAGTTTTATCTCTCTAATGATAATCAAAGTTAATGTGCCTTTTCTGCGGAAATCTATAAACATTTAAGTAAACACTTTTATGATTAATTCGCTTTTTTGTTTTATTTCGACAAAATAAAATAATGTTATCTAGATGTAAAGAATTCTTTAACTTAATTGAATTGAATTGTCATTATTTGTATTGTAAGGTACAACATTAAATGCATCCGTACTAAGCATGCTAATGAGTTTTGGCGAACAGGATGGTCAAAAAGAAGAGGAGGAACAACATCTAGATGTTCACGATCAAATTTACGGTGAAACAAATAATGGTGTCACAGCAGGTAATGTGGTCTGTATTTAGAATGTCAAAAAGGCTTATATAGATATAAGAAGATGTGGTATGAGTGCCAATGAGACAACTCTCCATCCAAGTCAAAAATTATAAAAGTAAACCATTATAGGTCAAAGTACGGTCTTCAACACGGAGCCTTGGCTCACACCGAACATCAAGCTATAAAGGGCCCCAAAAATTACTAGTGTAAAACCATTCAAACGGGAAAACCAACGGTCTAATCTATATAAAAAACGAGAAACGAGAAACACTTATGAACCACATCAACAAACGACAACTACTGAACATCAGATTCCTACACTTATTAATCTTTTGTTCTAACTTAACATTATTTTACAAGTATAGACAATTATTTCTATTGTCCATCTTCATTAATATTGACATGATGTCTAAATATTTTCTTGGTCACTTTCCCAAATGGTGTTTACCCACGAAAATATTTCTCAACAACATCGTGCGATAAGGAATTAAGATAAACATGTGCTAAATCAGCAAAATATGCGACTTTAATGTAGGATTGAAGTGATGACGCATATCGACGGGAAAAAATTAATACTATGTCAATGTATCTGTAACTACTAGATTGGCATGTTTTATGTGTGTCATACCTTTGATGATTGATCAAGCGGATAAATAGGTAACTCATTTTACTTGAGACGATCGTAACGAATTAAAATAATCAAAATGTTTAGTCTTTGTCAGATTTATTTGTATGTTTGTTTGAATTTTTAAGTCATGTTGGCTGATTTATCCAAATTATTGTCTGCTCTATGGTCGGGTTGTTGTCTCTTTGACACATTCCCCATTTCCATTCTCAATTTTATTGTTACGTGAATCAATTATATTTGGGTTGCTCGCACAATTTTGTCAATATAACGGACCAATAAACAACTGTCATACAAGTGAGGGGTTTATTAAGCTATCAAACCAGGTATAACCTACCAATTTCCTTGGAAAATGTCTATACAAAGTCAGAAATATGATAGTTGTTTTCCATTTGTTCCGATGGTTGGTGAAGTCGAGAGTTTGGTTTTGTCAGGTTTTATGAACTTACCCCTTTTTGAACTTACATTGGAGGTCAGTATTTTTGGAAATCTGTTTTTATCAATTAAAATAATGAAATGATCTACAATTTCAATTAACTGATAGAAATAACGTAAAAACATTCAAATTGGACATCAGCGAATGATAAATTGTTTCAAATATCTTTCTCATCTTGTTTAATTGCACAAGTACTTCTGTGATTGATTTGTGTTGTAAACATCAGAAGAGCACTGTTTACTCTGACCTCGTATCCAACTCGTTGTCCGATAGAAGACGAGAAGCAGAGATTGGGTCTGGATCCAATGCTATGTTCTCTCTGTTTCATTTATATGTCATTATTTTTTTAATATCATCTATGCAGATTTGTTGAAATATAAATAAACAAACAATAAAATGTAGCATAATTGTCAAGGGATATATATCCACAAGTCACCAAAGGACAATGAGAATTAGAAATACAGCTGACCGTTCGGTATTTAACAATTAGTAAAAACCAATACCTTATAGTAATCTATAAAAGGAACAGAGATACCAAAATATAAAATATAATTCAAATAAGAAAAACAAAGGCTTGATTCATGCTATTAACGAAAACAATAATGGCAGACATCAACCATCTTCAAGATCATTTCGTTGTACAGACACATTAAGAATGTGGCGGGGTTACACATGTTTGTTAGACCTTTATCCTACCCATATCCTATGAAAGTGGTGAAACAACAAAAATTAAAAATCAGCTGAAATGTGCTCTTCTATCAGATTGGTACTGAGTACAAAAACTACTAACAAAAAGACAAAAAGTACCGATCTAAGAGTACTTGCAATTTCTGGTAGCTATTGTAAAGCCCAAATTCAGTTAGTAAGTGAACTATGCTCTCCCGGAATAAAAATCAACCAGTACACCTCAACAGATTTCCATCCATTCCTGACTTTCAAATGTGTGGTTTTGAGCGTTCTTGATGAAGATAATTCCAGAAAAGCGCTTTGGAAGAAGGAAACTTGTTTACTTTTAATTTCATTTCATTTTCTTGCAGCAGACAAAATGTTTAATAAAAAGACATGCATGTGTTTAATTTTTTCGCGTGCGTACAAATGAACGATGCGTCTAAATACATGAAACGGCTGAAGGATTAATTGTGGTTAGTTAGGCTACAATAAACTAAGCAATCTTAAGGACCATCCGTAACGTAAAATATTATAAATTCAGAAATTAATACGATGTTTATATTATTGCGAAAATTGCGACGGATATGAAACATAGCAATTAAAAAAATCTCGGATTTCAAATTTCGATTACATTTTCAAGCACCATTTTTTGACATTGAAATAATTAATTCAGCATTTATATCCATTGTTCAACAATCGGAATTATAAACGCATGCAAAATTTTTGAATTTACAGTTACAAATCGAATCGCTGTTCAAGAAAAGCAGTTTGCAAAATTTTAACGAATGATCTGTGCAAAAGCTTAGAATGACATCCTAATTCATTTAAAAAATAATGTATATCATATGTAAAAGTGTTGTTGCAAAGTGTCCATTACCTGAAACAAGTCTATCATATTGCGACAAGTTCGTACATATGATTAACTTCTGTACAACAACTCTATATCACCAAATTTGACAGTTGTTTTCCATTCGTTTGATGTGTTTGAGCTTTTGATTTTTCCATTTGATAAGGGACTTTCCGTTTTGAATTTTCCTTGGAGTTATTTTTTTTGACATATTATTTGGTACAACGTATAACTTAAAATAAAGTCAATTTTTGGCAAAAAAAGACACTTTTGCGTTTTGACGCAATACACATTTTTTTAACATTTAAACATCACGCTAACAGGAGTACTCTCATCCTCTCGAAAATAAAAGAAAGAAAAAAGCTTTGATATGAAAAACAGCAATAAAAGCGCTGTTCCTTTGCTTTTTGTGTGTCTTTTGCTGTGCATGTACTGATTTTGTTTCATGAATGTACACCCCATATCCTTTGTTTTTTTCTATTTCATAGAGGTTTTCTTGTCATTTTGTAGTGTCGTTTATTCAATACTGATATTTTGAACAGATTTTTCTGTACAACTGGATCTTTTGATAAAACAGCATATTAACTGAAGAAAAGTGATATTCAGCACACTAAACGTCACGTGCTTCTGCATGTATAATTATGATAAAATTTCGATGTATTCTTGGTTTTGATAAATACTTGTAATTGAATACATTTATTTTTGGGGAATATGGAATGAAACAATTACTGTCTTTTGTTTCGTTAAATCTGTGGTTAATTGATTTTCGTAAAAACGATATTCACTTCGGCTGTTGGCCTCAATGTATATAAGTTTTCATCTTGATTCGCTCTTCAACATTTGTATTAGACTTTGGATATTCAAATAATTTTGGCATCATATTGTTTTAGAGGTTACAGAAATTCAACTTAATGAGCTTCAGCAAAATTCCAATTTGGTGACAGATATTGCAGATAATAAGAACACATCCTCTAGTCCACCACCAACGCCACCAATAGGAATAAACAGAGATCAGGGCAAGTGTGAGCAGCCAACTTCTTCCCCTCCACTTCAACCTAAACAATCTATGACTTCTTCCCCTCCACTTCAACCTAAACAATCTATGCAGAAAGAAAAGAAGACAAATGATAAAATTCTCCAATTTATTTTATCAGAATGCAACAGTGGTCAATACAAGATGAAAGTGGTACCAATCGATTTATGGGACTTTGGTGGTCAAAAAGTATACTACATGACCCATCAATTGTTTATATCTAGCAGAGGCATCTTTATCATTATTTTTAATGGAAGCAAAAATATCAACAAGGAAATGTCAGACCTGTCATATCTTCCTGGTCAAAAAGGGAAGAAAACCACTGCAGGTAACATTAAATAAATTGTGCAAATAAACTTATATGCTTCGGTAAATCAACCGGATATATTAAATATGCATACCAGGTCTCCTCTGGGAAATCAAATCTTGGATAAATATTACCTTAACTGCAACCAACGTCCTTCACATTCCAAACTATCAAAAATAATTTGATCAAATACCATGTTTGATGTATGTTTCTAAGTTTTTAACCAAAAAAATCAATAAATACTTTGTTGGTTCCTTTCTTTACCTAATGTTTCTAGCATTTTAAAACCTATGTGAACCATACTGCAGTGGTATTCTCCTAAACAGCAGCATCAAATTTGACAGTAGTCCAAAATAATGCTAACATACTTGTAATTCACAACTGTAAGAAATTTGCACAAGACCAGTTTCTTACATGTGAAATTGTTCCCAAGTTTCTGAATAATCATAGATGAAAGTAGTGCTGCCAGAACATTTAAAAACTTATGAAGCAACATAGAATATGATTAGATTTGATTTTTGGTTTTTAACGCCTCTCTCAGCACTATTTGCTATTTTGTGGTGGTCAGAATGTATTGGTGGGGTGAGCCGAAGTGCCCGGAGAAAACACCGACCTTTGATTGCTGCTCACAAGGAAGCTATTAAGCCAAGAGTTCCAAATGGTGAAGTTGAAACCATCCCTTCGTAAATTTTACGGACGCCATCACGAGTTGGTTGACCGTTATGAAACAGACGATATCGGATATGTTCCTTATGTCGTACCCTTCCCTTTTCACGAATGTGACTTACCGAATTAGACTATTTACCGGATTTGTAATAACATAAGCAACACGACGGGTACCACATGTGGAGCAGGATCTGCTTACCCTCCCGGAGCAACTGAGATCACCCCCAGTTTTAGGTGGGGTTCGTGTTGCTAAGTCTTTAGTTTTCTATGTTGTGTCATTTGTATTATTATTTGTCTGTTTGTCTTTTTATTTTTGGCCATGGCGTTGTCAGTTTGTTTTCGATCTATGAGTTTGACTGTCCCTCTGGTATCTTTCGTCCCTCTTTTTTGGCAGTGGCAAAAAAATGACAATCGTTAAAATTGGAGTCAAACTCACAATCTCAGTGTTTACAGGCTAGTTATACAATAGTAGAACTACTTATACCACTTGGCGACCGAGGCCATGGCAGCGTAGGACGCATGAAATTAGCATTCAGGAAATTTGAAAACTTCGTTGCTTGTAAAGTGATCACGTTTCGGCGGCAACATACATTCCAAATGATTTTTTCTTCTTCTTTGGTAGTCTATTGATTACATTGTTAAGTACTTTATTGGAAATACTGTGAACATAGTCGTGCTACTGAGCAAATTTGATATGAGATTTTCGATTTATTTTTATTTCGCTGATTAAACAATTTAAGGAACTACATTTAATGAAGTGCCTCATGTCAGGGGATAGAACTCTTTGGCAAGGAAGATAACTTTTATGTCTTTTTGGAAGTCCTCAGAGCGATTTTAGCAGTTGGCTTTTTAATAGACATAATGCATCACATATAACACATTTATACGCTGCTTTGAAATTATAAGCAACAACATGACAGAGAATGGCACATGTAAACTGTACTTAATTAGACTCCTAAGGAGTTCGAAAGTCTTAAAATGTATAAACAGATATAATAGATACACAGTTGACATAAAGGATAGTGAATCATTCTTTAAATCCTAATTGATACGGGCTGAAAATGAGTAATCAATCCAATATTATGCTGGACGAAATACTGCTAGTATAATGTTATTATTAAAATTATATACATAGCGTATTAAATAAAATGCTTAATATATTTCAGTGTATTTGATACATTGGGTGAATTCTATACTCACATACTGCAAAACATCGAAGGAAGGGTTCCCAAAAATCCTTTTTGTTGCAACTCACAAAGATTTGATAAATAAGGTTAGTACATGAATGAATAAAACTTACCTCCTCAAGTCAGTTCTTTATTTACAATTTGTTTGTATTGAGAATTGTTTTTTATGAAGTCAAACTTAAATTTGTATGGTTGCTAAATGAGATTTAAAATAACTAAACTGATTAGTTAGGTAAAATTTCTTCAACGATAATAATAAAATGTATTTGTTATAATACTAATTACTAGTAAATTATATCAAAACTTTTAAGGGTGTATGTAAAAGAAAAGCATACAATATTAACTTTCAAAACTTCATATTTGACAGGCTAAGGTTATCAAACATAAGACTAAACTTACTGCTTCAATAGAGGAATTGTTTAAGGATCATACAGGAAGAAAACATCTTGAAATCGATCAACTGTTCTTTGTCAATGCCAGAGACAAAGATGACCCTGAAATAGATCAATTGCGCAAGACCATAGTAGAAGTTGCTTTTTCGCATCCAAGATGGGGAGAGTTAATGCCAACTGTATGTGTCCCTTTGGATCTACAACTAATGCAGAGAGCCGAAGAAGGCATGAAAATTATGTCAGTAAATGAAATTGAAAAAATAAATGCTGCAAATGGGGTGATGGTTCTGACACAGTCCCAACTCAATACCTTTTTGAAGATACAGCACGCGCTTGGAAAATATATATATTTCAATGAAGGGCCTTTGAACAAATATGCTGTCATTGATCCAACCTACTTAGTTGAAGTCTTACGATCTGTTGTCACAGAAGAAGAGTTCTGGCCTAAAACAGAAGATATCCGAAAAATATATGTATCTTTACGAGACAAAGGAATTTTAACAAAAGCCGACCTCTTAAAGTTATGGAAGCAGAAAGAATATCGCTCTTTGGAAGGCTATAAAGATTATATGATTAAAATGCTGATACACCTTGATATTTTAATTGAACCTAGATCCAGTTTCCTATCCGAGATTCAAGTACCTGAAAATGAGATATTTTATCTTGTGCCTTGCATGATCAAACAGCCAGCTAAAAGGCCAAACATCAAAGTCGACTCTAGTATCTACTTAGCTTATGCTTTCAACGAAGAAGTCATACCTCCAGCTTTCATGTACCGATTTCTTGGTAGCTTTATGTCCATGTGGAAAATCAAGTCTATGTTCACCGATAGCGCCATCGTTGTTGTTGACAAATGTCATGAATTGTTATTATATGCAGACGGGAAAAGGCTTGTTCTTGAACTTCTTCACAAGACAAACAAGACAGGTATTATCGCAACTGTTGCATCTACTGTACAGGAATGCTTGACAAGGTCTATCATAGAAATATCTAAATTTTATTGGTCGGCAACAAATAGCACTGCTTCACCTAATCCAGAGTCATCCAGTATGAAGACCATACCAGAGTTTTCATGTGTGATTCACGAGATAAAAACGAGAAAACAACAGCGAATCATTCCATATACCATAGAGTTTGGTGTTAAATGTGCTTCTGGTCTATGCTTCTTCCAACATAACCTAACAACAGAGAATCAAAACTACCGTTGGAAATGTCCCGTGCACAAGAAGCAACATGATACCAGTGATCTTAGACTTTGGTTTGCTGAAAAGGGCTTACACTTTGCAAATGAGGTACATTAATTTAGCAAATGTGTAGTATTGTTTTATGATAAGAAATAATACCCATTTTTTCTAGAGGTTATTAGTGTGTAAACTGGGCCACTAACTCACAAACTTCGGACTTAATATTCAGTTTGTTGGTTAATCGCTCGAGTTTACACATAAAAAGATAAGTTTAATCCTAATAATTCTTGACCCAAACATTTGCAATATTTAATTGATATTTTTTTTTCATTGACTGCTATTTACGGTCATATCCAAAAGTTTATATATACATGTAGTTTTCATTCTATCCCTGAATTTGTTTTTTTTTTCATACATTTTAACTGAACATGACTAGTATATAAGTGGAAGTTCCACTATACAAGCCCGTTCAATATACGGCTTGAATTGAAAATTACTTTCATGTAATGCAATATGTTACAATCAATCGCAAATTGATAAAAGAAAATCATTTTTTTTTTCTTATTTACATTTTGAAACAGATTATGTTTCTAATCTTATTATGACATATACCTTTTTAAGATTTTCGAAAAATTTAATGGATTAATATTCGTCATTACAGAATTAACACAATGATGAAGTTATTATATTGTTTCAGAATTTTGGATTGGTTTGTTCAAAGACGTGCCCAGGTAAGAATAATATAGCAGTACTAATTATCGAACGTAATATGCACCATATTTTCATTTCTAAAACATAAACTCACATTGCAGAGTTATTATTTCTATGCTGCGAGAGCCTTAAGTATTATATTCATTCCTACACTTGTAAAGCAGAACGTACCATAAACTAAGGTTTTGTAAGAGCTACGATAGTGCATTACAAGAATTCTCACCAAACCAACGTAATGAACATACGGACAGATGGATGCATTGGTGATTAGGTCCAAAGGTAAATATTACATGCATATCAGGAAAAGAACATGTTTATGAATATGAACCCTGTTTATACTAGACTGACACGCTGAGTCTGATTTTAAAAGTGCTAGTTCCGAAGGTTAGAGTACGAAGAAAGACATGTTACCCTAACAAGACACTTTATTCAGACTGTGAGTCGACCATTCTTTGATCTAACTTCGAAATGCCGCGTGATTAAAGAGAAGCAGTACATAACAATTTACAGTTTTTGGTTTGACCCGATAAGAATCATACCCGCGACCACCAGCACCCGTGCAAGCAAGTATTCAAATGAATTATTACACAATGTTATTGTTGGTTACTTTTCACCTCTGAAGAGTCAGTATCGGTTACTCAACATCGACACCTTTATAAAATGAATTTTGTAGTTAATGTATATAAGGGTAAATGCTTGGCTCATATTTAAATATATATAATAACAAGATCTCATTAATGAGGCTTTGTTTCCAGTATTGAACGTAAAGCAAGACGTTTAAAGCCATAAGAAAAATCTGTAAGACAAATGTCAAAAATATTAACGTTGACAGACTTATTAACATCTGAATATTTGATATACTTATAATTTTAAATAAAATTTTTTGGGGATTTTAAGAGGCCAAAAATGTAGAAATATAATTCCTTCTCTTTTTCGTCCTTTTGTAATGATGTTTAGGATGAATTCTTGTTGTCAAATCTATATTACGCAACGTTGACAACCATGTTTGCAGGCTACTGAGACATGACTTATTTACTAAAAGATTATTAATGCATTAGTAAGCCAAACTAATGTTTTTAATGATAAATTAGGCAATCCCACCAGCGACATAAGCGGCTAATTATTAATAAGAAAAAATGTATATTGTCTCACCTATGTTTTCAAAACTTAAAATCAATTGGTCCTCTACTTGACTGTCCTGCTTTTTTCCTTGTATTGTATTTGAAAATAAAATTATGCCAGACCCACCAGTCTGACCAGTGTTATAAGCGGCTCATGATTAATAAGAACATGTGTATGAGTATTTGATGCCTTTTTGGGACTGAGGTCAATCATATTCGTTATTCATATCAAACGCAACTGGGTTCTTTCATGCAGTAAAATTTTGTTAGTTTGAACTTAGCTGAATCAATAAGCTGTTTTTCAGGTTTGGGAGAGTTGGAAATAGAACAGTGCCCTTCAGACCAACAAATTGGACGACTGGTTGCTGGTTTGAAATTAGAAGTAGTTAAGGAGCTATTTGTTCATCTTGATATGCCAATGGATAAATGGGAGGACATAGAACACAATTACCCATGCTCTACAGACCTCAAGATGTTTGCATTGTGGGAATGGAAACAGAAAGCAGAAAAAGCAACATTTGGTGCCTTAAAATATGCTTTATCTAAAGTTAACCAAGATTTCCACAAATTATGTGAAGTAAGTCAATTTAAACGCATTTCAATGAATTTGTCATGATGTTGTTTTGTTCATTTTTACTCCTTTAATAAGAGAAACTATATCTTGCCAGAATGAAACTACTCAACATGAACTTGTTATGTGAGACTTGAAACAAAGACGAATTTTGATTTTTGACAAGAATCATACGAAATTAAATTATCTTGAATATTTAATTTTTTTTCAGCAGTTATCTTTAAAAGTTTTGCTCAACTTTTATCATTGGAGTTGTGTAGGGGGAAAATATAAAATAAGCAAAGATTACCAGGTTCAACCCACCATTTTCTTCGAACAATGATTGTACCAAGTCAGATAATGACAGTTGTTTTCCATTCGTTCCATTGGTTGATATATAATAGGTATAAGAAGATGTGGTATGAGTGCCAATGAGACAACTCTCCATCCAAGTCAAAATTTATAAAAGTAAACCATTATAGGTCACAGTACGGTCTTCAACACGGAGCCTTGGCTCACACCGAAAAGTAAGCTATAAAGGGCCCCAAAAATTACTAGTGTAAAACCATTCAAACGGGAAAACCAACGTTCTAATCTATATAAAAAACGAGAAACGAGAAACACTTATGAACCACATCAACAAACGACAACTACTGAACATCAGATTCCTGACTTAGGACAGGTGCAAACAAATGCAGAGGGTTTAAACGTTTTAATGGTACCAAACCTTCAACCTTTTTCTGAAACAATAGTGTAACATCACAACATAGAAAGACACACTATAAAATATCAACTGAAATAGCTTAACTCAATCAAAGGACATATTAACACCATTGAACATACACTGAACAAATAAATTTGACCTATGACACAATGTAAATACAAAATAAATAAACTAAGGGAAGAATAATAAAAGTAACATGTTATATCGGTAAGAAATGTTAAACAATTAAAGAAAAACAATATGCTCGAACAAAAATATCAGTCATTTGCAATAACTTTAAACACAGGTAAATGAAAATAATTTTGTTGTTATGTATACGTGTACAGTACCAATAGAGAAAGGAAATATTTTTACAAAATAAATAATTTTGATGTTCAAAGTACGACGTGAAAATTTATAGTAATACCAAACACTTATCAAAGCTGGTATATAGACCAGATATAACCCTGAATAACATTAAATAACAAAAAAGCAATACAATTAGTATCAACAGGTATAAGTCTGAGTTTGTCAGGTTTTATCGACTTTCCTATTTTTGAATGTACCTTGGGAGTTTGGTATTGCCGTTTTGTTAATACTTTTTTACATGTATATGACATGAAATGTTGACGCTCCTTTATCTCCTCTCCTTTCCTCAGAAATCAGCTATTGGATAATACTTGATAAAAGACACAAATTTGGTGGTGCAACATTTGTTATCATGTCCATAGTTCTATATACCCAGTCAACCATTGGGTAACGTTCTAACGATGTCGATGTGCATAATATATACATTTTGAGTAAACAAAATATATATTTGCTAGCAACAAGAAATGAAAATGCTATTTTAAGGTGTGAATAATCAATAAATAAAAACGTCCTAATGCATTTACAGGAGTGGAATGTCTTCCCTTTACATATGCCAATTTGTTTTTTCGATGAAATGTGGGGTTTATTTAATACAAGAAATGAAGGAAAGTGTTTTGTTAATGTACTTTTTTCGCGAGTGAAGGTTTTTGTTTTTGGTGGTATTTCATCTTTAAAGATCTGCAAGTTTTACTTTTTTAAATTTATTAAAATCATACTTTTGGTGCTCACGCATATTGCGCATAGTTTATAAAATCTGCTGTTCTCTGGAATTGCTTTATTTAGATGAAAATGATATGACATGATAACTCTGTAATTATTGTTTTTTGTTTTCTTCATTTCTATTTTCCAGAACGTTTTAAGATTATACAAAAGCTTCTTTTTTGGAGAAAATAATAAACATTGGACAGTTCTTTTTGATAGGGGCGATATTTTAATTATCAGTTGTCCCCACAGGGTTATGTTAATGTGAATAAAATCGGGACAGATGAACCAGTGGTTTAAACAAGTTTCCTTTCTAAATAAAGAATTGAATAATCTGGTGAACAAATATGATGAACGCATTTTTGTACGAACGCATTTCTTGTACATATCCAACGATATAATTGCTTTTTGGGGGTTAACAAGACCGGAAGTGGTTATGACATGTACATGGTACTGATCCTATCAATTTAAATCATTTCAGGTCTTCAGAGAAGTAGAAATCCCTTCTTGTAGTGAGTATGCGTTTTAAAATGTTTTTTTTTCATTCCGGTTTTAAGAATAACTGTTTGATTCGATAATCCATTGAAAATATATTAACGTATTCTTTTTGACATAATGCAAATAGTATACGATTTTTTTTTAATTATTTTTTTTATCTTTTAATAAAAAAAAAATGGTACGCTTTCAAATTATTTTATTTGCATTTAATGTTCATTCTCTTTCTGATAGATATACCAGCAGAAGCACTGACAAATATTCCAAATGAATCTATATTAGAAAACCTGTCAAACAGCATTGGAAACGACAACATGCAGCTTGGATTGGAACTTGGATTTAAGGGAGCAGAGTTGCAGGACATTGCCTTCCAGCATAAAACCAGACTGATGGAGCAAACAAGAGAAATCTTCAGAAGATGGAGCAAACGTAGACAGCCATTATCTGTTATAGCAAAGGCATTTATCAGAATCGACAAATTTGGCGTGTTTACTCGATGCTGCTCAAATTTGTTTTGAAGTTATTTTATTGAACTTGTACAAATACAGTAGAATTATTCGAACCATACATTTTGTAATCATATGTCTAACACATGTAACTTATTTATATTATAAAATAATAGAGCAGAAGATCGCATGTTAACGTAAGGTATTGTATGATGTGAGTTATATATATATATAATATCACAAATAATGTGTGTACAGTTTTTTTTTTTCTTTTAATTCTAAATGCAGGAGTAGTTATTTTCCTCATTTTTTGTGTCAACTGGAAATTTTCTATTTTTGAAAAAAAAAAAAACAAAAGTACTTTTGTTTCCACGTTATCAACTAAACAATATTATTTTTGTTTGACCTCTTTAATACAATAAATTCTTAATTTTAAAACTATGATATCCGCAAATTTTAGGGGGTGATAAAAAAATTGAAGGACTATGTTAAGTGAAGGTTGAAGGACATTCAATAGAAAATGGGCTTGGTGTGAAATATATTCAGTTGAAGATTGGCTACAAAATTTTGTTTTCAAATCTAATGTTGTGTTTTGTATAATGTGAACATAGTTGATTTATATAATAAAACTTAGATTAACATAGTGTTCAGTCTGTATCATTATAAATAGAAGAACGAGTTGTGGGATAAACGCCAAAGAGACAGAAACCAAACATAGAAATCACCCAAAGGACATATAGAGGTCAACATTCGATTTTCAACAAAGAACCCGATGTTTATACTTTGTAATTGTCAAGTTTACAATCGCCCTGAATCTACAACAGTTGTAATAAATATGAATAGATAGATATAGGAAGATGTGGTATGAGTGCCAATGAGACAACTCTCCATCCAAGTTACAATTTATAAAAGTAAACCATTATAAGTCAAGGTACGGCCTTCAACACGGAGCCTGGCTCACACCGAACAGCAAGCTATAAAGGGCCCCAAAAAATTACTAGTGTAAAACCATTCAAACGGAAAAACCAACGGTCTAATCTATATAAAAACGAGAAACGAGAAACACGTATGAACTACATAAACAGACGACAACTACTGTAATCAGATTCCTGACTTAGGACAGGTACAAACATTTGCAGCGGGATTAAACGTTTTAATGGTACCAAACCTTCTCCCTTTTCTGAAACAATAGTATAACATCACAACATAGAAATACACACTATAAAATATCAATTGGAAGTCTTAACTCAATCAAAAAACGTAAATTAACACACAATGAACGATTAAATTTGACCTGTGACACCTGAATGCAAATACACAGTTAATAAATAATTAAAGTAAAAAGTAAATAAACAGGTTTAAACAAAGTTAAAGTATGATATCACTGTGAAATTTCAAACAATTTATAGAAAATCATCACTTTTGACAAACAAATGGAAGTTTTTAACGACCTTGACTGGCTATACAGCCCTTGCACGGTCGGCCCTGGCTTGCGCCTTTTTGGGCATTAAATAATTTAATTTTTACCATATGGTAATTGATATAATTTAGAATGACAAAAAATTATTAAAAAATAATATAGAGTAAAAATTTGAATAACTAAATGAATAAATAAATTGATGAATAAGTTGATAAATATAGAAAAGAAAAGAATATAAAAATAAATAAAATAAAATAATATGAAAATGAAATTTTTATATAAAACATAAAAAAAAAAAAAAAATAAATAAATAAAAAATATGTGCGTAAAAATAAATAATTAATAAACACGGAGCCACCAGAAGTAGGAACAAGAGGAAAGCTAGGCCAAGCAAACAGCAGTGAACGGCAGCAACGTTGTAATCACTTTTGAAGAAACCTGCGTCATATTATACACAGGTAAATGAAAATAATTTTGTTGTTAAGTATACTTCTTCTTCTGTGTGTATAAAATCTTCCGTTTAGGAATACCAAAATTTCTTTAATATCAATAAAACTAATCTAACACTTGGTACATATGGGGTGAATATCAACAATAAAAATATACAATTAGTGCTAGATAAAACATCCTGTACAGGTCCAAGAACAGCATCTAAGGAAAAATGAAATAATTTTGATGTTCATAGTACGAAGAAGTGAAAATTTGTATTTATTAAATATCAAATAATCAAAGCTGGTATATAGACAAGATCCATGTTAACATTAAATAACAAAAAAGCATTACAAATAGTATCAACAGGTCAAATTAAAAAGAAAGTACGATTTGAGAGTACTCGCAGTTACTGACAGCTAGTTAAAAGCCAAAACAATTAATAATAAAAAAAAACATGCATCAGAGAGACTATCAAAGATCTAACACCAAATTATCCGAAGAAAAGAAAACATTAAGATATAACTAATGACTACCTTGTGACAAGTTTTCTTATTCAGGAAAGGCACATAAACCTGTGTATTTAATAATTCAACTATATAATAGAAATAGATCCAGGCAATCTAATAACAACAACACCGAGTCAAAGAATGCCCGCAGATACTGAAACCAAACTGACAATACTTAATATGTATTAGATCATGTTGTATGTCACTCTAATATTTGTGGCTGTACTTCAGAGTAGTTTTCAAACAGCATTACCATGTATAGTACGGGAAAAGGCGAGTACATGTATAAGAAGAACAAAATTGTACATATCAATATTTATATGCTGAAAAAAAAATAAACATCTTAGTCTTGCATCAAACCACAATAAACGAATTGATGTCCATCCAAAACTCACGCCACAATGACCAAACAACGTCTTATTCCAGACATTACTATGGCAAAATAAAAAACGCCGATTACGGCAAACAATAGTCAACATATTAAAGATTGAGCAACATAAACCCCGCTAAAACCGGATAAATAGCGCATTCAAACTGTTAACAAAAGATGATGAATGCCGAAGACGTTTCCAAATTCATAAACCCTAGGTAGATATACATTCTCTAGCACTACTACTTGGCCGAATGTGAAAAAAAAATTTCATTACATAGGATAGATAATTAGTTGTTGCTTGCTTAACATCCAGTGACAATTATTTCATGCAAACTCACGAAAACAATTAGCAAATAATACAATAGGTATTTTTGAAGGTTGAGAAATTAGGAATGCCACTTTAAATGAGGGTATGGTACATAGGGCATAAATTGTGCCTTGAAATAAGCCACCTACAGACACATCAGAGAGTTGTTGAAAATATTCTTTAACGTGAAAATATGTGGCACTCATCCCAGTGGCGTAGCCAGGGTTGAAATGATGTGGATGCCAAACTGTCGGCGAGCGAAGCGAGGCAAAACATTTTTTGGACCATTTTTTGCGACCAGAATCCGACACTGGTTAGATTTTTGTTTAATTTCAAAATACCCACCAATTCATATTATTATATTTTCAATTGTATTTTATTGTGTTCTCGAAACTACCATCATTCAATTCATAAATTTTTGATGTAAAAGTTTCCAACCTACTCTTATATTTGACATCTCAAAAACTGACCCATTACAGTGGCACTTCTGTATAAGGAACTTCGGAATATAGGAACTGAACTGACCCCCCTTTCCAGGAATTTAAGTCTCCCCATGGAGATTTTGATTTTTTATTACTTGGCTTAACGCGTTGCAGGAGACATGGAAATACCGGGCGTCCGTCCGGTCTTGTTAGCACTCTCAATTCTTGTAAGATTTTTATGAAACTTATATCATCAGCAATGTCTTTGACACTTTCGAAAATAAGTCATCAAATATTTTTATAACCCTTTGAAATATAAATTATAATGGAAATCCCATTGCATTTGCTCTGAAGCTTTTATTTCTCTTAAGATATTAGAAATAAAATTAAAAGGAAAAAAATGTTTTTTTAGTTATTGCCCTTGTTCCTTGGATAGATAAAATATGAGCAATGCGGGGGACAATGGAACTTTGTTCTTTTATTGAAAATAAAATTAATATTTGTACCTAGATAGAAACAGGAATTTATAAGCCTAGGAATGATCACACTCTATTACAAATTGATTTTTTTATCACGTCGTCTTGCATGTCACAGGAAACGATATCGGGATATGGTGGTTTAGTTGTTAGTAACGTTGCTAGTCAGATGTAGAAGCCATCGCTCCGCTAGGCTCAATTTCAGATGAAACATGTCCGCGGGTCTGCGTATCATCATCCTCTGTGCTTGCCGTAGCCAACGACGTAGACTTTTTACGAAAAAAGTCGAGAACACTTTTCTGCGATTTATCCAACTTGTTTACAAAAACTAAATTATCCTAAATGAAAGACCACGTATACTGCTTCGGAAAAGATTAGACTTTATCCTCATTTCCTGACCCTTGTTAAATTTTTATACCTCCGAGTTTCAAGCAGTTAAAGTTTAACTGCTGCGAACACATATTTTTTTTTTGTCAAAATGATGTGGATGCTTGAGCATCTGAGCATACATGCAAGCTACGCCACTGAATGAACCTACATGAGTATCGAATACTATTAATTAAACGTTCTCATTTCCAACGAACGTGACTTTGTATTTATACATCCCGCACAGCCAAATTGATGCCCCACTTGATCACAAATTTTACTGTTGGACTGGGAGAAGTCCAGGTGATTTTATTTCTGTACCCTAGTCAACCCTTTGGGTACAAAAGATGGACAAGACCGACACAGATATATACTGGTTTTACACAAAATTGTCTTCACTTGACAAAACAATCCTTGCTGTCACATGTAGACAAAAGGTCAATGAAAATATATATGTTTGTGTCGACAGCGAGTAGAGTATTTACATGAACAGAAAGTGATTACTAATTTTGCTCATAATACGTGTTTCTGGAATAGAATTCATCTTGTAAGCTCATGAACAGATGTCCCTACAGCCAAAACATCAAAGCTTTAAAGTAACAAAGTATATACAGCTAAAAAAAGAAGGGCAAATGCAAACGAACTTTCCTTTTCGTTTTAAATCTAAAGGCAACTGTCAGTTTCAACAGTAACTTGGGTCTGAGACTAATAATGTGTTATAGTATTCTCAGCTTGGATGAATAACATTCCGCATTTTTAATCCATTTTTATAAAAATTTGTAAAATTGTTGAAAAATGTTTTAAAGTATATAATATAGACTCTTTTGTATTCAATATAAAGTGGAAATTAACAATTTTAAGATTTTAACCCTTTGAAAGAGACAAATAAAGGTGAAATTGCCCAGGCCTCTGTTTGAGAATTACCTGTATCGATAGATCATTAATTTGGTTATGTCTTAGAGTTGGAAACAGTGACAAGTAATGACTCATAACGGATGTTAATAGGATTACACCCCAGTTCTATTGTTATACTTCATAGTTTCTATTTCTGAAACAAGTGTAAATTGAATAGATCTATTGTCACGAATAACAAAGGATTTTGACCACAGGGTGTGACGAGCGGGGTTTCTGGAAACCCCTGCTTCTACATCCCGCAAACAAAGTCCATTGTTATTCGTAACAATAGAATTTGATTATTTTTAAAATAGCATGAACATAAGAAATTACTAATAGTGTTCACTACAAATTGTTTCAAGATATTAAAAAAACACATTTTAGGAAATTCCAATAGCGAAAAAAAAATTAAGCATCTATTTTGAATACAAAAATAATCCTTTAAATACTCCTTTGCTTGAAGGTAATTTTTTATCCCAGACATATGTCTCTATTCTAAAGCATTAGTCTTTTAAAAGAGATGGGAATTCTAGCTCCCGGGACCCCCACCCCCAGTTACCCTTTGGCCGATCTGGGGGTGGGGGTTCCGCGGTTTGAACCCGACTTTTATTTAAAAGATCAATGCATTTGAATGGTTGGACCCCCCTCCACACACACACTTTTCTCATGAGTTGGGAACACCCAGCTGGATCAGCACCTGTTTGCCCCCAAAAAGGGAGTTCCTAAATATTAAATCTGTATCTTGGTATGTTGAGCGTGTCTGGTAGTCGGGTCACACCTATCCCTTAGTATGTCCGAATACTAGTATGAATGTTTGTTTATTCTCGAGAAAGGGGGGGGGGGTTATAAAACCGTAAGATATAAAATACAGTTACGATTACCTTTATTACACTGATACAGGTAAGTACATTGGGTTATAATATTGCCTTTATCTTAAGTCTCTTCTACCAAATCCAACGCTTGCCACAAAATGTCGTCCCTTATACCCGTCCATATTGACAACTGCATACAAGGAGCATGATTTATTTTTGTTTGTATTAAGAATACACGAAACGGTCAACCTTGACCCGCTGATCCATTTTAGCACATTGATTTAACGGGAATATGCAAAACAACTTCGAAATTTGTAAAATATACTCACTTGTCAAAGTTTGAACAAAGATACCCTAAGAAAGGTTGCTAGTGGGGTTTCATGTAATGAAAAAAAATCTTATAAATCATGGTTTGATATTGTCAATAAATATGCTATCGGTTTTTGTTTTCATTTAATAATCAATGTTAACAAATATAGGGTTTAGAATGGGGTGTAAGTTAGTTATACACCTCGGGATACGGCGTGTCTGGATAAGAAACCCCTCCGGCCTCCGGCCGACGGCCCTCCGGCCTCCGGCCGACGGGGTTTCTTATCCAGACACACCTATCCCTCGGTGTATAACTATTACGTAAACTTAAAATCACGTAGCTCAAGAAACAACAAACCAGAAAATTTACAAGATCGAAATGGGAGTTTCCTTTTATCATTCATATCAACAGTGTAAAATTTGGAGGAAATCAATCCAAGCCTATGATGTTTTAATTCATGGCACAATTGCCGGCCTACCCGTAAATGAAAAAAAAAGAATCCAAAGTAACAGAACTGTTATTGCAGGTCTTCATCGCAAATTCAGTTAGGTTTTCAACATGGAGAAAATACTACCACCTCACTGCAAGTTTTAGCACCAGTTTGTGTGGATTATTTGCGATAACATGATTACTATAGAAAAGAGGCAGAAGATACCAAAGGGACATACATAATTCATAAGTAAAAGAGAAAACACCATGCAGGAAATGAAAACAAAAAACGACGAAAAGGCAAACAAAGCCTAACTAGAGGCTCCCAAGAGCCTGTGTCGCTCACCTGATTCTACTTTGGTTTTGGAAATCATGTAAAAATAAAAATAGATTAAAATCACAATAGATACCCTAATAATGATTGAGGATGGATCGGCTTCAAAGTAACAACACTTGGTCAGCACCTCATAAGGAACATTCATGCCATGTTTGGTTTCATTCCATTCAGTGGTTCTCTAGAAGAAGTTCAAAATGTAAAAAGTTAACGACGACGGACGCCAGAGGCCAAGTGATGAGAAAAGCTCACTTGGCCCTTCGGGCCAGGTGAGCTAAAAACACTACATAGAAATCAAAAGACTGATCAACTCGAACCCCACCAGAGATTGTGCATTTCATCAAATGAAAAGTCACAAGAGTCTTTAAAAACTAGTATTTGCTGATTCTGATCTAAGCATTATACAAATCAAGCCTGTCAAAACACATATAAGAGACTGTCTCTGTGATCTGGGGGTAACATGTTGGTCTTCGTAATTGGTCCTTGCTGATTGTCCAGAAGCCTTACTTGTAATGCCCAGTACTCCCGTTATGTAGCCCAGCTTGTTGGTCTATTGTATTCAAACAACTTCAAATTTGCTTTAAATTGACATTAATTTCATGATTGAGAAATATCTCCAAAATGGATTTCTCAATTTTCTGAAAATTATATTTGAGATGGACCATGACCTGCAGATCATTTTATCTTTCAAAGTTTTGCTCTAACTGCTTAAGTTTTTGAGATATTAGCCCAAAACTTTTTTTTAACCCTATGTTATATTTTTAGCAACATCATCCATGTTTGTTAATGTACCAAATACCTGGATACAATTTTAAAACATGATTCCCAAAGGAACATTCTGGTAAAGTTTTATTACACTTTGGCCAGTAGTTTTGAAGGAGAAGATTTTCTTAAAAGTTAACGATGAAAGAAGGACAAGGGACGAAAAATGATGGAAAAAGATCACATGGCCTTTTATGCAAATGCAAAACTGTCCAAAATTGACTCATTATGAGGTTTTGTAATTTGAATGAAGATAAATTAAGGTATTCTTATATACATGATATATGTAATAAAGAAAAGATTGAAAAATTTTACGATTTCTGCAATACTAAGGGACAAGATAATTATGTGCTTACCCCTTTTGTGTAAATGATTGCAATTGCTAGATTTGTTCAAGTTTTTCTATTTTCTGCTGTCAAGTTGATGTCTCATTGAAATAAACCCATTTCCTTCCATAAATCTGTTCAGAATCATTAAACGAACCAATTCTTTTACAATTTTATTCCTTCTCAATACACAACAGTTTATTATTGTATTTATTATTACATGTACAGATATCAAATCATAATTAAAAATTAACAAGTAAACAATAGAAATGGCACAATTAATAATTGGAATAAGTTTAAAAAAAAAAAACCTTACAGTTTGTTCATTAGCACCTGACACACATATTGTCCAATCAAAATTGACATGGTCAACTTTCACAGAAAAGGGAGATGTAGCAAATGAGTGTTGTTAGGGTGATAGAATATTTTCCTTTTAAAACAATTTGAATTGTTTCTACATACAATTTTATGGGAATTTGTGTCATTTTCCATCCAATCCAATCTCCTGAGCATGCTTGTAAAATATCTTTAACAAATGTATAAGGGGCAGCAATTTTCAAGAAGATCCAAATTGTGCTTTCTTACTATATTAAGAAAATTTAATATAAATAGGTACATATACATACTTAAACAGACATTTGATCATAAAAATAGAAAAAAATCACATTATAATTACACCTCACTAAAAAATACCATTGAAAGTATTTTATCTGAAAACAGATCAATGAATGTATAAGAACTTTTCTACTAGCTTTCATTGCTTGAAGTGAATAAAAAAAAACCTTTTGCAACTTCATTGTTTTGTGAAAATTAGTTGTTTGTGATTTATAAAGACATTACATTTCAAAGAAAGTTACTCAAGTATAAAATAAAGGTCACAATGACCTACTTTTGACATGTGAAGTAACTAGTGAATCCACAGTATAGACCAACACAAATGCATGCAACAAAATAATACTCTCATACTGTAAATTCAGAAATTTCCTGAAGTTTTTATGATTGCAAAAAAACACGATATGGTTAGCAATCATGAAAACTTCTTCTTAGTTTTATATTTACACTTTAAATTTTGATACAAAATATGTGTGCATCATTTCCTAAAATCGCAATAATTAATCTCTTATTCATGTACATTGTTCAACATAATCAATAATAAATTTCTTAACTTACAGTAGGTTATAAAATATCAGACATGTGCCGGCACATTTGTGTAGATTCCGAAGGATCTCTAATAGTGCTTCAATCAAATAATACCCACAACCAGAGGGGTAATTACTGTAACAAACATAACACATGCAAGAAAAAAAGGTTCTTTCTGATTAAAATACAAATTCTGAGTCCACGCAACACTTACAAGTATCTGACAACGCACCCTTCTACTTTCTGTTTTAAAGAGCTTTCAGGATTCCTCTGGTTTTGTCATAATGATACACACCTTCAAAAAGTTGAAGGCATGAATTTCATTGGCTGATGTGAAAATTACCAGAACAGAAGGAAAACAGAGTGTTGTCAGATCCTTAATATAAGTAAAAGTGTGGACACAGGATCTGTATTTTGAAGAGGTCAGGAAAGGTTTCAACAACTATTCATTACAAGAATTACATGCTTAAATTGAATAATTTATTGTACAACTTGAGACAACTGGTTTGTCTACATATGAGGGTGGAATTAGGATACCACTTAACAAATAACAACAAATCATATAAGGCCAAAAATAATATTTGAATTGTTTGATGTTGTCTACCTACCCACCTAAAAAGCTGCCTACCAGAAAAATTTTAAGACGCAATTCATTTTAAATTTTTTAAGCATTTTTTATATTCTAATGTCGTTTTCTTGTATGAAACATATAACTTATGCTGTTTGCCAAAAATTTTTAAAAAATCCTTCCTACATACCCAACCCTAACAAGGTATGGGTAGGCAACATCGAATAAAGAATTTGTAAAGGGTGGCCTAAGTGGGTGCACTAATGTGGGTCAGCTTAGATGCAAAAGGCGATGGGAATTTGAACTGCCACTGGGAAAAAAAAAGGATATGTTTGGAAGGGACAGTAGTTTTACCTTGCAATAGGTCAGTGAGGTATTGCAAGGGTTCCTTAACATGGGTGGAGTTCTCAAGACAAAATGGTCATTTTCCACCATTGTGTGATTAACGCTATTAGATTTCAATACATTTAATAAAACTTGTATATGCAATACTCAAAAATTATGTTTTAATGACATGAACAAAGAAATGCAGGAGAGTGGTCCTTTCATAAAAATGTTTTTAACATAATAAATATAAAGATGAGTCCATGAAAATACCATAGAAAGGCTTGTATAGTCCACGGTTTTATTCTCCAAAATTGGACCTTCCAGACGGGGTGCGGACTATAGAGTACAATAAGCAAGAAATAAGAGAAAAATTTCAATTTGCAGGCGAGGTGGTTTGTTTACGTTCCGCCATCTTTGTTATTTATATTGTAGAGGGCGCTCTTATCATTTTCAAACTAATAATTTTAACTCATCCATATTAATAAGTTATTTCTATTCAATATCAAATTAATACTGATAAATATAAAAACTAAACCTTTCATTACAAATTTCTCGTTTCTTTTCAATGCATTGGTTGAAATAAACTGGTATCTGCTTGATTGAAACGATACAAACATAGTGAAAAAGACAACCGTAAACCAGCTTAGAATTTGTAAACTACAAAACGTAATCGGTTATTGTTCGTTCCGTTTTGGTGTTTCATACTGACTAATATGGTTTGTATTAGCTTAAGACCCTTCAAACATTAATGTGATAGATATATTAAAGACTGTTTTACAAAAGGATGGAACTGTTTTACTTTCAAAGTCGTATTATAGTGATATCTGTTATATACGGATTTCGACTCTCACCGGTTAATTTCTTCTTTTACACGTGCTTCTTAAACTTCCTGTTTAAACATACACAAGTTTCTAAATTGTTTTTTAAGTGAATTAAACTTATTTTAACAATCATGAAGCGTTCTAGAATCATTTACAAGCAGTTTCAGCTTCTGTTTGATGATGGAAAACAGGTTTTTCCAAGAAAATACCGCAAACGACCGCACAGGATTTGAAATTACCGGAGTTTCATTAGACCTTTTCTAACAGTTACAAAAAGTTTTTTTACCTAAAATTTCGTGGGGAGAAGGGGGTGCGGACTATGTACCAGTGCGAACTATACAAGCCTTTCTACGGTAAAACATTATATTTTCTTTCAAGAGAAACATGGCAATGATGGTTGGGAATAGGAATCTTTCCTTCTGAAAATGCTATGAAGGAGTTAAGTTTTGAAGCCTTTTATCATAAGATTGTCACTAACAATACAATATATACCTTTAAGAACCAAAATCCTGAAAATGAGGTCAAGTGAACTTACTATAATATAACTTTTAAAAAGTACAAACAAATTAAAAAATCCTAATTATATCTTAAATACTATTTTATAAACTGCTGGGCACTAACTAAAGAATTGTACACCCCTTTTTTAGCCAATAATGTCTGGTGTGTGCCACTTTCTACAATGGTTCCATTGTCCATTACAAAGATCACATCAGCATTTTGAATTGTGGAAAGACGATGGGCTATCACAATACATGTTCTTCCTTCTTGTGCTTTGTCTAATGCTTCTTGTACCAACTGAAAAAAATAATATGAAAGTATTCCTTATTTATATTATCAAAATTCATTTCATAAAGCCTAGATTTGACTCTAAATTATCATAATTTAATACATACTTGCTACTTTGCAGATGAAGAATGAAATATAGCTACTATCAAATTTTCCTTTGTTTTTGTGATAATTTCCCATATCATGCAACTCAAATGATATTGGTTTTCTCTGTTGACTACCTTATCAATGGTTTTTCAAAATTGAGGATGTTTCTATGTCAAAGCCCTCCTATGAGGTTGTAACCAAGAAACTCCCTCTTCATTGAAGAACCATTGACTATTGTCAAGTACAGATTATCTGGTTTTCTGCATACTGATGTCATATAATATCAGCTGTGGGTCACAATATGAAGCTTTTAGTCAAGTGAGCACAGTGAACAAGTTCAAAAAGGCTTCATATTGTGCCGAGCAGCTGATATTTGACAATATTAATATGCAGACAACTAGATAATCCATCTGTATTGTGCATGATAGGAACAAGTATTTACTTTGCTTCACCAGCAAACTGGAAGATGTGCAGGTAAAACTTATCAAGGTCGGTTCATACATAATGACGTCACTGATATGTCCAAGTCAAAGTTATTAAGGCCTGGTCAACATATTCTACATAACAAAGGCGTGATATACAATTCTTTTTAGAGCTGAGCAGAGTGATATAGACAGTGGGACAACCGATAATATGTAATTATTTAGCTGATATAAACTTTTCATCAAGTTCCATTTCATTTTCGTTGGCAGAGCATTACTAAAACTTTTAAATAGGAGACTGTCCTATGTTTTTAAACCAAAGGATGTGCAATAATTATCTTTCTTTAGTTCTTAGCCAATTTAAACTTTCCCTGTCCCCTTGATTAAATAATACTATTCCCACACCCCTGACTTTCAATCCCTCATTTCCATGTTCCCTTATCCCTGTCCATTCCAGTATTTAATTTACCTTCTCACTCTCTGAATCTAATGCCGATGTAGCCTCGTCTAATAAGAGAATTTTGGGATTTCTAATCAAAGCTCTTGCTATGGCAACTCGCTGCTTCTGTCCACCAGACAGCTGTGTCCCCTTCTCACCAACTACTGTGTCATAACCCTAGAATAAAATATTAACATAATGATGACTTCAAAACTTAGGGTGCTCTATTAGAGGTGAGATAGAATATGAATAAAAGTATACATTGGTCAAACATTCATTAGACATCAAGTGAACAACACAAAATGACATATTTATGTCAACATTCAGTCTTCAACATCTAAATTTGTTCGGTCTCTGGTGGATAAATGTCTACTTAGCAATCATACTAAATCTTCTTATTCTCATAGAAAGGTGAATTAACAGCTGTATGTAAACAATATGTGAAGCGCAATGAAAACCTGCATAAAGTGAACTATCGTATTAGAACAATGCAATAAATACTGGAGCCAGAATCACTTAAAACATAAACTTAACTGTGTCAGGATAAAAATGAAATTCTTTATACATTACTTAACATGTAAGGGAAAATTTCAGAAAAATCTGATAATATGGACTCATGGGCCCGTCAGGAGACAGCCTTTACTACATACCATAGGTTGACTAGTAATAAACTCGTGTATATTTGCATCTCTAGCGGCTGTAATAATATCATCCATCCCTGCAGTTTCCTCCAGACCATAAGCTATGTTGTCACGGATACTACAATTAAACAGGATCGGTTCCTGACTGACCACACTAATAAATGACCTCATTTTGTGAAGATGTAGGTCTTTTATATCTATACCATCTATCATCTGTTGAAAAAAGAAAAAAAGAAAGATATTGAGTTATCTCCCCTTTAACACATTTTTAGTTCAACAAAATTTTGATCAAGAAAACAAAAGTGCTATACAAATGCATGCAACATTTATCACAAGTGAATCCTTTGAACTTGCTGTCTTTGATTTCACTGTATTGATTATAACACCTTATTTTTACTTTAATAATCCCTCCAGACCAATAGAATCCCTGATAAAGGGAGACAACTATAATTTTACTTTACTCTCTATCACTGATCTAACCAACTACTAAAACTTACAGACAGAATAATTTCTGTTGAAAGGAGATTTTTCCCCCAACTATTTAAAAGAATCACTGATAAAGGGAGATAATAAAAAATTCACTTTACCCTCTGTCACTTATCTTACCAAATGCTAAAATTTATGGACGTAATAATTTCTGTTGAAAGGAGACAGATTTATTACCCAGCTATTAGAATCACTGATAAAGGGAGACAATTATAAATTCATTTTACCCTTTGTCGCTCATCTAACCAACTACTAAAACTTACAGATGGGATAATTTCAGTTGAAAAGAAACAAATTTTTCCCCCAGCTATTGGAATCTCTGTTAAATGGACTCAATTACAAATTCACTATACCCTTTGACATTTATCTTACCAACTACTAAAACTTACAGATGGAATAATTGATGTTGAAAGAAGACATAATTTGTTCCCAGCTTTTAGAATTTCTGATTCACCTTACCCTGGCCTTTAACACTTATCTAACCAACTGCTAAAACTTACAGACAGAATAATTTCTGTTGAAAGGAGACAAATTTTGAATTCTATTCACTGTCCTTTCCATTGTTAATACTTACAATTTCCCCTGACTCAGGATCATAGAATCTCTGCAAAAGGGAGATAACTGTAGATTTGCCACACCCACTTTGTCCCACAAGAGCCACAGTCTGCCCTGGTTCCACCTTCATATTCACTCCTTTCAAGACCTTTACCTCAGGTCTAGTTGGGTAACAGAAACTGACCTCTTTAAACTGTATCAAACCATCCACTTTTTGCTGAAACAGACATTAAATATATGTGCAATGTACAAAGCTGTTTCTGTTTTATATGAACATTTGTCTGCCCTATTCAAAATACCTTTTTCAAATAGCAGTCTAAAATTGCTGCACTTCATCCCCATAAAACCATCCTTGCCAAACCTTAATTTGTTTTAGTACTAAATATGCATCAAATATTTGCCATTGGACATTACACAAGCAACAATCAATCAATCAATCAATGTGTGCCCAAACTTTACAAACTATACAAACTAAGCAAAGATTCAAGGTGTTTAGAAAATAAAAACAAATTTTACATTTAAATAGTTATTATGGCAACAAACAATGATATAATATTTCCAAATCGTTGTTTGACATCAATTTAGGTATATTTTTGATAAGAAAACTATGTGTGCACCCAAGAAACAATTTGGCAAGATTATGTTGATAGCTATAATAAAGCTTCTCTATATCTATTTTATTGATTCTTGGCTGCACCAAGGCTTCCAAAACGGTCATATATTCCGGACATTTGTATAATGTCCGGTAAAAGTCCGGCTGGGCAAAGCATGAAACGGTCATCTACTTTTTAGTTTTAAAGGCTTTCTTAAGAGACGGTCATTTTAACATAATTCACGATCTTTTTGACCCAACCTTTTGCCTTTAACAGCCACACATTTCCGGTCATAAAAGTGACATAATCACTAAGTACTATCAAAACAACCCCTACTTTAATACCTTCTCATTTTAATCAAGGCTAATTAGTTGTTGAACAGCTGAAATTTACCTGTTCAGGTGACAGGTAAACTATTTTGAACCGGACATTGATCGGTCTATTCAAAGTTATTTTCTTACATTTCAGCGGTTTGCATCTAATTAATTTAGTCAAAAAGATTTAAATTATCAGAAATACGTTTACAAATATGATTTGATGAAAAAATTAAAAAGGTGAAAATGAAAAATCGTCATAACCACGTTGTTTGAACCAGAGACATGTCTCTGTTTGAACTAGTACACGTGTGCGCATGTGCGCAGGTGTGAAATTTAATTATGCATCCTAATTTCTTAAAAAAATGCTTAAATTGTCATTGATACCTTTATGTCACGTTTATTTCGAATATTTTCATGAAGAAATAACGTAGAAAGAGCTACGTACACTCATTCATGCTTTGCAAACGTACACGGAATTTACGTATCCGTCTCTGGTCCATGTTTTACCATTGTCAAGATAACAACCGGTATAAGATTTTAACGAATGTAAAGTTTTTGACAACGTTATTTTGCACAAATAAAGAGTCTAAGGCAGATATAAGTACGCTGATGTTGCACACTTCGAATGATGCACTGCCAATTTAACAGTTTACGTCAGAACTTCGAATTTGAATCAAAGAAAGTTTAATATCGTTTTTTTTTAATGTCAATCATTAGGATGGCCAACTCAGCAACTGAATACCATAATTGCCTTTTGTTTATTTAGTCTTAAGGGATTAAAATCGGGATAATATATAAAATGTCCGGCTGGCTAAAAATAATTTTGGAAGCCCTGGGCTGCACATGATGTTTCAACAAATATGCATAAATTCAGCTGTTTTTTTTTATATTTATATGAAAAAGGTGCTTAATATGACATAAAAAATCTTCATCAATCATTATTTGCCTGTCTGAATACTAGTGGAATACCCCTACTCTTGGAAATCCGACTAATCCCTCAAAACTCTCCATCCAAGTCACCATGTAAAAAAAGTTAACAATTATAGGTCTAAGTACGGCCTTCAACATGTAGCCTTGGCTCACACCAAACAGCAAGCTATAAAGGGCCCCAAAATGACGAGTGAAAAACAATTCAAACGGGAAAATCAACGGTCCAATCTATATAAAAACCGAGAAACGAGACACACCAACATACGACACCCACTGAAACACAGGCTCCTGACTTAGGACAGGTGCATAAAATGCAGCAGGTTTCAATGTTATGCATAAATTTTAAAAGAAAAGTTTAAGATGCATTTTCAGAGACATAAAGCATACAACTTCTTCAGAATTAACATATTTAAAGTTATTTAATACGGATAAAAAACCAGGAAACAATTAGATGTACACAAATTTCTCCTATACATGAAAACAAAACCTTGAAAATCCTGTCACAAGAAAGTAAAAGAAAATACAAACCAGATAAGTTCCTCTTTTGGAATATATATCTATAGGCGGTATAGTATCAAATGCTTTGAAAATCAATCCAGCAGCATGTTTGGCCTTTGCATACTCTGGCAGAAATGATGACGATTGTCCAATCACCATGGCAGTGAAGGCTATGGCAAAGAACACCCTAAAAAAGAAAAGAAATATTTAGTTTAAACAATATCTTATTTTTCAATAATGCTAAGATTACAGTTATACAATAGAAATACAAGGAATAGGAAACAAGAAGAAATTATATAAATCCGTCTCCCTTAAAGAAATGTTTACTGTGGAATCATTGTTATACTTAGGATAGTAATACACAATTATGGTGGATGTCGTTGATATTCATAAACCAAGATTTTAATGTTCGTTGAAGTACACATTATATATGTATGCAAACTTTGTCATAACCACAAAATCAAATATGAAAATATAGTTTTCCCTCAGTTTCTTGAAAATTGGTTACCATGGAAATGAATGAAAACCAATATATAATAAATACAAGCATTCTGTGAGTATTGCATGGCAATACATAGTCTCCTACCGGTTAAAAATTCATTGTCTTGGAATAAAATTCGAACTTGATCTATAACTTGTCATGGTGTAAACTATATAACAAATATCAAGTCAATATCTTCAAGCATGACTAAAAAAAAGGGTTGAAAACTGATTACCGGTATCTAAGTGAATTTTCTAAGTCCAAGGACCATAACTCTGCACAAAGTCATCAGACTGGAACAAAATTCATACTTGATCTGTAACTTGTCATGATAAAACTATATCCCAATTTTCAAATCAATATCTTCAAGCATGATGAAAAAAAGTGCGGAAAAATGATTATTCAAGTGAATTTTCTAAGTCCAAGGACCATAACTGTACACAAAATCATCAGACCGGAACAAAATTCAAACTTGATCTATAACTTGCCATGATAAAACTATATACCAACTTACAAATCAATATCTTCAAGCATGACCGATTAAAGTGTGGAAAACTGATTATTTGAGTGAATTTTTCAAGTCATAGGACCATAACTCTGCTCAAAATCATCAGACTGGAACAAAATTCGAACTTGATCAGTAACTTGTCATGATAAAACAATACACCAAATATCAAATCAATATCTTCAACCATGCAAAAAAAAAAGTGTGGAAAACAGATTTGCTGGACTGATGGATGGACAGACAGACAGACAGACGGACGGACGGAGTGCAAACCTAAAGGACCATAACTCTGCACAAAGTCATCAGATCGGAACAAAATTCAAACTTGATCTGTAACTTGTAATGATAAAACTATATCCCAATTTTCAAATCAATATCTTCAAGCATGACGAAAAAAAGTGCGGAAAAATGATTATTCAAGTGAATTTTCTAAGTCCAAGGACCATAACTGTACACAAAATCATCAGACCGGAACAAAATTCAAACTTGATCTATAACTTGCCATGATAAAACTATATACCAACTTACAAATCAATATCTTCAAGCATGACCGATTAAAGTGTGGAAAACTGATTATTTGAGTGAATTTTTCAAGTCAAAGGACCATAACTCTGCTCAAAATCATCAGACTGGAACAAAATTCGAACTTGATCAGTAACTTGTCATGATAAAACAATACACCAAATATCAAATCAATATCTTCAACCATGCAAAAAAAAAAGTGTGGAAAACAGATTTGCTGGACTGATGGATAGACAGACAGACAGACAGACGGACGGACGGAGTGCAAACCTAAAGGACCATAACTCTGCACAAAGTCATCAGATCGGAACAAAATTCAAACTTGATCTGTAACTTGTAATGATAAAACTATATCCCAATTTTCAAATCAATATCTTCAAGCATGACGAAAAAAAGTGCGGAAAAATGATTATTCAAGTGAATTTTTCAAGTCAAAGGACCATAACTCTGCTCAAAATCATCAGACTGGAACTTGATCTGTAACTTGTCATGATAAAACAATACACCAAATATCAAATCAATATCTTCAACTATGAAGAAAAAAAGTGTGGAAAACTGATTTGCTGGACTGACGGATGGACAGACAGACAGACAGACGGATGGAGTGCAAACCTAAAGTCCCCTTCGACTTCGTCGGTAGGGGACTAATAAAAGAATATCAGACTGTGTAGCAAATGCAAGGTCCTAACGCTTAAAATTTATCCATTTTTTTCTAAATTGTTCAGCATACGAAGATGACAATGATAATACATTCATACACATATAAAGCACTACATGTCCAAATTGTTCTGATCTCTTAAATGATGTAAAATTTTATTAAGGTATCACTTACAGTCTAGATAAATTATGAGAAAAATACATTAACAGCTAATATAAAATTGAGAATGGAAATGGGGAATGTGTCAAAGAGACAACAACCCGAACATAGAGCAGACAACAGCCGAAGGCCACCAATGGGTCTTCAATGCAGCGAGAAACTCCCGCACCCGGAAAATATGGCTATTTTTAACTTATTTTATGGTTCTGTAAAACATATAGCATATATTACTGTGGATTCATTATAATTCCTGGGATACCAATTTTTGTGGATTTGTGGGTAAAGGGGAAGAATTTAAATGTTCAATGAAAAACAAATCTTATAAAGGCTTGTGTGCAAACTTTTATAAAACCACGAAATCAAATATCCATAAATACGATTTTCCCTCAATCCACGAAAAATTGGTACCCACAAAAATAAATGATTCCACAGTATCTGTATTATAAATATTTTATTGCTGAATTGTATGTATATATATAATAGTACTTTTCCAAGATTTTTTAGATAATAGACAAAACATTCATTTACCCTTTGGGTCAGGTTATCTAACAAGAGGCTCTCAAAGAGCCTGAATCGCTCACCTGTATTTCAGAGGAGAAGATTTTTAAATGTTAGCAAACTTGATGAACAAATTGTGTAAAATTGTCTTTAAAGGGCAATAACTCCTTAAGGGGTCAATTGACAATTTTGGTCATTAACTTTTTTGTAGATCTTACTTTGCTGAACATTATTGCTGCTTACAGTTTATATATATCTATAATAATATTCAAAATAATAACAAAAAACTGCAAAATTTTGTTAAAACTACCAATTCGGTGGCAGCAACCCAACAATGGGTTGTTCGATTCGTCTGAAAATTTCTGGGCCGATAGATCTTGACCAATTAAACAATTTTACCCCATGTCACATTTGCTCTAAAAGATTTAGTTTTTGAGATATAAGCCAAAAACTGCATTTGACCCTTATGTTCTATTTTTAGCCATGGCGGCCATGTTTGTCGATGGATACAAACTTCGGATACAATTTATAAACAAGATACCCTAAGGAACATTTAGTTAAAGTTTGAAGGTATTTGGCCCAGTAGTTTCAGAGAAGATTTTTGAAATAGTTTACGACAACAGACGACGACGACGACAGACGGCAACGACAGACGACGGACGACGACGGACGCCAAGTGATGGCATAAGCTCACATGGGGCCCTTCGGGCTCCGGTGAGCTAAAAAGGATGTGACAATTGATGACCATGAGACAACAACCCATAACACAGAAGGACAGAAGATGTGAACAATTAACAGGTTGCTTACCTGCCTTCAAAAATAACCAAATCCATTATTGTAAAGGTAGATATGAAAAGTCCATGGATCACAAAAAGTGAAAAGATTAAAATAGGCAGCAGCCTAATTTTTACTACAACAAATATATGGCAGACAACAACCAATAACAACCTTAATCGCACCGCAGGTAAATTGTGACCTTGTGATTGGTTTAAACGCCGTCACATGATGACCCCTATGGATCTGTAGGGTGGTTAGTAAATTTCATATGAGGCTCATGACGTCATGTCTACTGTTAATGGTGACGTCATCTATTAATGTTTTTGTGTTTCATTGTTTATTTTTCTACAAAACGCAGCAGAAAAAGTCCCGAGTGCAATAACTTCGTTATACAGTCACTACTGTCCCCCTACGGACCATAGAGGGTAGAGAACCATATAACTAATAATGGATTACTGAAGCTCCTGGCTTGGGACAGGATCATAAAGAATGTGTAGCAGGTTTAATGGTTGGCTTAACCATATCATACTTATATAACACAGTAACTTTGGTAATTGTGACATTTCTACCTGTACTGATACTAACTTGAACACATTATCAGCGGTCATTTCTCCTATTTCCACTTGCCATGCACCAAATCTGAAGGCACCAGCATAGGTCATAAAAATCACACCTTGTCCTAAACCAAATGCTATTCCGTACCAGTGGGCTTGCTTTATCATGGATCTGTAAAATAAACAAATGACAATGAATGACAGCTATAATTATTGGAAGACCTGACCATTGATTATTAAATCTATTTATAAATTCTTTAGTCAAAAACAATTGTTTCTAATCTTGACTTACATCTAGAAATTGACAATTAAGGTCAGTTTAGAACCATATTTTGTTTAAAAACAGATTTCTGTGAAGCAACATTTCAGCAGTAGTCACATACGAAATATATATCTCCCATTTACGCCTAATTTTATGCCTGGTTTCCACCTCAGTGGCGCCTGGACATGCATTCCCTAAACATTGCAATGACGCCAGGATAAAAAAGTATGATTTCTACGCCTTGTTTCCATGTGATTTACAGGCATACGTAACATTCGTACAGGATTCAATCAATTATTCAACTATTCAAGTAATTAATCAATTATATAAACTGGATAAGTTTTCCCAATTAAGTTTATCATTCCATACCTTATAAAGAGGGACTAAAAAATAAGAAAATTATGGATCAACTTGTTTCACACATCATCAAAGGGATTGAAAGTGAAGGCCACCCAAAAAGATACTAGAAGGGAATGAGATTAACCTGATAAAAGTCGCAACCAGGATAGAGTTGAAAATGTACCAAAGAGGCTCGCTAAGGAATATACGTTTAAACCAGCACAAAACGCCAAACAAGGAATAGGTTATAACATACCTGAGTGGTCCAACAAGAGCATGTGAATATTCATGATAAAAATGTTTCTCTGTGGTCAAGGACTGGACAGTTCTGATATTTTCAATAGTTTCTGCAGCTGTCTAGAAAAACAAATTGCAAATATTGAGAAAATATTTCTTTATAATATTATTCATCATCTTTACTAAATTATAGCAACACTTCTAAGAAATATTTTACGAGTACCATTTCACTTCTGTCTGTTATTGATAATAGTTGAATTTAACTTCAGCAAGCATATACATTCTATTCCATTTCAAATTTTCAGTTCTCTTACCAAAATTATTTTCGTGCTATTTCCATTGATGCATCTGCTTAACTCTAAGACTTCTTTTGTCAATGATTTATATAATGTTAAGTTTATATAATACATTCAGTATGAATAAAGTTCAATAAACCGAGATGTTGAGTACAAGTGAATAAGACAACGATAACATTACAATCAATAGGCACATGTTAGATATTGATTTTATCAATGCAGGGAGTGTGAATTGTGTGATACTATATTTCTCCAGACAGTTAAATTTGCATACCTACAACATGAGGTTTGCCAAACTTTTTAGATATTTAAAATTTTTAAACTGCTGAGGGTAGAGAAATATAATATTACACAAGATGCAAAGGTGAAATCTGTTTCTCTAATGATTTTTAAACGAAAGGAAGACAAACTTTATCTTCCTCTTTCAATGATTTGTAAAAAAGATGTGTTCTTTACATGTGACATCATCAGGCATGGTCGTCATTTTACATGACATCACAATAGGAAATTCAGAGGAAAGCAAGACACATTGACATCATAATTTATTGTTTACCAATGAGAAAGTCGCAGATCAAACACTTTGAATACAAAAATATAATCAACTTGTTTGGAAAAGTGTTTTGTCACTTGAGGGTGTAAATATACTTAAAAACTGCACTTTATGCCCATTATTCTCTAATCTGCAAACCCTATCCAGACCCTCGTGATAATTAAGCTATGTTCTATGGACATGATAGAGGGTCCGGATGGGGAGTCCTTCATTTCTTTATTCTTTAATTTTTTTACACCACTATTATTCTCTATTCTTTGTTTGCCCTTTATGCCCATTATTCTCTAATCTGTAAACCCCATCCAAACCCTCATGATAATAATCCTATACCTAATTAACAACTAAATAATGTCATTAAAATATGTTGTATTTTTAAATGAATGGTATACCTTCCCAGCATCCTCTAGTTTGCCTTTATCTTCCTCATGTCTTCCCTTTAAAACTTTTATCTGTAGACTACCTGACAAAATACAAACAATATGTACTGTGGATTAATTTATTTTCGTGGGTACCAACTTTCATGGATTAAGAAAAACTTACATATTCGTGGAAATTCAATTAAGTGGTTTTGCTGAAGTCTGCATACAAGTCTATAGGAAATTTGTCATTCGTTGAACATTTAATTTCGAGGTTCACCTGTACCAACAAAATCCAGGAAAATTGGTATCCAACAAATAGAAATGAATCCACAGTATTTTTAACGTGTTCACAAAGAGTCAATGTGTTATGTTCCTTATAAGAAATGGTAAAAGAAGAGTTGTCATTTACACATAATGATAAACAATCACAGTTCATTTATATGTTTCAAAGTTTAGTGTGATGTCCATTTTCACTGAACTAGTATACGTTTTTGTTTAGGGGCCAGCTGAAGCCCACCTCGCAGTGCAGGATTTATCTGGCTGTACTGATGACCCATTGGTGGCTTTGGCTGTTTTCTGCTCTTTGGTTGGGCTGTTTTCTGCTCTTTGGTTGGGCTGTTGTCTCTTTAACATATTCCCCATTCCCATTCTCAATTATAAACCATGTAGGCAGCCTTCTGTCAAACCGTTTCAAGAGGACTTTTACATTCAAAAGGTATCATTGTGTTAGAAGTAAAAAAAACAATGGTCAAAGCCCTGTAACTCTTTCAAGAATAGTACATCAAAATGATGGTACAGTAAAGTAGAGGAATATGAAGAAAATTTCAAATATTCCTATCAGAAGTACTTTGTTTTTAGGGTGTTACAGACGGAGAGACAAACAGATTAAAGAAGATTGTTACTAAAAAGCTATAATGGCCCTCCATTTATTTATCTGGTTATCCTACCATCATAAAATATCGATTGTGGTTTAATTTCATTATCAAGAATTGTATATCAGAATTCAATTGTTATCAGACATTGTGAAATTGACACAAAAAATTTGATTTTCTGAGAAATAAAAAGATCCTTTTCTACTGGAGATATTCCAAACTAGAGGCTCACAAGAGCCTGTGTCGCTTACCCGTATCTACTGTTGTTTTCGAAATCATGTAAAATAAGGTTAAAATTATAATTAATAGTACTAGATACCCTAATAATGATCAAGGCCAAGTTTGGTTTGATTTGGCCCAGTAGTTAAATTAAAACCAGGTCATCCCATTGTAGTCTTACAATAATTACTGAAGACCCCTTATCATTATTCAAAATAGTTTTCACGTTGTGACCATATAAAAATGTTTTTAATTTACAGTTTTCCCTTAAGACTTCTATAGTAAACCCCTATGTTCTATTTTTAGCCATGGTGGCCATGTTGGTTGGAGGACAAGGTCATCAGATACATTTTTCAATCAAGATACCCTATTGAAAATTGTGGCTAAGTTTAATTCTATTTGGCCAAGTAGATAAAGTGGGGAAGACTTTTGTAAAAGATTACAAAAATTTATGAAAAATTGACTATAAAGAACAATAACTCCTTAAGGGATCAATCAACAATTTTGGTTATATGACTTATTTGTAGATTGTACTTTACTGAACATTATTGCTGTTTACAGTTTATCTCTATCTATAATAATATTTAAGATAATAATCAAAAACTGCAAAATTTCCTTAAAATTACCAATTCAGGGGCAGCAACCCAACAATGGGTTGTCTGATAAGTCTTAAAATTACAGGACGGATAGATCGCAACCTGATAAACATTTTTACCCCCCCCCCCCCCCCCCCCCCCGGTCAGATTTGTTCTAAATACTTTAGTTTTAGAGATATAAGCCAAAAACTGCATTTTACCCCTATGTTCTATTTTTAGCCATGTTGGCCATGTTGTTTGGCATCAGACACATTTTTTAAACTAGATACCCTAATGATAATTGGGCCAACTTTGTTTAAATTTGGCCCAGTAGTTTCAGAGGAGAAGATTTTTGTAAAAGTTAATGGATGACGATGGATGACAATGACGACGGACCACGGACGCCAATTGATGAGAAAAGCTCACTTGGCCCATATGTATAACCAATGTATAAACAGGGAAATGTTTGGACCATGAATGAATGGAAATTTATGGGAGAATAAAATTGAGAATGGAAATGGGGAATATGTCAAAGAGATAACAACCCGACCAAAGAGCAGATAACAGCTGAAGGCCACCAATGGGCCTTCAACGCAACGAGAAAATCCCGCACCCGGAGGTGGGCCTCAGCTGGCCCTTAAATAAAAATGTGTACTAGTTCAGTGAAAATGAACGTCATACTAAACTCCAAAACATATAAATGAAACTAAAATAAAAAACATACAAGACTAACAAAGGCCAGAGGATCCTGATTTGGGACAGGCACAAAAATGCGGCGGGGTTAAACATGTTTTGTGAGATCTCAGCCCTCTCCCTATACCTCTAGCCAATGTGGAATAAAGAAACACACAGCAATACCCACAGTAAAACTCAGTTTAAAAGAAGTCTATGTTAAGGAGAAGACTATTCACCGTTACAATGTAACGGAATAGAAGTTCCTTCATAATATAAGTTCCAAAAGGAAAAAGTATTCTGGAATATTATTTCCACTGGAATAAATATTACAGTATATGTTCCTAATGGAATAAATGATATAGAATAGGACAGGAACAGATATTATGACATTGTTTATAACAAAGTTTCTGGTGGATCATCTGTTAGGCGGAAACAAATATACGTTGACAACACTGTAATTTCTGTCCAAATTTGTAACAATTATGGAAAAATGGTGTGCTTCAAACTTAAATCCTAAAATTCATGTAGTACCAACTAACTTACTTGCAAATCCAATTACTGGTACAATGCCTAGTACAACAAGAGCTAGAGCCCACCCATAATAGAAGGCTATGACAAGGGCTGCTACCAGTCCAAACAACGACTGGAAAACCATACCAATTCTCACACCTGTTGCCTGAAAACAATAATAATGGTATTTATAGTCTGATCAAACAACAGTACAGTTTCTATTCTCTCCAATCATCATGGCTGGGAAAATATGAGACATATGTTGAGACATTAAGTAATTGAAAAGTAATTTATAATTACATGGCAAAAAGACAATGTCAATTACACATTACATTTAATTACTTTCAAAATTGTAATTAATTACAGCTAATTACAATTACATTTTTAATTATACCCAGGTCTGGTCTTAACATCACTTTCAGCGCTAATGGCTATTCAGTGGCGACTAGTTTTTATTGATGGAGGAAGCTGGATTGAACCACAACCTTCAGCAGGAAGACGTACTGACTATCCTAGTCAATTAAGATAGTCGTCGAACAATCTTGCCATGTGAGGGGTTAGAACTTACAACCTCAGTGTTGACAGGCTAGTGACACAGTAGATTAACTACTTAATAGACCACTCCGCCACCAAGGCCCTGACAATTGTAACAAGTATAAAATGTAAGTTGATAACAAATGAAACTGTTCATGCAATAGTTTCTGCAATGGGTGTGGTAGTCTTAAATTCAGGATGTTTGCTATTCTGTTTCAAAATAACAAGTTTTTTCAATAACTGTTATAAATTGAAAGTATTTAAATAACAGAAATAAAAATGCAGAAAAAATGAAGATTTCGTGTCCCTTTTTTGGAGATATAAGCCATTGAAAAATTGGCAGGAAATAATTCTCTCTAGATTTTTCATAACATTGGCACCTTTTTTTTCAAAAACTATGAATAAATAACAGCGATTTTATGAGATTTTCAAATATGGCTTTTTAAACTATATGTTATTAGATCATGAAGAAAAATCAAAAACAAGAGGAGCAAACATCCTTGTCCCTTTAGAATATTTTAACACATGATTCAATAGAGGTTTTCTGATAACTGTCAGATGACAGCCCACAAGATCAAGAATTGGATTTTGCAGGTGTTACCATGGACAATATTGAATCATTGTTGACCTAGAAACAAGCAGATAAAAGGGTTCATTCAAGCTTCCAACAATTTCTTGATTATCAATAATAATATAAATAATTACCAGAAATAATTGTTACAAGATGCTATTACGAAGTCTCCAAAACAAATCCCTATAAGTATAAACCCCTAAGGACTCTCCCTATTAAATAAATTGAAAAAAATAAAAGGTCAAGGCCAAAGGTTAAGATCATAGTTGACCATTGACCTTTTGACATTTAAGTATGTTCCCATGGTAATTGCTAAAGACCCCATGTGTCTATCACTAACTGTTCTCAAGTTATAATCATTTATGAATCATTGGCCAAAGAACATTAAACAAACAACAATCAAACAATCATGTCCATTGATCAATTACTGTGGATTCATTATTAGAGCTATTCCATTAAAATGTATGTGGGAGGGCAGGAAGGGAAGTTCAATCATTGAATGTGGGTCATGGGTCTTTCTTCAGTATGCATCTATAATTACCATCATGCAAAATTATCTAAAAAATGGTTCCTGGTTGTAGGGATATTTTGAAAGTCCCTTCTTACCCTCCCACATACATTTTAATGGAATAGCCCTTATGTGTGGGATACCATATTTCGTGGATATCGTGAGTAAAGGTAAACCACAAATTTAAATGCCCAATGTAGTACAAATGTTCTAAAGGTTTGTATGCAGGTTTTTGAATATCAAATATCCATGAAAATATTATTTTTCTTCAATTCATGAACAATGGTACCCACGAAAATAACTGAATCCACAGTTATTTAATCAAAGAAAATACTATTTTTCCTCAATCCATGAACATTGATACCCACGAAAATAAACATGTGAAACTGCGAGCTACTGCTCACTGATGATACCCCCGCCCAAATACTTGACGGTAAACAGGAAGTTGTTGAGTGATGAATCTGAAAACGCATCACACGGTATAGCTGACTTATATAAACCCTGAAACCAAATTTCAGAAATCCTTGTAATGTAGTTCCTGAGAAAGATGCGACAAAAAATATTGATGGGACGGACGGATGGACGGACTGACGGATGGACTGACAGATGGATGGATGGACGGTCAGACAGAGGTAAAACAGTATACCCCCACTTTTTTAAAGCAGAGGTATGATAACCACTTTTTTAAAGGGGGGGGTATAATAATAATGAATCCACGGTATCACATTAATAAATGCACACAATCATTTCTGAAATAACAGCATATAAATGACTTACTGTTTTTACTAAGGATGCGTCTGTAGCTAGCCTAGTTGTTAATGCACCCGTGGAGTGGAACTTGTCATCAAAGAAAGCTATATCTTGTCTCATATATGCATTAAATGTACCGAGTCTGAGTCGCTGAGTCAATTTCTCACCAGATATACCAAAACTAGAAGCCTTTAAGAAAACAAAAAAAAAACATGTGAAGGTTAAGAATGAATATAATAATAATTCATCATAATATCACATTAAAATTAGGAAACTGCAAATATAAAACCACTATGAAGTCAGCTGGAAAGGTCTAGGCAAAATAAAACCAAATCCTCAAAAATAATTTGGTTTGCAATACTGTACTAGAAAGGCAGAAACTGACAATATGAACAGTGCAGGAATGATATTATTAACATATTAAATGTGAACAGTCATTGAGGGGATTTTAATGCATTTTACAGCCATACATAATAAATCTTAAACTTGTAACAAAATTTAAAAAACTTTCAATAAAGCTTTCAAATCTTTAATTCTAAGTAACACTGTGGCTTTGATTTGATATAAATGTTTTACAATAAGAAAACAACTGCTATAGTTAAATCCATATTATTATATGTATTATCATTATTGTTTCTTTACTGATGTTTATAAGTCATCATTATATGTAAAATTCCCTTTATGGGCTGATAATTGGTTCAATAAAGTATTCATATTCATATTTGATCTTTTTAGTTTAGAGTTTTAAGTATGAAATTACACCTCGAAAATTAAAGTTAAAGCCAAGAATAATTTCCAACTATAGTGTTTCAAAATAAAAGATTTCCGAGAATCAAAACAATTTTTAGTGAGATCTATCAGGAAGAACGTAAACTCTTTCTATGTTGTGATGTTACACTATTGTTTCAGATAAGGGTGAAAGTTTGGTACCATAAAAACTTTTAAACCTGCTGCAATTGTTTGCACCTGTCCTAAGTCAGGAATCTGATGTTCAGTAGTTGTCGTTTGTTGATGTGGTTCATAAGTGTTTCTCATTTCTCGTTTTTTATATAGATTAGACCATTGGTTTTCCTGTTTGAATGGTTTTCCACTAGTAATTTTTGGGGCCCTTTATAGATTGCTGTTCGGTGTGAGCCAAGGCTCCATGTGAAGACCGTACTTTGACCTATAATGGTTTACTTTTATAAATTTTGACTTGGATGGAGAGTTGTCTCATTGGCACTCATACCACATCTTCTTATATCTATCTTCAATGTAAAAAAATTAGCATGACAAGTCTAATTTTCTGTATCCTAGCTCACAAGGTAAAACATCTGTAAGAAGACATGTCACCACATCCAAACACATAATTACAATTGCATGCCAATCATTCTTAATTCTTAAATATAGTTGCTAACCTCTATATCATTGGTTTCTGGTGGATAGTCTCATTGGCAATCATACCACATCTCCTTATTTTATTTTAGCAGAGAAACTTCATATACAAATTGTAAAATTTCATGTCAAGAATCAAACACTTGATCTCAAAAATAAAAAATTTAAAAAAAATACCTCAAGATCACCCCAGGACTATTTTTTACTTGACATAAGAATTATGAATGCAGAAAACTATATTTTTTTAAACAAGCATTCTGAGAGTATTGCATGGCAATACATAGTCCCCTACCGGGTAAAAAATCATTATACTGGAACAAAAAGCTAACTTGTTCTATTACTTGTCATGGTGTAAACAAAAAGAAAATATCAAGTCAATATCTTCAAGCATGACTAAAAACAGTGTGGAAAACTGATTAAATGAGTGAATTTTTCAAGTCCAAGGACCATAACTCTCCACAAAATTATCAGACCGAAACAAAATTTCAAACTTGATCTGTATAACTTGTCATGATAAAACTATATACCAATTATCAATCAATATCTTCAAGCATGATGAAAAAAAGTGTTGAAAACACTTTAACATTAGATATGATTAATAGTTCTCTAAAATTAGATATGATGTAATACAGTGTATATCTATTTTCAAATTATAATCAAATATAATTAATAGTTCTAAATATTTTTTCTTTTATTTGTCACAAACTAATATAGATTTGTAACTTATCTATAAAATGTCAACAATTTTTATCTACAGAATGTCATGTAATATATACATTAATAAAAATAGATTATTATCTAATTAAAGGATTTCACTTCATATTTTTTTTATATATATATAGCATTCAGAAAATTAGTTTATACAAAATAACAAACAAACCTGCCAAAAAATTCTTCAAATAATTTACCAAAGAATGTCTTTTAAAAAATGAGTTATCTCCCTTTGTACAGAAATATGGTTTAACATAGTACTCGTAACATTTGATATGGTCCAGAGTTATGGTCCATAACTCTGGACTAAATCATCAGACAGGAACAAAATTCGAACTTGATCTATGACTTGTCATGGAAAAACTGTATACCAAATATCAAATCAATATCTTCAAAAACGAAGAAAAAAAGTGTAGAAAGCTGATTTGCCGGACTGACGGATGGACAGAGTGCAAACCTAAAGTCCCCTTTGACTTCGTTGGTAGGGGACAAATTATCTACAGTTGACAATAACTGTTCCTTACCTGTACAAAATAGACAAGAAAATTTATTCCTCCGAGAGCCAAAAACATCATGCTCCATAAAAGTCCATTATTTCCTAGCTCTATAAATACCTGCAAAAAAAGACATTAAAATAGTATTTTTTCCAATAACATTTTCAGTATAATGAAGGAAATTAATGAGAATCGGGTATTTTTTTTTTTATTATGGCCATAGATGGATAGAAAGATTTTCATTCAAAATATATTCAAATTACTTTAAATTCATAAATTATTGTGAGGTTTTTATTAATGTGAATAATGCGACTGGGTGAGTATAGCAATAATAACATTCTTAATTTGTTACATATATCTGTATGCAGATTTTCCTAAATCTCTATAATTAATTACCTTTTACTCCATTCTTCAAAATTCGTAATAATAAATGCATGCAATAACTTCTCAATTTACAGTGTACACGAATTCTAAAGTTTGTAGTCTTGGAAATCTGATGTTTAAGGGACTCTTTTCATTCTAAGCGTTCCTGGTGAAGGTAAATTCAGAAAAGAGCTTCGGATGCATGAAATTTATAACGTGTTGTTTTCATTTTTTATTACAAATACACATTTCAATTGATATTCTATAGTGTGTCTTTCTATGTTGTGATGTTACACTATTGTTTCAGATAAGGGTGAAGGTTTGGTACCATTAAAACGTTTAAACCCGCTGCAATTGTTTGCACCTGTCCTAAGTCAGGAATCTGATGTTCAGTAGTTGTCGTTTGTTGATGTGGTTCATAAGTGTTTCTCTTTTCTCGTTTTTTATATAGATTAGACCGTTGGTTTTCCCGTTTGAATGGTTTTACACTAGTAATTTTTGGGGCCCTTTATAGATTGCTGTTCGGTGTGAGCCAAGGCTCCGTGTTGAAGACCGTACTTTGACCTATAATGGTTTACTTTTATAATTTTTGACTTGGATGGAGAGTTGTCTCATTGGCACTCATACCACATCTTCTTATATCTACATCCTGTTTTTATGCTTTGTTATAACTTATTGTCATTTCCCTTTTCAGAATCTAAAGCATTTGGGTAATATTTTGAAAAGTGTATAAAAGATATTGTGCATTTTAAAAACATCACAAACATTAGAAATTCAACTTATGCTGTGACATTTTCATTTTGAGATACAAACAATGATATTATTCCGTTCTTTAGATTCTAAAGCACCAAATTTAGTTTGGTTAAAATTTGCCCTAAGATTTTGTTGTTTTATTCATCAGGCCAAAATACAACTGATTTCACATAGAAATAGTTGTGATATTACTATTGATGACTTTTTTGGAACATCACATTAGAACTTCGGAAGTTATGACCCTTAAATTATTCACTATTTGTGATGGTACTCAGTTTTGGTCATATTTTCCCATAATTTATTACTGATTTTGGCATAATTTACTTTGGGCTCAAGTTGCTCAACCCCTGATCCAGAAAATTGTTGTGACTGGGGTTCAATATAAAAATTTGACCATTTTGGATCATAGGTTTTCCTAGGGGACTTGGTGGCCGAGTGGTCTAATTAGTCGAACTACTGTATCACTAGCCTGTCAACACTGAGGTTGTGAGTTCGAATCCGGCACTCGACTCCAATCTTAATTGACTAGGAATGTCAGTATTCCTACCAAAGGTTGGTGATTCTCTCCGGGCACTCCATCAATAAAAACTGACCACCACACAATAGCTCAAAAGTGTTGAAAGTGGTGATAACACCAATCAATCAATCATAAACCACTTAGGTCCAAAAAATGTTCACATCATTGTATTTTGACAACATCTGCAAATGTGTTAACTTTGGAGCCTATAATGTACTCTTGTGATACCATTTGTTTTACCTAGCATAAAGACTTTTGAAATTGTTCCATTTAAGAACCAAAACGTGTCCTTTATAATATTTTATGATAAAGGTTAAATTCAAGGCCATATTTTGGCAAGATTGAACCTTGTCCTTTGTCGATCATCTGAAAATCCTTCAGTTACCTTAATCATTTCTCCAAAGAATATAGCAAATGCTGGCATGGTACATCCAGCAACACATGATGCCATAATCCCAAGCACAATAAATCCACATTCTGGTTGATTTTCATGGATCATACGGAAGTATTTTGGTGGTTCATATTCTTCTTGCTGTAAAAAAAGAAAAATAAAATTCGTCTTTGTAGAAAAATAAATACATTTGCAATAAAGATATGTAAATTTAACATAAGCTGTTGACACAGAGATATGTCTCATCTTTTTGTAATGTTGGTAGTATAATGCAAATATTGAATCCAAATGGCAATATTTAAACATTTAAAATAGGCAAAACATTCACAGTCAATGGAGGCCTCAGTGGCAGAGTGGTGTAAGTAGTCAAACTACTGTATCACTAGCTATAGCCTGTCAACACGGAGGTTGTGAGTTCAAATCCCGCACAGGGCAGGTGAGCTCGACTCCAATCTTAATTGACTAGGATTGTCAGTATTCCTACCGAAGGTCAGTGGTTCTCTCCAGGGACTCCGGCTTCCTGCGCCACTAAATAGCACAATAGTGTCGAGAGTGGCGTTAAACACCAATTAATCAATCAATCAACCATCAAAGTCAATGAACCATAACATAATGTGCATGACCAAAAAACTTCAATTGAAATGAGAAATGCCGATGCTTATAAAGCTGCATACCAAATACCCTTAACTTATAATAAGTTGTGCACTTTACATTAACCAAAACAAAAACTTTGACTTGTAAACAATGAAAAATTTCAAAGTTAATGAACAATTATGAGGGGATGGGGCCACATAATCTCCATGGAAAAGAGACATGCAAATGCTAATATAAAGTTGCATACAGAATATCATTGACTTAATATTAATGATTCCTCTTAAACTGATCTAATCACAAACTTTCACATGTTATCTATGCAAAACATTCTAAGTCAAAAGACCATGACTGAGGGGGTAGAGCCAAATAATCTCCATGGAAATGAGATGTGCCAATGCTCATGCATCTATATACCAAATACCATTGGCCTACCACTAGTGGTCCCCCTTAAACTGACATAATCACAAACTAATACTTGTAAAGTAAGCAAAAGTTTCAATGTTAATCGATCAGATCTGAGAGAGTAGGGCCAAATATTCTCCATGGAAATGAGATATACCAATGCCAATACAGCTGCATACCAAATATCATTGACCTAACACTAGGTGTTCCCCATAAACTGTTCTAATCACAAACTAATGCATTGCTGACGCCACTGACGACGCAGAGTGCAAGAGTCAATGTACTAATTCAAACCAATTGATACCTTGTTTTCTTTAAAAGTAAAACAGCAAATTTGAAATTTTCCATTTATAAAAGTGCATAACTTAAGAACTGTAAAAGTGATGCCATCCAAATTCGAATTTGATCTATGTTTGATGGTAATGGGCATTGTGTACAAGTTTCAAAACATTTGGGTGAGGTAAACTTAAGTACTAGAATGGAAACCTATTTCTGGACATACAGACGGACAATGGTATACCTGAATGCCCCTATTCGCTTAGTGGAAGACTGACTGGGAAAGAAAAGCTTGGCTAGATGACACTATTGCAACATCTTACCTTCTACGGTTCCTCTTCTTTGTCAGCTTTGTCCTGTCCTAACATCTGATGGGAGAGTTGTCGAGACATCTGACAGGACATAGCAACATGATCTTACCTCCTCAGGCTCCTCTTCTTTGTCAGCTTTGACCTTTCCATCAGGCTGTCCTGACATCTGATATGCGTTGAGTAGACATATGACATGACATAGCAACATGATCTTACCTCCTTAGGCTCCTCTTCTTTGTCAGCTTTGTCCTTTCCATCAGGCTGTCCTGACATCTGATATGAGTTGACTAGACATATGACATGACATAACAACATGATCTTACCTCCTCGGGCTCCTCTTCTTTGTCAGCTTTATCTTTTCCAGCAGGCTGTCCTGACATCTGACGGGAGAGTTGTCGAGACATCTGACGAGACAATTTTTGTGGTGATTTGTCGTCTGATGATGTAGATTTGATTCTGGATCTGGGTCTTTTGACTGTTTGATCTGGGACAGCATCTACAGCTTCCTCTTCCTCCTCCTCCTCTAGTGCGAACTCAACTATAAAGTTAAATACAAAGAATTATATGGTGGTGAAATTCAATACCATTTTAATGAAAACTGTCCTTTTGCTTCTATTTTGGGATTGCATATTTTCTTCAAATCCATTTCAAATCTTAACTTTTATATTAAAAAGATAGTTGTTAATAATTTTGTAAAATAGAATTAAATTTTGCCTTTTTGATGTCATGATGTAAATATTTTCTTTCAATTTTAAAATTAAAAGAATTTCAAAACCATGAAAATTTAAAAAAATGTTCCAAGGAACTGTGTGTTGGCACCACAAATCTATCTTTCAATATCCTATATATTATACGTGAAGGCTTCTAGAAATGAAGGCACTAAACAAAAAATGATAAATAGAATTTTTTATTTTCTCCATATATCTTAAAGAAGTATATATACATTAAATATATCATATTTTGGAGGTTAGGTTTCAAAAGAAATACTTTCAAAACTTCAAACAATTAGTTATTAATATGGAACAACTGATTATTAATATAGAACAGTTTCAATTACAATTTAACATTTCTAAATTTAAAACACAGTAAAAAAATAGGTGGAAAATACTGAAGGGACATTCAAACTTTGCCATGGCAAGAAAAGAAAAATGACAAAAAGACAAACAACAGTCTACAAAACTATACACATAAAACGCAAAAACTGACCAAAACCAACCCAACAAAAAACAGGGGGGATCTCAGTCACTTAGGCAGTGTAAATAGATCCTGTTCTATATGCAACATGTAACACACTGGAACTTCGGAAAAATCGGAAATTTCATGAAATCTTGGGACAATTTAGGTGTGCATCATGCAAGTGATTATTTGGATCTCTAACTTTTTTGTACGATGTATGAATCGTGCATGCAATCTAGAGTTTCACCAAGGAGGAGATTTTTGTTTCTCTATTTTATCTTTTTATCTCTCTATTTCTCTGTAAAATCCCCAATGTTATAATCATTGAAAAAAACAGTTTTAAAATAAAGATTGAAAGAGTTACCTTTCAAACAATGGGTTTGTATGCCAAATAAGGTATTATTAGGCCACTTATTTTGGCCCTTTTAATTTGAAATTAAAAATGTATCCTATTAAATAACACCTTCAGATGTTCACAAAACGTTAATCTTACAGATCTCAGTATTTTAATTTTTGAATTCCAGCTTACTATAGGGCTTTAAACTTATTGCAGTTCATTATATGTAACAAAACTGCAAAATGAGGACTAAGGGTCCCTTTGGGCCTAGAAAAATGAAGTATTACAAAATCATGTGATATCACAATGCAGCTTGAAGATAATTGTTATGTATGTGCTCCAGGGAAAACTGTACTCACCATCCTCACACTGATTTTGAAATCCTGAAAATATGTTATCATTCTTAGAGAAATATGTTATCATTCTGAAGATCCACTTAATATTTGCCACTTGATATTAACCACCAATTCATCCTCTTTTTTGTACTAATAATGTTTCATTTAGCTTTTCTTATTCATTTGCAGGTGATAATTTGATATTTAATGTCCATTTAGCAATCTTTCCAACAAATTCAGGAAAAGCACAAGAATTGTAATAAGAAATCAAACCCTGCTAAATATACAAGATCAACAAGTAAAACCAGATTATTAACAAACCAGCTCAAAAAGAAACTCCTAAGTCAGGAGCCTGTTGTTCAGTGGTCGTCGTTTGTTGGTGTGGTTCATAAGTGTTTCTCATTCTTGTTTTTTATATAGATTAGACCGTTGGTTTTCCTGTTTGAATTGTTTTACACTAGTCATTTTGGGGCCCTTTATAGCTTGCTGTTCGGTGTGAGCCAAGGCTCCATGTTGAAAGCCGTACTTTGACCTATAATTGTTTACTTTTTACTCATTGTGACTTGGATGGATAGTTGTCTCATTGGCACTCATACCACATCTTCTTATTTACACTGTCATCCCAACATATATGTATCATCATGATTTCTACCTAACTTTCAGTGTTTTTCATATATAAGTGAGTCACTGACCAAATAGCAGCAGTCTTCTTTATTGTAAACTGTAAAAGCTCAAAATAAAAATTCACTAATGGGCATGACATATTCGTTTGAATTGTTTTACATTTGTCATATCGGGGCCTTTTATAGCTGACTATGCGGTATGGGTTTTTCTCATTGTTGAAGGCCGTACGGTGACCTACAGTTGTTAATTTCTGTGTCATTTGGTCTCTTGTGGAGAGTTGTCTCATTGGCAATCATACCGCATCTTCTTATTTTATATGACATGCATTTTAGTTCTTAAAACAAGTCTGTTACTTAATAATCTAGGGAAAACACTACACCTGTGTGCTATATCTTCAAAAAGCCATTTTAGTTAGTGAAAAGGCATCAATTACTACTTCTTAGGTCTTTGGTTTTAACCTCCAACATTTGACTCAGTAAATTACTTATAATAAGATACATCAGGTTGATCCTTACTTGTTTTTCATTTATAAATTTCAGGAAAATTTTTGTGTCTTTTATCTAATTTAGAGATTACACACATATATTTAAGTGTAAAACATACCTGCATCTTCATTAACCAATGTCTGAGCTGTGACTAGGGAATGATACAGTCCTTGTTTATCCATCAAGTCGCCATGAGTTCCTTGTTCTATAATCTCCCCTTTATCCACCACATATATAATGTCTGCTTTCTGTATGGTGGACAGACGATGTGCTATCACTAAGGTTGTTCTTCCCTGTCTTGCCTAAAATACAAACAATCAAAATTATTGTTTATTTATCTTGTATAGCCTGTGCAATCAAGTTAAAGCATCAAATTCTGTTCAGCATGGTATCAAATGGTATTAAATCATCAGGTCAATTAATGCCACTTTGCAATGATGCCTTTGAATTATGTGCTCAGAATTAATAAACTGTTAACACAGAGATATGTCTAGCCTTTTTTTTTTTAATATTAAAATGCAAATGTTGAAAATTTAAAAAATCAATCCCTAATCATTCTTAAGTTGTGCAAAATATTCAAAGTCAATGAACAAATTATGACTTGAAGGTATAGGGCCAAACAATCTGCATGGAAATGATATGTGCCAATGCTTATTCAACTGCATACCAAATATCAATGACTTATCATAAATGGTTCCCTTACACTAATGCTGCCGTTAGAAACAGCATACCTATGTCTTGCTTTTTGACTTCATCAAGGCAAGACAAAAATGAGAGTTCTAATAATTCAATACTTAAATATTCACTGTGTTTGCACTAATAAAAAAATCACAAACATTTCTGTAATTACAGTATAATATATATTACTAAACCTTTTCTAGAGCTTCCTGTACAATATTCTCACTCTCAGAGTCTAATGCAGATGTAGCTTCATCCAGCAATAGGATTCTTGGGTCTCTGATCAAAGCCCTGGCAATGGCTACTCTTTGTTTCTGCCCTCCTGATAACTGAGCTCCTCGCTCTCCAACTAGTGTGTTGTAACTCTAAAAAAGTATAATCAATAAACTGAAGGAACTTGAATTATTCTTGTATGGGTAAGGACAGGCCACAAAGTTCAAATTGTGTGGTCATGTATGTGGTATGGGTTCAAATTGTGTGGTTTTGTATACGGTATGGGTTTTTCTCATTGTTGAAAGCCGTATGGTTTCCTATAATTGCTTACATCCACTTCATTTGAACTTTGGTGGATAGTTGTCTCATTGGCAATCATACCACATCTCCTTATGTTTATAAAGTAAAATGCAATTGTATGGGTGATGGCCATAAAAAAAAGTGCCTTCCAACCCCCCATATTGTTTTTTTCTGGAATAGCCCTTATAAAAAATTGAAGAAAAACCTATAAGAAATCCAATCAACTGCAAATGGAGCAAGACAATGTGCATTGTGAATCCAGACTTAGTCAAAATGAAACAATAGGGAATAGGACACACTTAGTAAATTTATAGATCACATGACTTTTCTGGTTTTCTTAGACCAATGTTTTAACCCTTGAATACAATTCAGGATAAACAAGGTTAATCAATCTCTAAAACTATGAATTTTCCAACACTGTCGCTAGGTTAACTGAGGAAAAATTGAGGTCAGTCATTGTAATGTTCTTATGTATATTTTTCTCATTGGGTTGCTGTCTCATAAAAATATTCTCAATATCTTTTTATCTATAATTACTATCAGTAATTGTTACCTGAGGAAGACTTTTAATGAAGTCATGTGCATTGGCTTGTTTAGCAGCCTGTTCTATTTCTGTAATGGTTGCATTAGGATTCCCAAGTCGGATGTTCTCAGCAATGGTGCAGCCGAACAAGACTGGTTCCTGTGATACCACACCAATGTTCTGTCGTAACCAGTTCAAGTTTAAATCCTTTATGTTGTTACCATCTAGTAAAACCTAGAAAGTTAAAATGTTGAAAATGTTGATATAAGTTAAAAATAAGGAAAAATTATCGGTTATATTTTGAACCTTTATAATTCCCATTTGTCTTGAAAATAACAATTATTAATAAGAAACAATCAACACCATTGTAAATTCAGATATCAAACTTTTATAAATATGTGTAATATTAAAGTACCAAAAAACAAGCATTCTGTGAGTATTGCCTGGCAATACATAGTCCCCTACCGGCTAAAAGATCATTGTACTCGAACAAAATGATACTTGATCTATAACTTGTCATGGTGTAAACTATATAACAAATATCAAGTCAATATCTTCAAGCATGACGGGAAAAAAAATGTGGAAAATTGATTATTTGAGTGAATTTTCTAAGTCCAAGGACAATAACTCTGCACAAATCATCAGACCGGAACAAAATTCGAACTTGATCTGTAAATTGTCATGATAAAACTATATACTTTATAGATTTATCAAATCAATATCGGACGGAGTGCAAACCTAAATAATTGTTCAGCTAAGGTCAAAGTAACCCTACTCCTCAACAATTTTCATCTGAATCATCAACAGAATAAACATCGCAGCACACAAGACATGACACAACATTCTTTTAAATTTAAATCTTATTCATTTTTGGCAAGAAATTGTACAAAATACTTGTTAACTCTGTCATTTCAACATATTACTAAGTCCATTGCAAATAGTCATTTTGCATTTCCAGACAAGATAAGATTATTTCAAACATTTTTTTCCTAATAATATCTATCTACCTGTCCTGCATCTGGGTCATAAAATCTCTGTATGAGATTGACTATGGTAGATTTGCCACATCCACTGGATCCTACCAATGCTACAGTCTGTCCTGGTTTTATAGACAGGTTAAAATTAGTCAGTACCTACAAAATACAAACTACAACTGATCAAACAAAGGGGATGTGGTGTTAACATCAATGAGACAGCAACCCAAAGACACAGGGTAACACATATCTTAATGTTTTGTCAATACATGTATTAAAACTGCAACCAGATAGGTTTAAAAATAGATAAAACCTAGCATTTCAAATTCTTTTCAAATTTGAATGCAGCATTTCCTGAAATCGCAATAATATGTGCACAAAATGATTTCTGAATTTACAGTTATGACAAATTTGGATTTGATGGCAGATTTTTGATAGTCTATTTTAATTATTCAGAACTGTTGACTTGGGTGATTTAGAGCTTGACATATTGATTGTATAAACTCCTGTTGAAGACTTCATTTTGACCTCCATATGGTTATTTTTGTTATTGTGTTGCTATCTAATGGATATTTATCCTGCAATCGACCTTTCTACTGCAGTAATACAAGTTTACAGATATTAAACACAAAGCGATATAGTATATGTATACAAGTCTCTTGGTATCCAGCTTCTGTTGCAAGAAAACAGTTATATTCAAACTGAAGTTTCTGTCACAGTTTATTTTGGGTCATCAGGGTCCACGTCTAAGTCATGCTAATTTCATTCAAAAACAAATTCAACGGCGGTAGGTTCAAAGAACTATACGTCTAAGCACAATGTTTAATTGCAGGATAAAAACAATATTCGTACATTGTAGGAAAATATAAAATTGATTTATATGAGCTTTTGAAAAATAATAAATTTCATATTTTCTTACTGAATATACGAAAATTATTTATACATCTTCAATTCATAAAAATGAATATCTAAATCTATCAATACTTATATATTTTGTTCCAATTTTTTTTAATAAGGCTGATTTCACTTGGACATAAAATGAACTTTCACATTCTCTGTACAGTAAATAGTAAAGTCTAAGTCTAAAACACTAATGCTCTTTGTATACATTGTGTTCAAAGACAGAAATTTATCTCTGTACTACCCAGGCATCATATTTGGCAAAGTTACACCCACTTTATTGGACTGTATACCAATCTGTTTAACCCCAAAGGTGTAAATGCTTTTTGTATTGTAAATTAGCATTGTTCCCTCTCAAAACTAGCCTTTGTATCTATATTACCCAGCCATGTGAACACAAGTAAGACAAGGGGAAGTAATACTAACCTGAACATCCTCTCTAGTAGGATAGGTAAAATTAACACCAAAAAACTCTAATGCTCCTTGTATTGAGAGTGGGCGTTGTCCTTTCTCAGAACTGGCATCTATTTTGGGTTCCTGAAATATTAAATTTGGTGAATACTAACAGTTATAAAAGATGGTTTCTGTACAAATTTTTCATTTCTTTTAACAGAATTGTAAATCAAAGACTTACAAGTATATATAGTGAGAAGTATATGTTTGCTGAAAAAACTACTCAATCTCCATGGTTGATGTATATATTTTACAACTGCAAAATTTCAATGTTTTTAACTTTATAGTCTCTGTTAAATTCATGCAAAACTTTTCTAAAATCAACGAATCTTAGAGATTGGAATGTTTTGTGGAAAAGACTGCATGATGACCTCTAAATGTCTTTTGTTTTTGTGTGGTTGTGTCTATCTATACTGTTAAAATCTACAATTTTACAGCAAAACAGGAGAAATGTTTTTAAGGTTAAAGTTCACTTACTCTGTCAATGATCTCATACACAACAGCTGCAGCCCCTTTGGCTGTAACAAAGGAACCAATGTTTGGTGCTGCGTTACCTATTGAGAAACTGCCAATCATTACACAGAAAAATACCTGAAAGGTAAAAAAATAAAGAATTGATATTTAGCAATTAAGGTGTAGCAACACAGACCATTTTCTAACAAATCGACATAATCTAAAAGATTGTTTTTTTCTAAAATATATGGTAAAAATTAGGGTTTTGACCAAAATCTCTGGGCTTACTGAACATGAAATTGTGATAGCGTAAAGAGGGGAATGGTGTCCTATGGAAATATGTTCTTGTATATTTTTTTTTCTGTTTATAGCATATCTTTTTAAAATTAATTTAACCATTTTATCAGACCTGCCAATGTTCATGCTTTTTGGGGCTATCCCCCATGAGAATTGTTGATTCAATTATCAAGACTAAATACTTTTAAAAATGCATTCAGAGGAGAAAAAAATACATTTCAATACATATATATACTCATTCAAAACCATAGATGTTCTAATTAAGTACACTAACGACATGCATGTATAGGTATGCATTAGGTTCTCTTGTGCTTAAAATCCCCCATGGAGATTTTGAAAAGTTCGCAGGTATGTTTAATGTGTATGCAAAGTACAGTGAGGTTCTAGCTTTTGAAATCTTTCGTCTCAAGCATACCTGATGAAAGTTATTCAATAAACACACATCATATCAAATGGTGCTTTTTTTAATAGTCTAATTCATTCACATTTAGACCAGCAAAATATATTTCCAAAGGTCCATCAGACTTACAATGTAAAATTATAAAAAGGCCCAGTGTTGAAGGCCGTACTTTGACCTATAATTGTTTACTTCTTTACACATTGTGACTTGGATGGATAGTTGTATCATTGGCCCTCATACCACATCTTCTTATTTATACCAACAGTCTAAGGGACTTACTATGCATACTTATGAAACGGCCCAACAGTCTAGGGGACTTACAATGCATACTTATGAAAGGGCCCAACAGTCTAAGGGACTTGCAATGCATACTTATGGAAGGGCCCAACAGTCTAAAGGATTTACAATGCATACTTATGAAAGGGCCCAACAGTCTAAAGGACTTACAATGCATACTAATGAAACGGCCCAACAGTCTAGGGGATTTACTATGCATACTTATGAAAGGGCCCAACAGTCTAAGGGACTTGCACTGCATACTTATGAAAGGGCCCAACAGTCTAAAGGACTTACAATGCATACTTATGAAATGGCCCAACAGTCTAGGGGACTTACAATGCATACTTATGAAAGGGCCCAACAGTCTAAAGGACTTACAATGCATACTTATGAAACAGCCCAACAGTCTAGGGGACTTACAATGCATACTTATGAAAGGGCCCAACAGTCTAAGGGACTTACAATGCAAACTTATGAAAGGGCCCAACAGTCTAAGGGACTTACAATGCATACTAATGAAAGGACTCAACAGTCTAAGGGACTTACAATGCATACTAATGAAACGGCCCAACAGTCTAGGGGACTTACAATGCATACTTATGAAAGGGCCCAACAGTCTAAAGGACTTACAATGCATACTTATGAAACAGCCCAACAGTCTAGGGGACTTACAATGCATACTTATGAAAGGGCCCAACAGTCTAAGGGACTTACAATGCAAACTTATGAAAGGGCCCAACAGTCTAAGGGACTTACAATGCATACTAATGAAAGGGCTCAACAGTCTAAGGGACTTACAATGCATACTTATGAAAGGGCCCAACAGTCTAAGGGACTTACAATGCATACTTATGATAGAGCCCAACAGTCTAAGGGACTTGCAATGCATACTTATTAAAATGCCCAACAGTCTAAGGGACTTACAATGCATACTAATGAAAGAGCCCAACTGAACATTTAAAAAAAAGATCCAGAACCTAGGGCCTACATATGAGTTCCCTGGACTATCATACATACTGTAAGCACTGTACCAGGTGTGATTCCCTCTGCTCCCATAGATGTAATGTATTCTTTGACTTGTTCATTTCCATACCTACGGAATAATTACTAGAATTAATAAATATGTAAAGTTTACATGACACTTGTCTATTGTTGAGGGCTATATGTTTGGACTTCAGATGTGCTGTGGATTCATTTATATCCGTGGGTACCAATTTTTGTAGAATAAGTAAAGATTGTATATTAGATTTCTTGGTTTTCCTAAGTTTGCACACAAGCCTAAAGGGAACTAATACTTTGCTGAAGACATTAATTTGCCTATCTCCATGAAATCCTAGAAAATTGGATTTCCAGGAATAATAACGAATCATTTGTAGGCTCTCGAGTGTTTGGTTGATGTGTTTTGTAAATTTACAAACCTGTTACCACAGAAACTACACCAAAATAACTATGCATAATCTCTAAACATTACAAATAACAGACTTTGCATAATCTCTAAACATTACAAATAACAGACTTCTAAGAAACAATGTCCAATCTCTTTTAAAAACCAAACACATGGTGTCAAGTTTCAAAGTTACAAGTCTGTTACCATGGAAAATTACCAAAAGGCAATGTATAATCTCTAAACATACAAGGTGCAAATTTCAAAATTACAAATAATTACCATGGCAACTTACCAAAATGACAATGCATAATCTCCAAACATCACAAGATATAAACTACCAAGCAACAAACCAGTAACCATGGATTTCTTTATTCCTATTTGTTTTGTTTCTTCCAAAGATTTTCCATATCTGAAATTATTTTTTTATCAAACTGATTAATACATACAATTGTTTTTTTCAATTTTGTTACTTTACAAAAGGTATGAGAATAAATGTGTGTGCCTCTGAAGGAGTTTCACTTACAATTTGTAAAAAAAAGGTACCAAAATAGTTCATAAATATTGAAAGATGTCTACTAAATTTTAAGAGGTAATACTAAGTCAGAAAGACTTAATTATGTCCCTATGTTATAATTTAAAAATTTAATAGGAAACAAGAGTTATCCTTCTCTATTTCTTTTATAGCTTTTCACTGTCAGATTAATTTTAAGATGTAACAAGAATTTAATCAGATTTTGCAAAGGTGTAGTTTAAGATGCATTTGATAAATTTATTCAAAGAAAAGGGAGTTTTATGGTTAACTGATTGTTTGTTATATGCTTTACGTCTAATGGCAAATATTTAATACATGTTCAGGAGAACAAATTAACGATTAATGCAATAGGTAATCTTGTAAGTGGGTGTTCACACGGATGAAGGAAAAGAAGTTTGGAAAACCACTGGAAAATGAGGGTAAATTGGATAGAGTCAGAAATTTAGCCTATCAACAGTTTGCCTACAGTCCCCTCAAAGAGTGTGGCACTCTCTCTACACAAGGCATTGGATTTAACGTCCCCATTCATAACAGATGTGATTGCATATTCAAATATCCTGCACAGCCAAGAGGACACCACACTTTAGGTTTTGCTACCAGTCCTAAGATGACCAAGGGATGACCATATTTCCATACCCCCAGTCAACCCTTGGGGTTTCATGGACATTTTAAAATGCAATTCAATATAAAAAGACATTGGAGCTCATAATAATGACCAGTGTTCATACTAAAATTATATAACCTATAATAACCCAATCAGATTCTTCTAAACCACTATTAAATCTATTTGGTTTAAAGTTCTTAGTACAAATTTTAGTAAAGTTTTAAATTACGGCTTTACATATGGGTTATCTCATGGCTTCCAAAACGGTCATATATTCCGGACATTTATAAATTTACCGAACATTGTCCGCCTGGGAAAAGCATGAAACGGACATCTACATTTTAATTTTCAAGATGTTCTTAAGAGGCGGTAATTTTAACATAATTCAATTGGAAGTTTATGCGATCTTTTTGACCCAACCTTTTGCCTTAAACAGCCACCATTTCTGGTCATAAAAGTGACATGATGATTAAGTACTATCAAAACAACCCCATCTTTAATACCTTTTCATTTCAATCAAGGTTAATTAGTTGTCGGACAGCTGAAATTTGCCTGTTCAGGTGACAGGTAAACTATTTTGTACCTGACATTGATCGGTCTATTCAGAGTTATTTTCTTACATTTCAGCGGTTTGCATCTAATTAATTTAGTCAAAAAGATAAAAATTATCAGAAATACGTTTATAAATATGATTTGATGAAAAATTTAAAAAGGTTTTAAATGAAAATTCGTCAGAACCACGTTGTTTGAACTAGTACACGCTTGCGCATGTGAGCAGTTGGGAAATTTAATTATGCATCCTTATTTCTTCAAAAATGCTTAATTATCATTGATACCTTTATTTAACGTTCATTTCAAGTATTTTCTTGAATAAATAACATGGAAAGAGCTACTAACACTCAATCGCGCTTTGTAAACGTACACGGATTTTACGTATCCGTCTCTGGTCCATGTTTTACCATTGTCAAGTCAACATGCGGTATTAGAAAAATGTGCTTTTAAAAACGAAAGTAAAGTTTTTGACCATGATATTTTGCACAAATAAAGAGTCTAAGGCAGATATTAGTACGCTGGTGTTGCACACTTCCAATGATGCCCTACCAATTTAACAGTTACTGTTAGAGCATGGAATTTATATTAAAGTAAAGTTTAATATCGTTTTTTAATGTCAATCATTGGTTATATGATGGCCAACTGATTACCATAATTGACTTTTAGTCTTAAGCGATTAAAATCGGGATAAGACATAAAATGTCTGGCTGGCTCAAATATTTTTTGGAAGCCCTGGGTTATCTCTCCTGATATACCTTTTAACTTCCTGTTTTTGACCATTAAATGATACAACAGTTCTCATACAAGATATAACTTCTTCTGCTACACTACCAGCATCAGCATATAAGGCTTGTTCTCTTTTGGCAAAGTTTTGCATCAGCTGAAATACAAGAGATCAACTTGAATAATTTTAATCAATTCACTTAATCAGCTACATCAAAAACCAAATTTATATTTTTTTTAAATCTAACCTTTGCATTTTACCTTGATTAAATTCAACTTATAAATACTGTTAATTCAGAAATTATTGCAAGGTTTTTATTATTGCGAATAATGCGACTGGTTGAGTATTGCAATAATAAGAACTCGTATTCTGATATCTGATGCATATATATATATGTATGCATATTTTCCTGAAATCGCAATAATTAATCTCGCATTTACGTCCATTCCTCAAAAATCGCAATAATAAATGCTCGCAATAATTTCTGAATTTACAGTATATGAATTCACATGCAGGTTATAGAAGAGTTCATGTTGCTAAATCTGTTTTCTGTGAAATGTTTGGTAGACTCATCATTTGTATTTTAGTTTTTGTATGGTTATATTTCTTCCGTTTTTAAAAAAGTTAAAGAGAGGCGGAAAATACCCATGGGATAGTCAAACTCATTAGTCAAAAAAGGAACAGGCAGAAAACAAAAACCACCAAAAGACAAAGAACAGTCTTCGAAATACAGAATACTAAAGACAAAACAACAAGAACCCCACCAAAAACTGGGGGTAATCTCAGGTGTTGAAAATATTCAGTTAATTAAAAACTTATCATTCAAAATAAACCCATGCATAAAACATATACTCACTAATGAGAAATAAGAAGTCAGATCAGTTAATCGCAAAATTCAGTTTTTACAGACCTATAATCACTGATGAGAATTAAGCAGTCAGAATAGCCAATCACCCACTTCAGTTTTACACACCTATACTCGCTGATGAGAAATTAGCAGTCAGAATAACCACTCACTTAAGTTTTAACAGACCTATACACTCACTTCAGTTTCTACAGACATATACTCACTGATGAGAAATAAGCAGCAAGAATTGCCAGTACAGGTGTCAAGGACATCATAACTAAAGTCATCTTCCAACTTTTCCAAAATCCAATGGCAAATCCAGCAAAAAACTGAGCTGTAAACTGTATCAGAAGACTTAGCTTGTCTCCAATTCCTTCTCTCACTCTTTCTAAATCACTGAAAAAAGAAACCAATGAAATTTAAATAAGTAGTCTAATTGTCTCCCTTGTCATCTTTAGAACTTAGTTCTGCCCTCATCTTCTTTTATTTACAGTGGATATACTATTCATGGGTCTGGAAATATTTGTTGTGACCACTTGTCTGGAAGAAAAGTTACTTGCCATGATGTATTTCATTGTATACGTATATGTTTCTAAAACAGATTTGAAATACAATGAAATATAGATTCCACTACTGCAACAAGTGTGTTACGATATTTCTCCACTCGAGTTGAGACCGTTAAATTTTAATATTTAAAGCGTGAGGCTTGCCAAGCTTTTTAAATAATTAAAATTTAACTGTTGGGAGTGGAGAAATATCGTAATACACAAGTTATAGTGGTGGTATCTGATTCTCTAATGATTTTTATTCTTCCTCTTCAAAGATTTGCAGAAAGTTGTGTTCTTTATATGTGACGTCATCAGGCATGGTCGCCTTTTTTCATGATGTCACAATAGGAAATTCAGAAGAAAAGAAAATTTGACGTCATAATTAAGTTTCGACCAATCATTTGCCGAGAACAGATATTTCACTAGTGAGGAGAACACTTAGTTTTTCACAATCGATTGGGAAATGTGAAAATAGTGCAAAATTAGAGAAAATGTTATTCATGGTGTGCATTGGAGGACCTTATACTTCTCTTATATTGTCATAAGTGTTTTTAATCTATTACTTTATTGTTAAAATGAGTATGTATGAGTGAACTTAAATACCCTTTTGACCAATTTGAATGCCTGTTTTGAGGTGTTCAGTTTATACAATAAAGAATTTCAAAATCCAGGTCAACACCTCTCATGGGGGATATCCCCATAAATTGTTATAATTGGCAGATCTGGGTCACCATATTTGTACTGCTAGTATCTTACTCAGATAATCTAGTTGTCAGTTCACCACTCTGATGTTTATCAAACCAGCCAATCTCTTGTCGTAATATGGCTCGGAAAAAATGTTTTCTTATCTTGTTTACTTGTCTCTCACAGGCTGTCATAAAACATGCGATCTGAAATAAAAATAAATGGTGTGAATATTTTAAATGCTGTTAAATTCCTTCCATAAACCAAGGGGGTTTAACAGTTGTACTATTCTGTTTACTTACTTTTTAATTCAATTTTCAAATGCATTACTCAAAAGAAAAAAAAGTTGCTAATACATGATTTTTTATTTAAGATTTACAAATAAACAGAATTTCAAAGACATCCAATTTTCATGGTTATAATTAATTTTCATGGTTATAATTAATAAGTTTGTACCTTCCAAATCTACACTGGCATACAATGAAAATCCCAGCAATTTATTATTTAATATACATGTGTATGGAAAACAGTTTGACCAGAAAAACATTTAATAAAGCCTTGTACAATATCTATTATTATTCTGAAGTTATGAACTATAAATCTGAAGGAGTTCCAACCAAAAACGAAGAAATTATCTAGGCTACAATTAACAAAGTAAAGACGGACAGACTATCAACAATTGGACAGGTAAAAAATAAATCATGCTCTATTGATTGTTGGTATCTAACGCAATTGTCAGCTCTCTTGACTAAATCATGGCATCCAATTTTTTTATTCCTTGAGGATTTATTGATTGATTGATTGATTTTTGGTGTTTAATGCCACTTTCAGCACTATAGGCTATACCTTGGTAGTTAGTTTTTATTGTTGGAGGAAGTCAGATTGTCTGGTGAGAACCACAACCATAGGCAGGGAAAATGACATTTAAGATTGTAGTCGAACACACCCATGTGCATGGTTCTACTCACAATCTCGGTGTTGACTGGCTAGTGATTACTTAGACCATTTGTCCAAAGGTGTAAGGAGGCCCCATACAGGTGGAGGAAACCAGAGTACCTGCAGAGAACCATCAACCTTGAGCAATAATTCAGTCAATCTTAGATAGGAGTCTGCTGTACCTTTCAACAAAAGGGTTAAAACTACTAAACCCAAGTATTGACTAGCAAGTGAACCCTGTAGATGAGCTACCTAGACCACACAGCCACTGAGGCCCTTAAAACAAATCATGCTTTCCCCAACTTTATTGCCTGGGACATAACACTACTCTACAACCAGTACCTGCAAATAACCAGAGAAGAGTACTGCTCCACCAATGATTAAGTAATATATAGCATATGTCGTCATCTTATCTTCAAAAGATTCTGTGGTAGCATTGGGATTGAATGTAGCATTTGGATGTGGAGGTATCAAGGATCCATTTGGTCCTGTAAAAATAAGCAAAAATAAATAACACACAAATAAGGTATAGGTGCAAAAGCAGGAGATAATTACTTCCAGACATGCCAGAGAAAACGCTCTAAGGATTTAACATAGATTTGGTATTATTGCCAATGATACAACTATCCAAATGAGTTCAAATGAAGCAGATTTAAGCAATTATAGGTCACCATATTGGCCTACTACATAAACAAAACCAATATTGCCTAGTCATTCAGCTATAAAAGGCCCAATATGACAAAATGTAAAACAATTCATACAAAAATGGCCTGATTTATGACAAAACAATAAACATCAAACAAAAATTCATATGTCATATTCACGATTGTGAACATTGGGATGTATCAGGCAATTGATTTTATTTTATTGGTAACTCTAAATTGGCTTTTGACATGAGTTCAGTTAAATTTTCACTTTACAACGGAAATAAAATGACTTCGGGTTGGCGCTCAAAAGTAGGGGTCAGTCAGGTAACCATAAACATATTTTTTATTTGGCCTAACGCACCTTTATAGCATGGGGCATAATCAATGAAAACTATGTAAACACTACTTGACAGAGAAATCACTTTTTTCAAGCAGTTGATAGCTGATCACTTGAATTATATGTATATAAAGTGTATATGATATAGCTTTTTCAATATCTATATGTATATATCCTTAAAGTACCTGCTACAAAAGTGTCTGTCATCTGTCCCATAACAATGGACAATACCGGCCATCCTGCTCCATGGGCCAATGAAAACAGGGAACCAAACAGGATACAGATTGTGTCCACACTTGTGGCATAGCGGAACTGTGAAATAACAAAAACATATATAAATACATGTCCATAATATATAAATACATCAATATTTACAGTGGACTCATCTGAGAGGGTCTAGATAGGGGGTCCTTCATTTCTGTATTCATTATTTTTTTAGCCATTTTTCTATATTCTTTATACATTTTGCCCATTATTCTCTATTCTTTATATTTTAATACCCAATTATTCTCTATTCTTTATTTTTTTGGCCTATTTTTCTCTATTCTTTATTTTTTTAGCCATTTATTCTACAATTTTTGCCCATTATTTACTATTCTGTAAACCCCATTCATACCTCATCTGAAATGCATCATAAAAACTGTCAAAAGAAAATTATACAATTAGCAGAAATAATTGTAATATTGAAGAACAAAGATATATTCTTCACTATTTTTTCATTAGGAATTATAAGTATACTGTTGAATAATAGCAATTGAGACACTTATGCATAACCCCTGATGTTGACTATACCTGAATGCATAGAAATTTGCAGTGAGGTGTATCTTTCAAATAAAGAAAATCAATAAAAGTACTGTCCTTTAAGATTTGCTTTAGGTTTTGTTAATAATAAGAAAAATACACTTTTCATAATATTAAGATAGTTTATAATTAATAGAAATTATTGTAATATGAGAATGTTAAAGAAACTTTTTCCAAAGAGCAGATAATAAACTGTTGACACAAAGATATGTCTGGCCTGTGTAACATGCAAACTATTCAAAAGTTTCAAAGTCAATGGACTAAGGCTTAGGGGACAGGGCTAAAAAAACTTCATGGAAATGAGTTGTTCGAATGATATTACAACTGCCGACTAAATGTCCTTGACTAACTATTAGTGGCTCCTCTTAATCTGACCTTATCACAAACTTTATCAACTCGTGATGCTGCAAACAGCAAGCTTAAAGTCTCTCCTCCTTGATTTTACGTAGGTAAAACAAGAATTGTTTTGCGTTCCGAATTATCATGTGAATAACAAGATTATGTAATTAACACAGATTTCTGCCATTGATGGCCGCTTAATTTATTCAACAACCTGCATGTGCCGGTTGTTCAAAAGTGTTGTTAGTCCTGGATTGATTGATTGATTATTAGTGTTTAACACCACTTTCAGCACTTTCGGCTACATAGACCGTTTATTATCATTAGAAGAAGCAGGAGTGCTGGTGGAGGACCACCAACCTTCAGCAGAAAACTGACAATCCTTGTCAATTCAAAGATTGGAGTGGAATTAAGGCACCTGCCAAGTGCAGGGTTTGAAATCACAACATCAGTGTTGACAGGCTTGTGGTACAGTTGATAAACTGCTTACACTACTCGGCCACCAAGGCCCCTCACTTGGCCTAGACATTCAATCACTGTCAACATCAGCCTATATATTAAGTGGTAGGGATGAATCTCCGTCATAGATAACTTTTTTATACTGCAGCTAGTGCACATCCTGTTATCTATATCTACCAAATATATAGTTACAAAGAGATATTTGTGAAATGTCAATTTCATGTCACATTACTTTTGTTCACAATCTGGGATTGGTTTAGGGAATAAAATATAAGTTTTATTTTTATGTTAACATTTTGATAAACATAAATGTAGCAATTTTTAGCTGAAGTATATTTAAAACAGGTAAATGCCAGAAAAATACCAACTTTTTTGTATTTGGCACGAAACTGCTGAAGGGCTCTGTAAGCCTTGCCTTACCCCAGTAAAAATTTAACTGTCGAGAGTGGAGAAATATCGTATTGCACAAGATTTGGAGGTAGAATCAGTTTGTCTAATGATTTGTAGACGATATGCAGACAAAATTATTTTTTTCTTTTCCAATGATCTTCAAAAAGATGTGTTCTTTCTATGTAACGTCGTCAGGCATGGTCCCCTTTTTTCGTGATGTCACAATGGGAAATTCAGAGGAAAGCAATAAAATTTGAAGTCATAATTGAATTTTTGACCAATGAAGAAATGAGATCAAATGAATCACACGTTGATTAAATAAAAATAATCAACAGGTCAGGAAAAGGATAAATTGGGTAAAAATTAGAGAAATATATATATATTATATTATATTAATAATATGTGATAAAGGGTGTTTAACTGAGATGTAATATGTATAACCTTATATTATTTACTCAACTTATGATGCTTATTGATATCTACTAATAAATTTCAAACAAGATTTATTATAAATTAATTATTAGTCATTTGATTATCTATCTATCTATGTAGCTTATCTATTTGTATTATAAAGTTAGGTCATAACTCACTCAGTTTTCAATCATTTTGTCAAAATATTTCATAAGATATTTTCTACCAATATCTACAATACCCTGTATTCATTATTACATCGGATGTGACCTTGAGAGGTCATACCAGTGTTATGTTGCTGCAGAAATTTCCTTGCCGTTTGACTGATAACCGAACATATTTCGTGTAATTACGCAGATATTATCAATGCAAAATAACATTCCTTATCGCTTGTTATATATTAATTTCATCAATAAATATTCATGAAAATATTTTTTAAGAACATAGATAAATGTATGAAAATGTTTTGTCGTGAGAAATATATATATCAATAACAAATCATGGATACGGAAAATTTGTGTTAACACATGCAGAAGAATATCTCGAGACATTTGCAACAAAAGCAGGAAAATATGAATGCCTACTCAAATCCTATCTATTAGAAAAACAAATTATTATAGAAGACTGTCCACCATGCACTTGCACTGCACTATCATTAGAATAGTAGAAAAGAATGATATATATACAAATGAATGAAAATTTGCCTGTAGAGTTATTAAGATAATCGGCTATATATCTAACTGGTAAACAAATATTAATTTAATATATAACAACAAACCAGAGTAGACTTATAACAAATGATTATATCACTACAATATAATAGTTATTACAGTGAGGTTGAATTCCCTGTCATTTATTCATCATCCACACAGGAACTTGTCTCAGAAAGAAATATATCTATGTACCTTAATCTAACTTTCGTCATAGAGATGTGATTTTTTTTCTGAGACAAGTGCTTGTGACCATCCACCAGAACTTGCGGTCATCCTATGTTCAGTTCTTCAGTACTTTGATTATTCATGGAATACTAATTTTCGTGGATTTCATGAGTACAGGTGAACCACAAATTTTAAACTATATAAAGGCTTGTTGTAGAAAGACTTGGGCAATATTACGAAATAAAATATTCATGAAAATGAAATTTCCCTCAATCCACGAAAAACAAATAAATTCATAATAATTAACCCAAAAGATGATAAACAACTTTACAATACATCATACTTAGGCCAGCCTTAACAAATTCTTTGTTTGCATGTTGCCTATAAATACTTTGAATGGTTAGGTAGGTAGATATGGATTTTTTTATTTTTCTGTAAACAACATAAGTTACATGTTTTATACAAGAAAAAGACGTTAGATTACAGATAAAATTCTTTTAAAAATAAATTTGAAATGATTTGTGTAATAAAATTTTTCGGGTAGGCTTAACTTTTTAGGTGGTTTACAGTATGCAAAATCATACATTTCAAATATTATTTTTGGTCTTATCACATGCCTTGATGAACCATAAATTTTTTTATCAGTAAACCATTTAAGTTAAGAATACTAATTCAAGACAAAGTACAGATTAAATCAGCTTATTGTTTTTGTTTTGTTTTATTTGTTTGAATCAATATCTTCCTCCTAACTTACTTTATAGGTTATAAAAAATTGACCTTTTTTAATCAAATACCAGACTGAAAAGTACTAAGATTTATTAGGTGACCATGAGATTCCCTTATTTTTGTCTAGGTTGTTGAATATTCACATGTTAGTAGAAGAAGAAATGAGTAATTTATGAATGTAAACAACTAAACCCTACCCTGCATATTTTTAAAGTACAGGTGCTAACTTCAATACCATATCATTCAAGGTTTATCAGTGACACAATTTTATATCATATATAGGTGGCTTTAATCTCACCTTGTAAAATGAATCAATTGATACAATGTATTACTCTAGATTTTGACCTTCCTTACAACATTTCCTATTTTTAGCCATGATTTCATCATATATCAAAGGCTAGGCACATAAATTTATGTATCAATGACTAAAGGATGACCTTGTTTTATCATTTTTGCACTTGTCTAAAATTGGTCCTGGTTAAGTAAAATAGTTATTTTAAGATGTGACTCCGGGTCTCTAACAAGGACTACATGATGTCATCCTTTCAAAGTAAATAACAATGATGATTCAAGCCTAAGAACTATTACAGTTCCTTTAGTTCACTTAATTTCATTTTGTGTTAGGGATTTTTGCTATTTTGACAGACTAAACGTTTTTCACTTATTCAAACTTCTAGTTTTTTTTTTCAATAAATCGTTCTTTCATAAAGCTTATGTAATTTATAGACTTCAAAAATCAGTTTTGAAATGACATTTCCAAGTAATTAACAATAATGACCTTCAAAGAGAAAAACATTTCTAATACAAAATTACTAGGTTTTTTTCAAATTCAAAAGATTTTACAGAAAAGGGGGGTGTATTTTTTATTAAATGTCAAATATATCAATGGGTTGCAATTTCACCGAGGTATGAGCTGTTTTATCCTTTTAAAACAAATTAAGATGTCAAAAATTCTATTTGTATCTAGACAATAAATGAATGGGTTATGATTTTGCCATAAAATATATCTATGGGTTGTGATTTTCACAAGACTTATATGATGGGGAATAATTTTGAAATCCCAGCCGCACATCTGTATGCAAAATTCCATGTTGAGTGTTGAGACCCCTCCCCTTATGATTTTACACAATGCTCTAACATTGCTGATGCAACAGAGGTTGTACCCTCAAACATAAAAACTGGTTCTAATTTCTATAATCTACGTATACTATATGGGAGTGAATCAGTAGTTTAAAGTATTGTTATTAAAAAAAAGTCAGTACACCAAAATAAGGTTTAATTTTAGGACAGAAACACACTTCTGAATAAATATAAATGTATGTAAATTAATCTATTACGTATGTTATCTCAAATTCATTGATTTTGGTGATTCATGTATATATATGTGCATTGATCTGTAGTTTAAGGTTCTACAACTTGTTTAAAAATACTATTGAAAAACGTTGTCCAGATTTGAAAGAAGAAGACTTTAAATTGCACTGTTCTTCTGGCTTCTGATCTCACAGGTTAGAATGAATGTTTTGATAAATCTTATGATTTACTGACAGATGTTCTAGAGGCAGGTGAAATTGAGCATATATGTCAAATAATAATAGGCAATTAATAGGAACTCAAACTTTTGTGAGAGAAGGGGTGAAAACTATAAATATGCTCCAAACTGAAACAAAATTGTGCACTTTCAATAACATTTTTTAAGAAAGAGATGCTCCAAGGGACCTTTTCAGTCTTACATGTCTAGGAAAATAAAGAATAAAAAAATCAGATTTTTAGGCCAAAAATAAAATTTAAATTGTTTGATATTGCCTACCTACCTACCTAAATAGCAGCCTACCTGAAAAATCTTATGGCACAATTTTGTTCATCTTTTTTTTTCAAGATATTTTCCTGATCTAACGTAGTTTTCTTCTCTAAAATGTGTAACTTATGTTGGTGGCAAACAAAATATAATCCCTACCTACCTACCTAACACTACAAGGAATTGTAAGCAACTTCAAACAAAGAATTTGTTAACTGTAGCCTTAATGCTGTTTAAACATGGATGTGATTTCTTCAAAAAGGAGACAAACTGTTGATTCATTTATTATTCCTGGGAACCTGGGAATTTTGGTGGATTAAGAAAAAGTTGTGTATTCATGGATATTTGATTTTGTGGTTTCGCCAAAGTCTGCATACAATCCTATAGATAATGGTTACTATGTTGAACATTTAACTACAACGTTAACCTCTACAAATGAAATGCATGAAAAATAGTATCCTCAGAATAACATTGAATCTAAAGTAAGTTAAAACATAAATTGTAGTCCAGGGTAAAATAAGAGGAACGGTAGAGTAACAAGAAACACAAAAACAATCTTTATGCCAAAGACTGAATATCAGATTCAGGTCCAGGATTTTGAAAAAAAAGGGAGATCTGTGGCCCCAAACTAGGCAACGTTTGGAGTTGAACATGCAAAAATTCTATGCATTAATCATAAATGAAGCTCCATAAGGGGGGCACAGGCACCCTGTCCCTCCCCCCCCCCCCCTAAATCTGCCTCTGAATATGACTTACCAATTGTCCAAGAGTGGCTGGGGGTGGTCCTTCTGGTTTTCTAAAAAATAAAAAAATATATGACAGATCAACAAAATTTAAAATCTTTGATAGCAAAATTATTCTACCTGTCTTTAAACAAATGTGACTATGTTAAAAGAAGACGATTTTCATCGTGACATATTGCAACTTGTTGTTAAAATGATTGATCAAACCTCCCCTTTACAATGATTTTTTTTTCTAAATAAATTCACAATCATCCCCACATTCATGAACCTTGCATCTGAATCCTTATCCTGAGCCGCACTGACAGCTGAAAAAATAAATACTTGTATTTTACAAATTGTTTTCATGACACCCTTTATGGAATTCATGCAAGTACAAAAGTTTAAAACCTTAATGACAAATGCTTCCCCTAACTGTATGCCTCGGTTGGCCTATTCTATTTTCAGGCACATGCTGGCTTCCAAAGACCTATCCATTCCCCCCCCTCCTTATCCCCCATATGTTCATGGGAAAGAAAACAGGTAAAACAAATAGTTAAAATGTACAGTCTTACCTCATGACAACCTTTAACCTTTTAGAATTCCAATATTTCTGACAGTAAAGACAACACTACTGTTTCAGACAACATTTCCTTACTGTTTGCTTGATTAATGTTAATATCTAGAACGTTCAGACTTCTGTACAATATTCCAATAATACAGCATCTCAATGTATGACTGTGTATCACTTGTCTGAAACTTGTTTCCATAGAAACAAAAATATGGCTAACTTTGACTAATCATTTTGGATTATATTGAATTTAATTAAATTTTAGGCTAAAAAAAATAAGGAAAGGGGGGTGTAACTGTCTGAAATGGTAAAAATGTTAGGAGTTTTTATTGTTATGTTTTATTTTCAATCAAGAAGGGGTATTTGCATTCTGTACACTTCAATCTTTCTGTGGTAAGGATGAACAGATGAAACTTCCAATACCCCAACCTATTAATATATACATGATATACATGTACCCTATCATATATTGTTTTACAAAAAAAATACACCAATAGCTTTCATGATTATGCTATTTCATAGATTTAACCTTTGAAAAACATGAAAATAAGTTTCTATACTTATCATATATATTACATCTTAATTTCTTAACCTTATCATATATATATTCAAGCTTGAAATCGTGACCCATTCCAGCAGCTTATCCCTACCACTCATATAAATACTGTTAGATATCTGAGAGACAAAATGAACAAAGTCATTTGCTTTTATAATACTTTCAATTTGTGAATTCCAAGGGCCAAGAAAGAAGTCTTCTTGCATCTTTTCCTTTCAGTTTCAATTTAGGACTACTACGTTTCTTTTTACTAATTCCAATCATTACAGAGTCTAAAAAATATATAACTTTACCCATCATTCTTAACATCTTCGTGTTTTGCTTCTGTCCCTTTGTCCGTGCTTTCAAATGATTTTTCATCTTTTTTCAAACCATTTTGAAATGATTCACTCCCTCTTCTTTTAGCACCATTAGATTCAGATTTGTTTTTTTCAACATTTTTCTGATCAACTCCATTTTCAAAATTCGTTTTCTTCACATTTTTCAACGTCACATTATTTTCCATCATGTATGACTTTCAGAATCGTAACTTTTTTGTTTCACAAGTCACATGTGCTATGAATACTGACCACAACTTCATATGACAAAACTGGGCTATGTCCTTTTTGTTTATATTATGATAATGGCGGTCAACCTTACGAAATACCACTTTAAATTTTCCGAGATAAGACACTCAACAGCTAAGGTATTCATAAATGTATCAACTTTTATTTATCACCTTTTTCAATACTCTTTATCAACAATTGGCTCAGGGAAGGAAATGAATATGAAACATTGTATGTAAAAAATCTCTATTGAAAATATAATATTAGTAATCAAAGTCCACTAAAAGATATTCTACTCCTTGAGAATTGCAATAATATATACATAACAGTGGATTTAAGATTTGCCACAATATAATACACACGTAGTGTAAAAATGTTATGTAGTGGCATGCCACCTGTCACAATAATAATGATCAGATGGTAGAGACTTAGAAAAAAGTAAATTTGGTAAAAATAATCTCTGAGGGCCAGAACTCCTATATATAAAGAAGTCATTTGAAGTTTTCAGTCAGATGATGAGATGTATAAACATTTTTGTAGATCTCTGATATTGATGTCATATTATTTTTCAGTAAACAATTTCCGTCTATCTACAACAGTTTTCAAAAAATGGAAGCAATGCTTTAAATTGGTCAAAAATTTTAATTTAAGGGCAATTACTCCTATAAATAACTGTTGTCAACTATAATCATTTTCAAAAGATCCTGTAATGAATGCCTCATAAATACACAAAGGATGGTTGGAAAACCTTGAACACAAACTATAGGTGGGAGGCACAAGTTCTTTGAAAAAGTTTAAAGACAAAAAAATTCCTGAACTGGATATCAAGATGAAATCCAGATGGCACTTGGACTCTGTCAATCCCTCTTAATATAGTGACTTATTTGTAGTTTCAGGTACAAATGTAAATGAGGTTACTATTGAACAATTAGGCGCCGCTTAGACTGGGCTTTGACTAATGCAGGGGTGTGGGGGCAGAGAACCCCATAAGCTACCAATGCTTAGCAAATTAAAGAACCTTGTGAGCACCCACACCCCATACTGTCACTGGTCAAACAAATATCACCAGATTCCTAAGTTCAAGGACTCATAACTCCAACAAAGTCAACTGATACAAATTTCTTGATGATATTATATGTCCTCATTAACTACAAAGTTTCATGAAATTCTGTTGTGTGGTTTCAGAGGAGTTGAGCTGACAAACTGCCACCAAATGGAAATCTTTCAACTACAATGTATAATATTTTGACTACATGTACATGTATTCAAATTTTGCTAAATTTCCTCTACTTTTGGTTTTTGACCCTATGAATCATTCCATGTTCTAAAACAAAATCAAGAGAAATAAGCCCTACTACCAGTACTATATTAAAAAATAAGGAGATGAGGTATGATTGCCATAAGACAACTATCCACCAAAGTTCAAATAAAGTGAATGTGAGCAATTATAGGCAAATATGCGGCCTTCAACAATGAGAAAAACCCATACCGTATAGTCGCCTATAAAAATATGAAACAATTCATTTGAGAAAACTAATGGCCTAATTTATAACAAAACAATTAATGAAAAACAAATATGAGAAACATGAACCAACGGCAACCACTGCATGAACTACAGGCTCCTGACTTGGGACAGGCACATATAGAATGTGGCAGGGTTAAACATGTTTGTGAGAACTCAAACCTCCCCCGAACCTGGGACAGTGGTGTAACAGCACAACATAAGAACAAACTATAAAAATCAGTTGAAAAGGCTTAACTCATTAGATCAATACAAAGAAGAAACATATCAAACATAAACACAGACTGGATGTGGCAGGGTATATTGTATCCATCCCTCATCCCTAACAACAAAAAGGACACTAAGTATACAGATCTGAGATAACTCGCAGTTACTGACAGCTAGTTCAAAGGCCAATACCTGTAACAACTAATAAAAAAATCATGTATCTAAGACTAAAATATCAATCAGTACACATCCAACATCCAATGGATTTAGTGTAAAGACGTCATTAACAGTCAGAGAAAAACGTGACCTTGTGCAATGCCAAAATAAAGGTATTGACAGACTGCAGTACCGTTCAAGTGCATATGTGTATAACAAAACTATTTAGTATGATTTTAATTTACTGATAACAAAATCAATATTTATACCAATAAAAACAATATTCAAAGATCTAATTACAGTGTTTAATTGGTAACCTTTTAGAATTAGTTTATTTAAAAGATTGATAAGTTTACCCGGATCGTATACAAGTTTCCTGTAGTTCAAAGCCAATACCTGTTACAACTAATCTTTGTATCTATGGAAGAATTTAGTAAGGGTTTTAAGAAATTTGTGGTAACGAAATCCATGACTTAATACATGTAATTTACCAGTAATACATAGATCATGCTAATTGAAATCCACAACGTCACTACAGACACAGACATAAGGAACGAGTTAAGTTATGTAAACACTGTAAGATAGTGCCCGAGGAACATCACTGTCCAAAGAAAGGAAAATTATCAATAGGGAAAGAAAAATCATCCCTTTTGTCGTAAATTTTTGTGTAGAGTTTCTGGTGTAAAGTACTAAAACTGAAATATCTAAATCTAGGAATTAGGAAAGGACACTTATTGCTGTTAATATTTGATTCATTTAAAGTAAGTTGCTGTTGGTAAATTTCGGCAGTATATTTAGAGAATTCTTGATTATCTAATGAAAAAATATCATCAAGATAACAGTAAGTGTTGTTGAATTTATCAACTAAAAGGTTTAGATGGGTCTTTACTGAGTTTGGCCATAAACTGTGATTCATAACAGTACAGGAACAAGTCTGCTATTAAAGGGGCACAATTGGTGCCAATAGGAATACCTACACTCTGTCGATAAACTTTATTGCCAAACATACATAAATGTTGTCAAGGAGAAAATTTATGGCTGTATTCATCTCATCACACCTCCAGTAAGTATATCTAGCATAAATACCTTTCTCGTTTGAGAAAAAAGGCTTTATATGAGTTGCAGCAAATAAATTTGTAATTAGATTTATTGAACGACCATTTAATTAAATAGGAAAGCTTTTGTTTGATAAGATTGTGTGGAAGTGTAGTGTAAAGAGTGGAAAAGTCAAAACTGTTAACCGAATCAAAAGGACCATCAAAAGCACGTTATTTATCTTAAACATCCAAAGAATTTTTTACACTATTTTAATATGTATTATTATAGTATACATTGTAATACACTGGTTTGCTGTGGTTTTTTTATCCTTGTGGATACAACTATATACATGTATATGCATTAAAGGCCAGTCAGTTCTACGATTAATCTTCTTTCATAGTTGTTCAGTTCTACAACTTTGCATTTAAAATTGCTAAATAAAAAATCTTGAAATTTTCTAAGCATTCAGAACCAGAACCAAAAATGACATCATAATTAACTCAGGTCTATTAATTTACTTAAATGGTCAGGAGATCAGAGAAGGCTAATGCCAATGACCAATAATCATCATTGCTCAAAATATTTGCTTTTTACTTTCCCCAACACATTTTGGCTAGGGATTAATCAAATATTTCAGACTGATATTGTTTTACGATGAGAAACAACTACCAAGCTTGAAAAAGATATAATTATATCCAATGCTGTAGTGGAAAAACAAATCCTAGAATCACAATATTTCTGAAGCTCATTCCAATGAGTATGACTGGCTTTAGTTTGCTGATTCAGGTTGAAACTTAAACAAAAAAAATTATAAAGCTTGAAGACTTTTTTTCATTATTTTTTTATCAAGACAGTGCATCAGTGGCCTCAATGTTAACTACGACCTTTGTGCATGTTGGTTTTAATATATATATACAAAATAGATTTGCACATGTATACATTTTTAACATTGAAGAGATTGCCCTTGACTCAGTGAGTGTATAGACTAGAACACAGTGAAACCTGCAACTTCACAACTGGACATCACAAAGGTTTCCGTAAATGTTGTCGTTGGAAAGGAAACTTTAAAGATTGTCAAGGAAACAGATTAATATAAGCTACATGTATGTACAGCTTGTTTCTGAACCCTATTATAACTATGTATTTTGTATGATGATATATTTGTAATGATGAAGAATAAATATGTTTAAACTAAAATGTTGACGTTACAATCATATTGTCTGACGCCACGAATCGAAAAGTGATTGTTATATGACGTCAATAGTTCAAATGTTGCATATTCTCTGTTCAAGTGTCCCAGATTTCCAAATAGCGATAAGGTCTATTAAAAAGACCAGCATTGCCAGGAAGACAAATCAATGAATCCTTTGCAGAGCAGTCCAAGATACTTTAAACACACGGGTGACAAAAGTAGACAAACGCTTCATGAAATAGCTACATGATTTAGTTCACCAGAATGCATGACCACAAAAACTATTACTTACAATATGTATATCATATTCCTTACAAAAAAACAATTGTACCTAAGTCCTAACTCCACTGTTCCTAACTCTAAACATAGATGTATAAACCCATCTATGCTCGAAGTCTTGATAACAACATATTTTTCTCACCGTATCCTTCGGCCTTTCTGATTTAATATAAACGTCTTTTATAAAGTATTCCTATTCTTTGTCTTTTCTGTCATCACTTCAATCAGGTACTTGCTATACTATATTTAGTATAGACTGTCCCTGCTTCAATCAAAAATAGTGTGACATGTGAAAAAATTGCAACCGGAAACCTTTAAACTAAATCGCGGAACGAGTTTGCCCTTACTATTCCGTACGCACATTCAGTTCAACTCGAATTTGATATGATATGATATTCAAAATTAAGACGATAACTGATATTGTCCATCATATTTATATAAAAAAAAAATAGCCGCGTTATTGTTGGGTAGTTAAATTGTGCCGAATAAATTTGGACGTGGAATATGCCTCAATCTCTTATGAGGGTGGTAAAGGGTTATTTTCGTGCAACGTGATTTGCCACTTTTATTTCACGTGCAGCCGGGAAAAAGGTTCGTTATTCACCGTGTTTCGTGAAATCGGTAAAAAGATCAACGTGCAAGAAATTTTTAATTGTTCGTTCATCGTGAAATGGCAATTTTATTTCGCGTTCTTCCGTGCATATACCCCCCCCCCTCCTTTACACCCTCTCTTATTGCAATCCTGAAACAAAAATGATTCAGTAAATTCCTAGACAAGACACCTGGGAAACTAGAGGAAGTCCGGGGTAAAATAATCAAAAGTCGGCAAAAACTTGATGGTATAAGCAGGAAGACCAAAAAGATATACAATTCTTTCAACCAAGGGATACCCCCGCACTGATGTATTATGTATAAAATAAGCAATCCTACTTTCGGAAGGCACACTATATATTGTCTCCTGTTAAGAGTGAAGAGTCGACGTTCTACGCTCATAGCACGAATAATAATAATATCATCCTAACATCATCTTTCTTAAAGAGTAATCCCACTTGGGACTGTTGCTAGGGCTGAATTTTCCGCTCAGTACCATACTCTATATGTTTTTCTAGAAATTCGTTCCCCTCAGGTTGTGTCCCATCTACCATAGGCAGGCTGATTCATTTTATTTTCGTGTTCATTCTATTTCCCCCACTTCATGCTCATCTGCTCGATCAGTACAGCCTTGTGTTGTGTACTGCTAAGGAATAAACAATTAATCAACCAATTCAAAAATAAGCAAGTCATGGTCTACTGTAAAGGTCATGCTGAAAATCGTAAAATGTCTAGCTAAGCTATAGTCAAAGTATGAATGATTGATTGATTGTTGCTCATACATTCAGGTATGAATAAACTTAGCAGAGAGAGATTACTATAAAAGATCATCTTCTCTCACTTCCATTCTTGTAAATTAAAATAAGGAAAAAACTAAGAGGTTCCCGACTAAAAATGTGCAACAGGCCGTCTTAGACAACTTAGAAAATTAAATGCACCCTAATTTTTGGTCTACTTAAGATTTGCTGGTCCGTTTATTGATATTTTCCAACAGTATTTTCATTCTGTGCGACAGTTGGTGAACAAACAGCTGAACTGGTAGTTATTGCATTTGCATGTGGCTAGGGACAAGCCGCTTTTCCCTTTTTCTTATTCTAAATTTTGATACAAAAAGTAGGTTACTGCATGCTCTCTACAAGCACAAACTGAATGCGAAAGTGGAGTATGGCCTTGCTGGTAGAGCGACGGTAAAATAGTGATTTTGGAGACAAATGTTTACTGAGGATGACTAAAATCTTAAGATTCAATAAAGTAACTTTAGTTGCAAAAATATACCAGGACTCTCACTCATGTACAATTAATCAGGTAAAGTTTGAAAGGATCGGCAAAGATTACAATTGCACAAATGGAAAGATAACATAAGTCTGCAAAACCGAAGTATAAGAATTACATTGAAACCTGATAAAGTCAGCCCTTTCTTTTAGGCCAGCAGTTTGTTTTTAATTTATTAGTTACCCGTAAAGAGCTTATTTGATCGTCAAGCGACCTGCTTCCAGCGCCTATGAATACAAAGGTAATGAATGCCACTGGCGTAGCTAGGTCATATTTAAGTGTACGCCCGAACCTCGGCGAGGGGCCTGCAGGCCCCCAGCAGATCCAGGACAAAGGACACTTCTGGTAGGGCTTTTAAGGGGGGCGAAGCCCCCGGAAGCTCAAGCGTTATCGAGAAAGATAGTGTTTCTTTCATTAAAAACTCATCAATAGCAACAAACTGTAAAGTCTAATTGGTTTATATTTATGTTTAATTCGTTGGTTATTTTGTTGATTTGAAATCTAATGGTCATTGGTTTAAGAGGATAATGTCCAAACCAGTTACTTTATTATATGTTTAATAAAAGGAGATGTTGGATAAAACAAGCAATCGACAAAAAGTCCATAACTTTAGAGATAGTAATAAAGCAAAAAGTCTCCATTTCAATGTTGTCGTTTTATTAATTGTTTTTGCACTTCATCTAATTATCTCCCATTTTTATTCGCAAGTGTCGTTAATGGATATACGAAATAATTTATTTTCATGTGTAACATAAAAATTCGTAATGGCCGGTTGCGTGGAACCCTGTGCCTCGCCTGGGATAGCTTCTATCAGCGTAAAAGTGTAATGTTGACTGTAAAATGTGAATCCCTTTATCAGTCAAATACGGAATTTAAGAATATTTCAAACTTTTTCTTCAGATGCCTTTTCTTATAAGCTTATGTTCAATTTTCATAACAAACAATCTGTGAAGGTTTACAAATTTATCATGTCACAAAAATCTAGTCCCAGACAGCCTGTTGATTGCAAAAAATAAATCCGTCTATCAGTAAAATACCGAAAAAAGAAAGAAAAAATATAATTTTTAAATTTTGCTTCAGACATTATCTCTTAATCATAAAAAAAACGTTCTGCCAAATTTTCATAAAATTCGATGAAGATTTGACAAAGTAATTGATGTGTAACAAACTTTAATCTAAGACTGTATCTAGTTATCAACTGCATAAAAAACATCCTTTAATCAGGAAAATACGGGAAAATTAAAAACATCTTTTTATAATGCTCTGGATACTGTCTGCTGGTCATAAAAATCCAAATGTCCAATCTCATAAAATTCCATGAAGGTTTGACACAGTTTTTGATCTCTAAAAAGACTTTAACCACAGACTGAACCTAAATGTTGACGACGCCGACGCCGACGGAATCTAGGATCGCGATGTCTCGCTTTCGCACATAAATATCGCAGGCTCGACAAAAATGCAAACCACATATCGTATCTCAGCAGATAATGAATTGCTTTAAAACCATAGAAAATGAACAAATATATAATATGATACTATTTGAATAAAAAGTAAATTCCGTCACTTTAAGTATTAAAAGGCTTTTAACCAGTTCTTTTAATTTATTAAGAATGAAATATTTTTTCTCCAAATTTCATGTGTACGCCCGGGCGTTTTGACGTAAACGTAGCTACGCGCCTGAATGCTAGCTGCTACCAGCACACATCCCACGTTAAGAGCTAGCAACCTAAATTATGAACTTTGCGCTAATAATAGTACATGTTTTACTACATGCTAACTTACTTCTTTTCTTCGTCCTTTGTCTTTTTGTCGTCTGTGTATGATTCCTGCTCGTCACTTGCGTCAGCCAGGAGAGGTTTTCTCTCTTCGCTTTCACTCATGTTCTTATTAACAAAATATCGCTCGACGGATGGGATATGCCGACCTGTATAAATCCAAAATTTAAAGACAACTCAACGGTTTGTCATATTATTTATATTTGGCTATTGCATAAGAAATGAAATCAACGAATTAGTGTGTCCTTTGCACCCAACGTCACTACACACTGTCACTGTACAAAAAGGATATGACGTTTGCTTGTTTACACAATTTACCTATATTATAGACGATCATATTAGTTTTCGACCTTATGATTCAGTCTACTGAATACACCGTTCAATAAATTTAAAATTGGTAAATATAAACAAGTGCATGCATATAGAAACCTGGTGGGTATGGTAAAGCAAAAGTTGATACAATTTTGAAATCAACCTTTAAATGATCCATTGCATACTCGTTACATATATATAAAATCACCATAGCCAGGATTAAATTATTTGCCATAGCCAGGATTAAATTATTTGCCATAGTCAGGATTAAATTATTTGCCATAGCCAGGATTAAATTATTTGCCATAGTCAGGATTAAATTATTTGCAATAGCCAGCTTTTTTGTGGTCATGAAGCTCTGATTTTAATATTCAAACTTCATCTGCATAAATTAGATAGTCTATAATATTATAATTTTTGTTTTCATCCTTGGCCCCTTTTTTACTACGGGTGTGCTGTTGTTATGTATGTCCGTTTCTATGAGATTCTGCATATAAAATATATTATGCAGTGGCGGCACTGAACAGGTAGAAAACAAGTGTAACTTAACGCAATATTCCTGCAAAAACGAGTGCAATAGTTAATAAAGCCTACATAATGTTTAAATAGAATTATCTAAATATTTACTATATAGATATATATATATATAAGAAGATGTGGTATGAGTGCCACCCAAGTCACAATTTGTAAAAGTAAACCATTATAGGTCGAAGTACAAAAGTATATGTATATATGGTAACGTTGATATTTGTTGGCAAGTTGAGACAATTCCAGAAAAGAAGATCACCAAACAGGATACTTTAGTAATAATTCATTCATGCCATGCTCTTTGGTTGTTTTAACATAAGTATGCATTACAGTTTTCATTATCTTTATACTGAGCATTAGCCATATACTTACCCATGTGAAAATGATTTGATTTTGATTTGATTTTTGGTGTTTTAACGCCACTTTTAAGCACCGCTTTTGGCTATTTCGTGGCGGCCAGTTTTTATTGGTGGAGGAAGCCGGAGTGCCCGGAGAAAACCACCGACCTTCGATAGGAAAACTGACAATCCTAGTCAATTAAGACTGGAGTCGAGTGCACCCGCACGAGCGGGGTTCGAACTCACAACCTCAGTGTTAACTGGCTAGTGATTACAGTAGTAACTACTTAGACCACTCGGCCACCGAGGCCCCCCATGTGAAAATGAGCATAAAGCAATGATAGAATTATTTCGATTCAAACGATTGTTAGCGTTTTTGAACGCCACCTTGAGCGACCTTGGCCCTATCAAAGCGGGCAGTTTTTACTTGGTAGAGGAAACTGTAAAGAACAACCGATATTTCACAGGAAAACTGACACAGCTTTAATTGGCAGTTAAGATCAGAGTCAAAACACCTCGCCATCAGTTCACGAGGTTCAAACTCACAACTTATATCACAGGACCATCAAGGTCAAAAGTTACTAAAAAACATACTTGTCAATTAATCAGGGAAACAGAAACTCCCACGGAACAGTCGTTTATATTCATGATTCATACTTGGCAATCAATGGACGAATTTTCAATTTAAACTGCTTGTATTTTCAATTGCAATTAACACCCCTTCAACTGTTGAATGATCTGCTTACCCTTCCGGAGCACCTGAGATCACCCCCAGTTTTTGGTGGGATTTGTGTTGCTTAGTCTTTAGTTTTCTATTTTGTGTTTTGTGTACTATAGTTTGTCTTTTTCAGGCCTTTTTATCCATGGCGTTGCAAGTTTATTTTCGATTAGTGAGTTTGAATGTCCCTCCGGTATCTTTCGCCCCTCTTGAAACACTTGATCTGTTGGATAGCAATATGCTAAAGCCCATATAAAAATATAGACATAAATAAATCAACGGTTATTTTGTCGCAGATATTTTGTGTTTATGTACATTTAAGGTAAGGTTCGAAAAGCAAGTTTAAAATACCAAAATTCAGTATAAATTAGGTCAGTCCATATAAAGGTATTCTTATAAATAAATGAACATTTATTTTTACAATTATTTTGGGTGTATGTACATATAAGGTAATTCAAAAACAGTTTTAAAAATTATAAATACCAGTCTGTAAATTATCTAGGTAGCCAAGTTTCATGTCGTTATTTGTGATAAACTTCTATTTTTAATTCACCTGGATATGAACGATATATATTAAAGACAGTCCTTCATTATAGCACCCTGGATTTAGTTTTACAAAGGTGCACATTGAACCATTCTTTTTTTTAAGTTTTTATAATCAGAGTCAAACGCAAAGGTCAAAACGATAGCAACGGAACACCCACAATTTCACAAAAAAAAAATCGACAGTTCGTCATTAGAATAGATTAATAGACCAAAAATAAAAACAAATACGAAAAATGCTAATACATAAAGAATAGACAAGAACGACTCAGAGATAATGAGCCACAAATATAAAGAGTAGAGAATAATGAGCCAAAAAAAATGTTAAGAGTAGAGAAAGGAGCCAACAATATAAAGAGTAGAGAAAGGAGCCAACAATATAAAGAGTAGAGAAAGGAGCCAACAATATAAAGAGTAGAGAATAATGTGCCAAAAAATGTTAAGAGTAAATAAATAATGAGCCAAAAATACAGTCTAATTAAAATATAGAACTCTGATTTTGTTATACTCCATATGGAGTCATGATAACGAAATCAGAGTTCTATATATACATTTTAATAAGATCGACTGCCAAAAATAAAAGAATACTGAATAATGAGTCAAAAAATGTTAAGAGTTAGTGAGTCAAAAATATAAAGAATAGAGAATAGTGGGCCAAAAATATAAAGAATAGAGAATAGTGAGCCAAAAATATAAAGAATAGAAAATAGTGAGCCAAAAATATAAAGAACAATGAATAGTGAGCCAAAAATATAAAGAATAGAGAATAATGAGCAAAAAATCTTAAGAATATAGAGAATAAAGACATAACATTTATGAATGAAGAATGCAAAATGAAGGACTACTCATCCAGACCAGCATGCATGACCATATATACAAGTATATATAAATACCTCACGGGTTTCTGTGTCCAACCAGATGTCCATTTCTCTAAAACAGACTTCTGATCTGGCCAGTAAGATGATACAGAAGACTTCTGCCCTTTCATTTTCGACTTTCTTTGCATTATTTATTACGATTCAATTTTCCACCGACTTTTTAAGATATGATCATTTGTTTTTCTTTACTTTCAAAGATATTTTGATAATACGAATAGACTAGATTAATAATGAGTGAAATTTAAATTGACTAGATTTTCACTGTAGCCTAATACCTTAGGATGACCCACAAAAGTTAATGAAACTTATTTCCACTGGGGTCCTTTAATGACGAGACTTCCAGTTCACACCAAAGGTTGACACATAGAAATACAAACAAAAATCAATAAGAATTTATCATAGATAAATGGTCAAAGCCTCAGTATAATTAATAAAAAAAACAAATTCACTATTAAAGATGGATTTAAATTTATCCATCAAAAACTTTTTCACTTGTACTTTAAAATTATATTTCTTAGAGCAACTTTTAATTATTTCTGGTAACGAATTCCAGTCTTTTATTCCATTATAAAAGAAAGTGGTGGATTCACACCCTTTAATTCCTGGTATATAAAAGTTTTTACTACTAGATATTGTATTGAAAGATGTTTCATTTCTAGCAAAATTAGTATGTAAATAATTTGGGCATATATTGTTAAAATGTTAAAAACATGATTGAGTCTTAGTTGTTTGATACTATTACTAATATTAAAAAAACCCAATTTCTCAAATTCAATATATGTCACACTCTTTCTGGGATGTAATTGCAGAATAAATCTGATAATCTTATTTGCTCGATGTATAAGAACAGATTTCTGATCTGGACAGTAAAATAATAAGGAGATGTCCCCCTTTTCATTTTCGAGAATACTCCTTCCTTTCTTTGCATTATTTCTTAAGATTACATTTTTCATCGAGTTTGTAAGATATGTTGTTTTTTTTTATTTCAAACAACGGAAAGATGTAGTGCTTCTAATTATTTAACTTCCCGTCAATTCTATTGTCATTTACTCGATGTCGACAAACTTGTGGCCTTTTCATCTTTTCATATTTCAAATTACTCTGTCTCAGCATTGTATATTTTCTTACTTTTACATTAATTTATCGTCGACTTTGTAAGATGCGGTCTTTTGTTGTTTTTCTATCTTTATCCTAAAAAAACACGTAGCGTATCTACTTCATTAACTTGCGAAACATCCTTCCCGTCAGAGTTCCAGTTGCTAAAGTAAGACGTTACTTGAAAAGCGTGATTAAAAAAAACAGCAACAAAGCAGACTCCAATAAGCTTCAGTCGCTCTGGTGGTAATCTTAACTGGCCACCCGCTGATTGATACTTCGTCTGTGTAGATTAGAGCGAAACAACAGCAGGGGTCCAGTTAAGTGGTAATCTTTCTCTTTCGTAAACAATCAGGAAATTTAGAATCAAATCATCAAAGTCTGAGTAGTAAAAGAATGCATGGATTATCTCTCTTTAAATACAGTTCGTATTTCTAATACACAAATTAATCTTTAATTCAATTTACTTAAAAACAATTTATAATTTGTCTCTGATCCATGTGTAACTAAGAGGGTTATTTGAATTTGTTCATAAGATCATGTAAGTATTATAGTTTATCAATAAAGTACCTATACATGATAAGACATTGTATGTTGTTTGTTGTTGTTTGTTTTTTACCTCTATTGTCTGATTGGTGTCAATTGGGGATATATATTTTTCAGGACTTCCTTTCCCATTATGATTTCCGTTTTAGAGGTTTGCTGCCAACGGGAAAGGTAATGAACTAAGAGTTCTTGATGATAAAGTTGAGATTCTCAGATTATCGCTTTGAAAATCTTACGCTGTTCCTCAAATGATCACTTTTCCACTTTTCGTAACCACATGCCACAATCTCTATTCTATAAGTTTCGACTTACCACCCGAATGCGACTTGTCAACGAGTATTTACTTGCCGTGAACAATACAAAGGTACGTT